TATTCATTAACGAGGGTCTCGTACTGGCAGACTTGGTGCCTTTAGGTTGCATACGAGGGATTATTGGTCAACTGCCAGCTCGTAATAAGTTCACGCGCTACGTTACGCCATACAAGCTTATAAAGAGTGTGCTACACTCGCCTCCAAGGCTGCAGATGGCGCTGACTGACGCTCCTACGTTCAAATTCACATAGATATCCAGTAAAGTGGTTAGGGGTATAGCGGTCGTCGTCGCTCAGCGGTAGAGCATCGAACGCGTCATTCGAAGGTCGCAGGTTCGGATCCTGCCCACGGCAAGTTATTTTTTCCCCCACTTTTTTTCCTTCACATTTACATTACAATTGGCCTAATAACTTCCGCTATACTTTCCTTGGCATTATTGTCTGTTAGATCTCATATATATATATATATATATATATATATATATATATATATATATATATATATATATATATATATATATATGCATATATATATATATATGCATATATATATGCATATATATATATATATATATATATATATATATATATATATATATATATATATATATATATATATATATATATATATATATAATAGTTCAGTAGATCCTCCGTGAGCAGTCACAACGTGGTTTATTTCGACGTTTCGGCCTAGAGTCTGGCCTTCATCAGGATATATATATATATATATATATATAGTGTGTGTGTGTGTGTAGATACACAGCCATATTCATACATAATGTACATATACATTGTGATAAAGATGAAGCCCACCATGAAGAGCTCCGAAGCCACGTCGTCAGAGCTAAGCAGGAGAAGATCGTGCCGGAATTGGTTAATTACTGTTTATGCTAGTTAGGCCTTGCTCAGGTGCAGTCTGATCTTACAGTTTCGCTTGTTCAGGCTGTGTCTCAGTTCTTTATTATAATAGATATAAATGTTTAATGCCAACAGCAAAGGTGTTGTCTGGTCTATCGCCTGGTATCACACAGCTCCGGCTTGGATTGACAAGTAGGCAGAGAAAATTTAGAAAGCTAGCAACACCGACAAACAGAAACGTGTACATCTCGCCGGATAGACACCGGCTGAGACCTCCATGGTCACGCGACTCGCAATGGGTGTGTCATTTATTAATCAACTGACCCCACTTTTTTTCGTAGGTACTGAAGCAATACGCGTGCATCGCTGCGCCTAAACACTCCTCTGTACATAAATAATTGTTCCGAATTACTTACTACCTTCATCCCCTGAAAATGTCGCGTAGAACTGCAGGGTGTGTATGCGTTGACATTACTTAGTACATTGCGAAGGACCAGGCGAGTGCTTAGTTCGCATTGTGTTTGAGCGGATAGAGCAATAGATAAAAGAAGTTATAAGTTTAATGAAAACACAAACGTAAGTCGTGCGAGGTGTCCCCGTTACGCGGCATTTAATTTCAAAATGGCCCAAAGAGGTTACGTTCAACTTGGAGTACCCAAAGATCTAATTATTGCTAGTACATCCCACGATCCACGTTACTATATATTTTCTTTTGAATACATACTCCCTATCACTCACACTGTTTATAATATGTCACCTCACTTTCCCCAAGAAGCTTTATACAGATGTTATTAGCGCATTCTTTATCCCTTAATGATAGTAAATATGGAACGGCAGCTCTGGTTCACCTTTTGTAAATCTGTGACCTATTTAGTAGTTATAAATAGTAAAGGAGGTCACGTCCTCCGTCAGGGCTGCGGCGGCTGCATTTCCGATGGAGGCGGAAATGTTGTAGGCCCATGTGCTCAGATTTGGGTGCACGTTAAAGAACCCCAGGTGGTCGAAATTTCCGGAGCCCTTCACTACGGCTTCTCTCATAACCATATGGTGGTTTTGGGACCTTAAACCCCACAAATCAATCAACGTCCTCCGTCAGTATGATATCATCCTGTAATCTTTTTATTGTTGCAATAAACTGATTCTAATTCTGTTCCGTAACGTGTACTATATCGTGTCTTTAGATAGATAGATAGATATATAGATAGATAGATAGATAGATAGATAGATAGATAGATAGATAGATAGATAGATAGATGGATGGATGGATGATAGATAGAATAGATAGATAGATAGATAGATAGATAGATAGATAGATAGATAGATAGATAGATAGATAGATAGATAGATAGATAGATAGATAGATAGATAGATAAACTGCACCACATGGAGAGCCAGGAAATTTACGGCATTCTTTCACTAGCGCACATTTCTTAAAAATCAAACTTATACAATTTGTGTGTTTGCGCCCGGCCTGGAATTCTGTCTATAGAAACAGCCCACATTCTCTGCGTGGGAACAGACTGCACATGTTCCTAATCAAGCGAACCGTTTCTGGAACGTGTGGCCGGGCGGGCTGGGGTTCAGGTTCGCCGGTGAACCTTGGCAATCGTGACTGAAGATGAAATTGAGGTCCGCTTAATTTTGGAATCAAGCATCAAAAACGAACGACAAATAACATCGCAGCAGTGCTATATAGGGAACGAACCGAACATGCAACGCCGTACGAGAAGGGTATCGTGAACAGATTTCCAAGTTGCACGCAACGTATTATAAAAGTTAATTGACTGCACCGTTTTTTTAGTTATTAGTAGATACATTTTTTTAAATTTTCGTTGATAGATGGTATGACACACACACACACACATAAACACCACCCCGTAAAGGTAACCTTGAGGAGATGCGAAGCAGCCATGAATCGACTTAAAGTTCTGTAAAAATGTGTTCTTCATCAATCACCGTAGACGTTCATGGTTGTGCACACAGCCACTTTGTGGGCCCTCGACTCCACCGCACTCATGCCTTCATTCATATTACTACGGTGTGTGCGAAATAGAGAGAGAGATAGGAGTAAGTGCTTTATTATATAGAACAGCGCAGGGGTGCTAGTGGGCTCCACACATACCAGAGCATGCACTCTACCGCAGAGCCATCTGGGGGACTCTCCGTGTACTAGCGTTGGCTACGACGACAGACAAGGAACAAGCCCCAACCATACGCTGCTTCATATCTAAAGAGAAGAAAATCGCACTTATTTCACACCATGAAAACTAGAAACTGCAGAGCAGAGCTGAGGATTGGCCTACCTCCGATTGCACTTGACTTGCGTTTGCCCAAGTTTAAACTGCGAGTTCGACCGTCTTTTTTGGCATTGTGCTTGCGTCTGAGTCTTCCGAAGCCGATGGTTACCTCGCATTCACTTGCGTTTTGCCTCTGATTCTCCCCTCTCTAGGTTTGTTGTGTATAACTGGCGGCGATGGTGTTTCGATGTCGTTTTGCTGACTCGGACAAAACGAATTATCTCTTTGGCGACGCTGCCGTTCACGGTCAAGCAAGCGCTGGCGTTCCAAATGTGACCTGCTCGGCCTCCACGGATGAAGTGGAAACGTTCTTTTGTGACGCAGTGGCGACAAGTTTTGACCTATTTTGGTTCCGACAACCTGTAGCGACCTCTCTAAGCATATTTTTGTATGGATATGCTGCGTTTCTGTTATAATGGATGATGACAACTGTGCTGCCAGGGTCGACACATTAAAAAAAAGCTTTTTCTTTTTTCTACGTAGGCCAAATGCCTTAATCATCCACTTGAATGAAATGTGCCATACCATAAAAAAAAATGTATTACCTTGACTTGGAGCGCCCCCTTCTGACCTATTTCTGTACTTTGACTGTGACGCCAAGCGACGATACGAGACAACAGCCCAGGTCCCTGAAGTGCTGCGCACTTAAAACTTTTCCAGGTCCTGTTGTTAACCAATTGCCTGGCTAATCCAATTTCGGGACTGGGAGGTCAAGCCTCTTAGCACTCTAAAGGGCTTATTGGACAGCCAGTACTGGAGGTAATATGACCATGCGATTTAATCATTCGATGCTGATGACCTGTCTATGGATGTACCAGGGCCGAGTAAGCCACACTCCCAGTCCACATGTTCAAACGAGCATATCTCCTTTTTCTGTGCTTTGAATATTAGACTCAAGGCTTCGGTATAATATGCACGTAACCATGTTATTCCCAATTGACATGCATATATCAGGGTTTTGTGCTATGAGCCGGAAGTTCCCAAAGAGTACAGTTGAATTAGTGCTTTGTTTCAATTTCAGCTATACTGGTATATGCACGTGCTGCTGCTGCGATTGTTGCTCCACACAAAAGAGTAGGAAACAGCACCATGTACATCCGGCAGCAAAAGTTTACAGCACGTGGGTTCTACTCTGAATGTGAATTCCTGCTCTGTTAGTGCCTAGTACAACCATAATGTAGTGGTTTACTGCGTAGGTCGCAGTAACTACTACGGACTGAAACATTTGATATAAGGCTACGTTCTCTGACAAAGCGGGATTGTCCAAAATAACCACGCGTGATACGAGAAGACATTTGCTGAAGGAAAGTGCCAAAAAAATGCAGGTCGTGGTGCCATCTCGCGATTCCCGCATCAATGTCATAAACTCTTGCTTCGTACACCACATTTTACGCAGATCCTCATGTCTAAAAATGAAGAGCGCTGACCTTTGACGAAGCCGTAGGCTTCACATACGAAGTTTTAGTGTTTCATTGTGCCTATTCTGACAAAATACGAAAAATATCATGTTAAAGCTATGACGTTAATTGCGGCAACTTTTGCACGAAATTGAAACACGAAATTACGAGCTTGATTTCCTCTTCTACTAATAAAGCTTTGCATGCTGAAATTACTGATGCTACAGTTCTCAAAATGAAGTTTTAAAGTCAAAATCAAAGAATTGTTTCACTTCAATTTCTCTATATAATTATAGGTGTGAAAATATAGCCCTTGAAAACGAATCGAATGCCGGGAGCAAGTCAAGGGTGAATCAAATGCTGCCTGGCATGAATAAAATGCTGCCCGGCAAGAATCAAATGAAAGAACCATTCTTCATTCTACAATCGAATAGAACTATATTCAGTTTACTACTGCAAAGGCACCTTATTGTCCAACATATTAATGAATGAGAGTGAGAGCCTTTTTTTGCGGCAATCTTGAAATAATTTTATTACACAATTCAGGATGCTGTATACCTTTTGGCAATTTTGCTCCTCGTACATATGGTACAAAACAAAGAAAAACTTTGCACATAAATATAATTTCAAATAATACGAACAATAACAATACCCTGGCACATGGTAAGCACGCAAGCTTGAAATGTCTAGCAGCGCCGCATTGATATGAACGTGAACTCTGCTTCATCATTTTTATCAAGAACTGGAGTAAGAATATTATTATAGAGAGTGATCGCTCTTATTGTGGCTCCGTCAAAGTACAAGGTTTTTCCCTCAAAGTACAAGGATTCTCTGTTACTAACTGTGTGTCGAGTGTCAGCGATTTTATGTACGCAGCCCCACAAGTGTGTGAGCAAAAGCGGGGTAATCCTTTTGTACCACAGGCGTATGGCCATAGGGGCCGTGAAGAAATGCGGCGTTATATAACCTTTCTTCTTCTACGCACAAAAAAACTTCCATCGCAATCTCTACCTGACCAGTTGCAGCTTTCATATGGCTGCTAGACATGTGCAAGCCATGATACCTGGGCATCATATTAGTAATGCCAACAAAGACATGTTTCAAGGATTCTCTTTCAAGATAAACACATTGCACAATGTGATTTCAATACACAGTCGTAATAATACAAAACAATAAGGTACAGCATTATGAGCACAATTTTTTTTTTAACAGCAGACAACTTGTAAATGTGCAGAGCCTTACAATGTAAAAGTCAACATGTATGCCACATATACAATGCAGTACCCTTTCTTTGGCTGTTGTGAGAAAAACGTGCGGAGTATAGAAATGGTTTGGAGTATACCGTCTTTCAAATGGAGCATATATAAAGAGCTGCCAACGACGCCATACAAGACTCGATGAACTACATAGCCGCGTTTTGTTTGGCATTTTTTCTTTTTCACAGGCTACACTTTGAGGCATTGTCAGACACCAATCTGTGCAGAGAACAGTACGCAAAAACCTCATTGTGGCACGCTCTTTGGCACTCAGAATTGTTCGCAGACCAGCTCCAATTCGGCCATAATAAACCCGCGTCCAGAACTGGGCTTTGCTACCCGAACCCCGAATCTTGCGACAAAAGCTAGTCGATCTACACTTTGCTTGCAAACGTTCTTTCAAGGGATACCGAACAAAAAATGTCAGCAGAAAAGACATCAATTTCTATTGGAAGGCGTGACTATTCGGAACAACACAGTTCATTTTGCGGATTTTGATCAGTCGGCTGCATCATTTCAGGATTGTGAGCTGGCGGGAGCTGCATGCATGCGCAGAGCTGTGCGTCGACGGTTGTGACATCGAGCATGCCGTAAGGGGAAGGCAGGTGCGCGCTTTCTTGTCCCTGCTAGTTGCTTTCCTTTCTCCATCTTTACTTTAAATGCAACTCTCCCCCTCCCACAAAGGAGCAGAGACGTGCCCCACCCAGCAGCACTGTTCAATGCCGGTGCCGTTCATACCAACTCCTTGCGACCCCAGTGGGAGCGAAGCGGTTCAGAGACGCGGGAGCTGGCTGGCATGCTTCACACGTCCGTTTCGAATGAGTTACACATCACCGCTTCTAGCTTACAGCACCGCCACTAGATGCGCCACTTTCAGCCTGAAAATAAGGCTGTCAACCCAAGCTTTTAGGTGGATTTAAAATCCAAGCAGCAAAAGTTTTGTTCAGTATCCCTTTTAAAGCGTTATGCAGTGACTTTTCAGGATGGTGGTGATCCAGTCTTAAATTCTTATCAGTTGAGATAATTTTGTGAGAAAACAAAAGCTCCAGCTACAAAAGTAATGATGGTTAGATTTCTGCCCATTCACTCTTTCGACAAAGCCGAACGCCATGAAGTGTTTACAGGACAAGCTGTACATCCACGCTGTGAACAGCACCGAGGAAGGATGACCAATGAAATAGGAGCTGTGCAGTTTTTGCGTTGCGTCACCTTGTAGCCCATATTTCTTCAGTAATATCCGCAGCGTGAAATATAATCAACAACTTGAAGTGAATGCATTACTAAACTACATCATAACCACGTAGCCGAAGGCTGTAGTGAAATGCTTGCAGGGCTAATGGCGCTTGTATTGTGAACAGCAATGACGCTGAAACACATAAACTAGTCTTTACAGAGCCTTTCATTGTACACAGAATCTTGAGTTGAAAATTTTGCTCAGTGCTCTTTCAGATCAATGACTAGTTACTAAAGTAATTTGGAACAGTATGACTCTTACACCACCAATAAGACCTAAAAAAGCTGCTTTGAGGCCATCGCTACATCTACAAAACTATAACCATGTCTAGATTATCAAGGAAAAGAATAGCAAAGCACGTTCTGGACGCTTTAGAGCTACACACTCTCTATCAACAGCAACAACAGTTCTATATGGCAATATACGGAAATGCTCATGTCAAGAACAAACTTAAAATATTCGCTAGCAACGCCAAACGTATGCGAGACGAGGCAAAAGGCTGAATTTGAGCAAGCAGAAATGTCTTTTATCACATCTTCTTCTCTTTTTGAAATATGCCATAGCATAATGTTTCTCTTATTCTCTTCCTGTTTTGTGAAAAAACAAGTAGGCCGTCGTAAGGCTCGGGAGGTATGGCTTGGAAAAGTACGCACTACCTATCAGGGACACCACACATGAAAGATTGCGATCCAGGATTTGAACGAAGCTCGTTCCAACAAGCCTACAGTTGAGACTGCACGTACATAGACACACTGTGCAACTCTAATACTGACAACGGCAAGTTTTAGTACTGTGCACACTGAGTCCATGAAAACACAGTCACAGACACAATGTATGCAGTATTAAAACTGGCCAATGCTACAGCTTTTCAGGAGCCATACGTCACATTAACAAGTCCAACCATTGTGTGGTTATCAATCTAGCTACTATAAGACGCAAGTCCCAGAATTTAGCCTTGCACCACTAAATTTACCGTTATCATATGAAGTGAGAAGTCCTCATTTCCTAAAAAAATTCAACACTAGCACTGCTATAGCCATTCGACACTTAAATTAAATGTATAAAAAAATGCATGACCATTCAATAAAAATGGTTTTCGAGCTTCAGAGAAAAATAAAATAATACTAGAAATACTCCTCATTCATATTAACAGCAGACTGATCTGACTAAAAAAATGTATGTGTTCATCATTGCTTCTATTTTTCTAATAGTATAACTAAAATGCATGCTATAGTCTAATATCTTATGAAACTTTCATTTGTAAGGATTCCAAGTAAGAAAGGATGAGACTTTTTCAAAACTAATACCTATACAGCAACAAAATATTCACAGCAAATGCTGTATAAACTTCAGTGTTATTTTTCTAATTCAATGGTAGTATGGCACAACTGCTCATAAAATTTGACAAATTGCTGACATCTTACTTAGCTAATAAAAATTCCTTCCAAGCTACACCTCAGATGCACTCAACAGTTCTTGCACAGAGAGTGCACACGCATACATGCACAAAACAATTGGAACTAATTCCAGTTCAGTGCAACATTGCCATCTCTTGAAAAGTCAACCGATACCACCACCTGGCTGCATGGATAACTGTTCCATAACAGCTTTTGATCAAAAAGACAGTGCAAAAACTAGATTAATTTTCTGGAACCCATTCAACTAAATTCAGTGCTTCCAAAGAACGATCGACACTCTGCAACTTCAAATTGGCTCATTATGTGACACGGGCTCACAAGCCTTAACAGCGGCATATATGTAAACTTTAGGAAGTAGCACTTGTAATACTAACAAGCCAGATACTGTAATTAATATACAGAAACTAAAGAACAAGATCTTTGTTGCAGGTTCCATTGAAATCCTGATCGTGCATTTTTAAGCAGCACTAAAGCTTTACTTTTGAAGTTGTAGAAAATAGCGTGCGAGTTTTCCAACTGATGAGGTATTTAAGCTTCACACTGACACCAACCCAGAAATGCAAGAGCTGGTGTTAATTGCCTTATTGCGAAGTCATCACATGGCACCAAAAAAGTCAACACAGCCTGGAAATAGGGTGAGTTTTGATGAAATTGTTCACGGAATAATAAAGAAGATGTATTGTGAATGTTTCTTTTCACTGTTTTTAGCAGCAGCAACAGAAGATGCCATAATGAAGGTACTCATTGTTTCAAGAAATACTGACCCACCAACATCCCGCTACATGTGAAAACTAAGACTCGTTCACCGAAAGCATTAAAATAAATTTAGGAGTTCTTCAACGGTTGTCCCGATATCAGTAGAGAATAATGCATTTATTAGTAACTTCTGGTCTTTGGCTAGTTCAACTCGATCCCACCGAGAAGCGGTTAGAGGTACGAACAACACACAGACAAAGCGGGACCCAGAGAGGCGCTTGCCCGTGTGTGGCTTACTCCACCTGTAATACTGAGCCTCAAACGATTTTTTGTAAGAACTATATAACTTGATTTATGTGATTAATTAAATAGAAAGTTTCATGCTAGTACTTCTTCAAATGAAGCTGTGTGATATAGATAATAAGTACCAACACGATAATACATTTTCAGCATTAAAATACGGATGTTCGTGGCATCATTCACTTATGCATCAGTGGAATGTCAAATACATGGGTAAACTTAAACTGTTTGCCGTGCACACATATGGCAGTATAAGTTGCACATTCTTACAAAAGCATATAAATGCATCGCAGCACGTGCATTTCTTTTTTGTACTGGCATTAGACACCACCAATCTAATCTGGAATGTGGCAGTGAAGTTGACAACACTCGTTTTGTCACCTACAGCTTCCCACACGGCGCAGTGTTGGCGGGGAGTCGTCGTCACCGCGGCAGGTGGCACCAATGGTGCAGAAAAAGATGCAGTCGAGACCACGGTCACCAAGAAAGAGACACACGAGGGATTCAGTTTTTCCAGAGAAATGTGTGAACTGTTGCAAAAATGATACACAAGAGCCATGATCCCACAGATTGTACTCATGCCTGAGCAAGGCGAATGAGACATTGCTCAAGTAGACGAAACTTGTCGTAAATGCAACAACGTGTACGTGACATGGTTTACATCAACAATAACTTAAGAGTTTGAGATTTCGCTCCAAAGCTCACAGAGAAAAACTAAAGACATCATGAATAACCTAAAAGATTGACATTTTGCTCCATAGCTCACTGACAGAAACTTAAGATATGAAAGGAAAAGAATAAACAACCAATCTGCATTATGGCCAATATTCAAATGAAAGTGTCCTAAAAAGCATAATTACATTCTCAGCTGTCAAAACCACGGTCAACAATGAGGCAAAGCATGGTGGGGTGCCCAGGATAATTTTCATTCTCGTTTGCGATTTAGGTGCTTGAAAATCTTCCCATTTCTGTCCTATTGCAGTAAACAGGTCATGAGCTAAGCGGCGCAGCAGCTCTATATTGAATGCGCAAACACAATGAAAAGGCTGCTATTTCATTGTACTACTGAACTGAAATCAATTTTAACAGTATCTAGTGTCAAATCGTAATATGCTGAAACTTTTACACAGCGATAATATAAACTGCCTTCAAGTACTGGCATTCTGTACATCAGTTCATCTGTTTAAGTTCCATTGTACTATCTGCATCAAATGAATCCCGAACAGTGACAAGCATTTGTAATAGCATAGTGCGCGCCATCCAGTCCCCATCGCGGACAGGCACACATATGCATACTGCAGTCTGAGTGGATGTGCGTGCACTCCAGTCATCAGCACTGATGTGCGCACACTACACCGCAACTAAGGCTTGCCGCTGTTCGCGAATCATTTGACACCGGTAGTACATCAGAAAAGCAACTTAATTTGAAATCCTTTGTATCTTCCCTCGATTTAAGGACAGAGTAGAAAGAGTTGATTGTAAACTACATATGTAGACACAAAGTATAAAAACGAGCCAGAAAATTCATCTGTTCTACAGAGAGATAATCGAAATTCAGTCACACTATGATCCTTGCAACCTTTTCTTGCATGTACAAAATAAGTGATAACTTGTCAGAAATGCATCAACATGAGAAAAAGCAGTGACATTTACGTAAGTCATCTAAAGGACAAATGTCTTTTGCAGAAAGATGCCGTCCATCCCACCCAAATTCACTGGAGTTATATAAAAGTTCTTGTCTTAATGACAATCATCACAACTTGATAGGAAAACATAGTTACATACGGGAGAACGCTACATCATTTCTAGTACAACATGTTCAAACACCCCTCTGGAAGAACCGAACCCTCTTCGCAAGAAGTGAAACACCAACACAAGACCACAAACAACCTCACCACAGTGCACGCAAAAGAGTGTGAAACAGCAATACAGTACAACCAGCTCGACTGAGCACATCATCAGAAATAGTGTGCAGAGAGATAAAACAGTGCAGTGGCAACTGCCACGTGAACAAGGTGCATGCAGGCTGGACAAAATAAACATTGCAACGCTTCAAAGCAGAGGCAGGCCATTGATGCACGCAATTTGCCTCTCAGTGCGGACCACCAAAGCTCGTCATTGTGCTGCATTTAGCAGTGTATTGGGCGTAACATTCAAAGCTAGCCTCGAAGAATCAGTACTGGACAAGTACTGACTGTGCACAGGGTGTACCATTCAAAGATAGCCTCCAAGGTTGTCAATACAGCCTCAACTAAATAGAACAAACAGTCAATACAAATAAGCTTTTCTAACGAATTATTGTCTATGACGAATATAACAGCAACAATGAAATACTTTAAGAATTTTCCCCATAAAAAAAAACAGTAGTTGTTTCACCAATGCGATAATTTAACAGATATGTGTTCACACTAACATAAAAATAAATAAGCTCTTTTCGTGTGCTCTATGACCTTGTTGAATCGAGGCTTCCTTGTACAGGGCGTGAAGCCAGGCACAAATAAACTGGCGATTTCGCGTTAGCACTCAGAAAATGATGATGCCATTTTTGGGCTATGATTGTAGCGATTGTAAAGCGGAAGCTCCAGAATTTAGTAAATAATGAAGGACAACACTAGAACTCCAAAGGTAAAAAATTTTTACACTGTCAAAAAGATTGATGCATTCTGTTCATTGTGAAAATTTGTTCTCTCGGCTGATTTTTGTATCTTTTTCCACTTCTTAACTCACTCATTTGAAATAATTGCAATATTTTAGGCTACCACTGTGAATATGATTTCAGCTCACCTCAGTGAATGTTTATCTCTATACTGTATAATCAAGCTAGCTCACCATCATCAAAGCGCACTAGGTTTTCCGTCCAGGTGCTCAAAGTGTTTGATTTTTTAATTATGCCGTACACAGGTTCCTTGAATGAATGTCCAAGCCATGTGTACTTCATGAGTGTTAAACTTTCCTTGGCTTCCCCAGTGGCGTTAGCCATTGTGACTCTCCGCCGACTCTGGTTGGTAGACCAGAGTCTTACTTATTTCTGTGTTCTTGTACAGGGCAAGGCATTGAAAGTTTAGGCGGAATCCTCCAATCTTTGAAGCGATGAGATCTACAATGTTGGGGCTACCTCCGAGTGGTCCACCTTGCATTACATAAAGCGTGCAATGGCTGAACGGTTCATAGCTGGAGCATAACTGCTGACATACATAACTGCGTGCAAGCGGGCTTCAACTGGTGCATGTTATAACCACTCATGAAGTTAAAGTTACATCGGATGAAATGAGCCGTGATTAGCTGAGAGCCAATCGTAACTGCAACATGGCTAATGTCGAGCGCGCCAGTTGGCGTCCAGCCAAGCAATTGTCAAAGCGTCTCAGCTTAAAGAATTAAAAAAATATTCAACACGCACAAGAGCTTTGAGCCTCACAGATTAGTTTTAGACCAAGACTGTGAGTGAATTAACAAGTGCGCCTGGTAAATGATAATGGCAGGCTGAAATCTTTAATTGCATGACACGAGAACCATGTAGGGGAGTGATGAAGAGGTGGTGGAAGATTCAAAAGAAAAAAAAAACAACTAAAAAGCACAACAGCAGCACAATGATTCTGCATTTGTGCAACATCAAGCATTTTTACTGCATAATAAATCTCACAAGCTCAACTGTTCGTTTCAGAATTTGCAGAGCCAGTGATTGCACAACCACCAAATGCTCAACCAAATGGTTGAGCAGTGAAAGGCTTGTGTTGAAACCCCAGCACTTGACGAAATCTCGGACGTGAAGCTGCTTGTTTTTAAAGCTCATAAATATTTAAGTTTGCTGGATAGTCCCCAGAATAAGTCTCGACCTGGAAATTTTTCAGGAAGACTGTCCTTCCTTAGTGCTGACTTAAATGATTTCCGAGTGAAATATATGGTCACCGATTAAGCCGAAATTAGAACATGAAAATTTTATCCAGTCCCAAACTTCAGTACCTGTTATACATTATAACAAGGCTTAAAAAAACAAGTAATGCGTTATCGAGCAGGAAACGTTTAGCGCATGTGTTGCGTGTTTGCACACAATTGTCTTTGCTGAAAAACGCTCGCAGGCTCTCATGTAATTCAGACCACGGTGCTGAAGCTGTAAAATCTGTTGCATTTGCCATACATCGACATCGCTCTTAAAGCCTCTCATGACAAGATTCAGAGAGCCCAATGACAGTCTGTACGCTCTCAGCAATAAGCAAGAGGTTTGGAAAAATGGTGATGCAGAAAATCTCCACTCAGAAGATTAGAATAACTGCTTCTCTGTCACACCGGCACCATACGCACTTTCAGGCCATTACTATAACATTGCTTTACCAGCCACAGTTTGAGAGAGGTTTTAAGCAACAAGCTGGTTACATTTATCAGCCCAGATGCACCCAGGCCTACGTCTGTTACAAAGCAAGTCTGGAGCTTCTCTGTGGTACGCACTCTCGAAGCCATTCAGTAACACCAAGTGTAAAATGTTTGTACATGTACGTAGTAGCTACTTCAGCTGCCACAAACCCACTGGGCAGTGAAACTTGGCTCACAGAGTACTGTGGGGCATGTAAGAAAAACAAAAATTCAGTTCTTCACAGTTTCAATGCCAGAACTGACGAGAGACGCACACACGTGCACCTGTTGTATAAAGATACAAGAAGGAGGCGCCAAAGTGTAGGGAACTGTGCGGTAAACGTTGGTTCTGTGGCAGTGTTCCCTTGGAGTCCAGCATGGACCTTAGGCGTGCGCACCTACTAAAAAGTTTCATATGCCATTCGAATCCCAGCAATTCAGCTCCATATAATTTTTGGAGTACATGCAAATTCTGCATTAGTACCATCGAATTTCCGTAAAATTTTTGCAGACAACCCAAGAAACTGTTGGAATGCATACAAAACATTTCAGTAGGGCAGGTGGCATCAGTGAAGTTACCCGCATCAAGCAGAATCATGACTGGAATGAGCAAGAGAGTGACCTATAACCAGACTTCAGCCCACCTTAGGTTCGTATCCTGGCCGCGAGAAACAGGCAATAAAAACGGTAGCAGCGGCTTGGTCGGTCGGGCGCAGTAACAAGTGAGCAATGCCGCTTGCCTCGACTTATTCTCCAGTTTTGATGTGATGATGTTGCAGATAATGCCAATCTTGTCACCAATACACTTAAAAGCATGGCAAAACAGCCGATAGTGGCACACTAAAACAGAGTGTTAAAACAGATAATGCCGACCACACATCAGTTGCATCTATGTAAAGCGATGCATTCTTGATGTGTTCGATACTTGAACCATTTCTAAACGCATACCGAAACCATTTTTGCGCATTATAAGTACAGCAGACTCCGAGTAATTGTCAATGTTGTCGTTCCAGCTGATAGTTAACGAAAACCTGCATGGCTGATACTTGCGAAGATGTATCCATATTGTGCTCTGACAGATTCATTTATTTATCTGACAGATTCATTTATTTTTCCCTAATACCTACTGCCTCGGTAGAAAATTTTTAACAAAAAGATTAAGCAGTAGATCTCCTCTCACTAGAGAATAATACCCTTTATGACTGAAGTCAAGGTCATGAGGCCAGCTAGAATGACTTCATTTTATGGTTCAAACTTCGGCACACCAGGTTGTAGCAGGCTGTTGCTACAGTATATAGTCTTCATGAAGACTGTCAATCCCGCCACGAAATTAGCTAACTTGTTCCGTCAACAAAGTGCTGGCTCAATAATTTTGATCCAATCTGTGAGGAAACCCCTCCAGAGAAAGAGCTGCCACGTCCCTGGCAAGTTGTGGCAGCGAATTCATCCGGCAGAGGGCGTCGGTTCTCACAGCACGCAGCACTGCTGCGTCGAACTAGACGAAGCCGGAGCCGAAAACCGCCGGCGCTGGGGCCGGACGGGAATCGGGGTCACTCTTTGAGCATTGGGGTGCGGTGACGCGACAATAGCCGTGACGGCAGGTGCGGTTGCCGTCGGGGATGACGCCGGAGTCGACGCTATTGCCACCGCAGTCTCGGGCTCGGGGTTGCTGCTGCCCACATCGTCGGTGGGCACCCCGGAAATCGAAGGTCATCAGAAGGACATCTCGGGTCGCGGAGACGATGGCTCTCCCTCGGGATGGAGTTCTGTCTCTTGCGTGTTGATGTTCAATATTGCCACAACCTAGAAGCCAATGGTGGGCGATAAAGGATGTACCAAAGTGGATATTTATGCAACAAGAATGTGCCGTTTCACAGACTCACTCCAGCGATTAAAGTGGGATGGCTAAATCAGTCCTCACACAATGCCTTCGTCTTATTTTCGTTTTTTTGGACAGGTGTACCCTTAGTGATTGCACTATGGAGTCTCATTTCCTTATAAGCACAGCAAATTAATATTCATGCAACTTTTAGATTTGACCATTTAGAAATGTGTGCTATGTAATGTAGATTTTGACATGAGACCTTCCTGTATGTAGCCTTCTTCAGAAACTACTCAAAAATAGTGAATTAGCATCACACTTTGACCCACCTATATAATAGCTATGTGATTGTACATATATGCAAGAACTGAAGTATAAGAAAAAATAATCTGTACTATAAGTGGCTGGAGTGCGCTGCTATTGTCCTTGCTAGGCGGTATTTATTAATTAGCACTGAATCAGTTATTATATATATATATATATATATATATATATATATATATATATATATATATATATATATATATAAATTTGAGTTTAAATATGTGACTGCTCTTCTCTTCGATGCTTGTACTACAATGTGTTTGCTTTTATCTACAGCCCCTTATGCCTGGGCCCAAAGAAGCCTGGACTGTTTTGCAAATAAATGGAGCCTAGTAGAGCAAAGCCTGGCAGAGCAAAAGAAAAAAAGTTGGCTGTTCTATTGCACAAAGCAAATCACAAGCCTATCATGTCATCATGCAGCCTTACTTCCCTGCATGTATTGCATTTGTTTATTGAATGTCTTGCTGCACATGTGTCGCTGAAATGTCACATAAAAACGAACACTTCCCACTGTTTTCGAAGTGCAGTAAAATGACTCGACCAATCATAGCAATACATTTCAACTTTTTAAGCCCCTTGCTGGCCTCTGTTGTAAGGTATGCGAAATTGGGAAAAGAAAAAAAATTACGAGACACATTTAAGGTTTCAATGTGTAGTTTGCTTTACCTGCTTGAACTTCGCTCGGATCTTGTGCAGTTTTTCAAACATGTCTTCGTCTGCGATGTTGACCTGGGGAAAGTTCTTCGTCATTTCGAGAAGCGCTTTCAGGGCCACCATTTTCCTGAAACCAGCAGACACACTTTACACTTATACTTATTTTTCGGAAGTTTGAATAGTTTTAACAGTAAAGTTTTGGTGTGAATAGAATCAAATAGCTAACACTATTATAAAAATATTCAAAATTTTGAGCATTCACACACGTTTAGTGTACTGGAATTTTTTATGAGCAAATTGCATCAATTGTGCTGTCCAAATAACATCCACAAATTTTCCATATCAACTATCTTTTTTCATGTGGTACAAGCAGAATCGCACAAACCTCTGCTTTGCGATTTCTTCACGTTCCAAGACTGTTATCCATGCATGTACGAAACCTTGATAAAATCCGAGCTGAAAGGAGGCACATGAACACAGCAGGTTAACAAAGCAATGCTGCACTACGGTTCATTATCAGCGTCAGCAAATATTGAAAATGAATATACTACTCCAACGTGCTGAAGTGTGCATGGCATTTGTACTGCCTCAGCTTGAAGGTAGGGGATTGAATCCCCCTTTGTATTCTTGAGGAAAATGAATTGTTGCTACACTAGTGCAATGAAATTTCATTGAATTCTTATTGAAATAAAATGTATGCTATTCCAAGATGTCCTTATTATTTACTCATGTTACGGGTATATGCAAACTCCGCATTAACTTTTTAGTTTCTATACAATTTTACGGACAACATAAGAAATTACTGAAAAGCATACAGAGCATTTCAATAAATAATGAACAGGAGAAAGTCGACTTCATTTTTTTTTTTGCAATATTTGTAGCCCTCTTAAAAACTTCTCTCTTATCCCTGTCAGGCATCATTAAACAATTTTTGCTGCAAACGCATTAGATGGCCTTAAATTTACACGAGGCTCAAGCAAAATACAACAAAAGTAAAGAATTGCCATGGCACCCAACAAAAATACTTATCATAAATGAGTTCCAAGAAAGTACCCTCTTAAAAATGGGCTTCAAATTTTTGAAATCAATACAGCATGCTGCTGATAGCAAACATGTGCACCTGTGAAATGAACGAGTCTAAACAAGCAACTTTTCACTACATAGTCGATGAAAAAGATTTGCAAAGTCTGAGGTAGTTCTGTACTTAATTGTTATATAACTTCCTGTATCAAACAACTAAATTCTGTTCGTAATGAGAACTTGCCATCATCCTTCTTTAGTCACGCCATTTTACTTAGAACTACAAGTGGCCTCAAGTAAGCTATATTCAAGCTATATATATAATACGACATGCTATGCAAATCTGTAGCATATCAACATTCTTTGAAGACAGGTTATACGAACTATGCTTGGTAAATTTTACTTAGGCACTTAACATTACAAAAGAGCACACTCAGATGCAGGCGATGTCATGGCAAAGGGAGAAAGGAATCCCAGGTTAAATTCAACCAGTAATGGGAGTCATTTATTGTGTAAATAAATCAAAGCACACGAGAATTTTCGCATGCCACTTTTCATGACGACACAGCTACTGTGGCCAGGTACTGGGCCCATGACGTCCTGATCAGTAAAATGATATAATCACTAGGCTACCCATAACAGCTTCCTCACAGATTTGCCTTTCCAGATGGCACATTGCACTCCACTAGACCCGGTGGGCAAGGTATCCACAAACTTCGAAAGCATAACGCCCATTGTCCTGCAGGCTTCATTGATGATGCTTGTACAGCCGCGGCCACGTCTGTGTAGAGCGCGCCAGAAGCCGGTTTTCACTCTGCGGGTGGAAACCCTGAGGGAGTTCCGGGCTCTGAATTGGTGTAACGGGAGCATGCGTGGCCTAGCTGTCAGGCTGAGCATGTCAGAGCCCGATACTGCCTCAAGGTTTCACCCTGCAGAGTGAAAACCGGCTGCTCGCGTGCTCTACACAGACATGGCCGTGACTGTACATTTCTCACTATGTGAATGAAGCCGGCCAGCTTGAGGGCCAGAAGACAATCCTGCTGTCCCAAATTTGTGAAAAAGAAAATTAACAGCCCAGTTAACATGCTACCATAAAAATTTGGTGAATAAGTGCATTAACAAGAAAGTCACAGGAAATAGAATAACTTTCAGCTAGTTTTGCTTTCTCACTCAACCTCACCACTGTTACCCATCACTTAGAGGAGCAGGCGTAGCCCACTGTAGTGACTAAGCCCACATCATCAGCATAACTCGACGCCTGGAATATTGGACTGGGTGCAGATAACAAACAAGCAAGACTTCCTGCACCTGTTGGTCGAAACAGCTGTTCAAAGGTGAGGAAGCATGACACAAGAAACTGACGAAGTAAACAAACACGTAACAGGTGCAACAAACTGCGCCATGAAAACCACGTCCCCAAAAGGATCAAGGTGCAGTTTCATAGTGCACAGGACCAATAAACGATTTCAATGCTACAGAAAGTTGCCCATGGGCAAAGTTACACCACTGCATGGGAGAAGAGGACAGGCCAGTTGCAGGAGAGGGGTGTGGATTGCTTTAGGAAATGCATCTGCATGGAAAATGTATCTGTGATATCTATGCAAAATGTGATTGCCACAGCCCTCTGAATGAACGAGCGAGCTTGTTTAAAAAGATGCGAAAAAAAGTTGGTGCCTATTTACTGGCCTTTAGCATTCAGCACAACCTATGACAAACTATGACGTATAACACACTGTAAGAAGTTTACAAGCACAAACCTCAGTAGCAATTTGTGCTCCTCGCTGTAATCCGAGTTGGTAGCCATCTCTCCATCCAACTTCCTCTCCAAGGCTGAAACCGCGAGTAAAGCCCATCTGCCGATATCTGCGGTTAAAAGAAGCGTTGTCTCGTGATGAATTTGCCTCAGGCCTGCCATTTTATAACTTCGGCAAAACATGCTAAACATAGCAGTGCGTCCCAGACAGTAGTTGCACAGAATTTACAGAAAAATCTTTCGCATGGATGGTAACCAAAGTGGTATGTATAGTTGAGTAAAGAAAGCAAATAAGCGACAATGTAGTCATTGAAAGAAGAGAGGGGGGTTTCAGAAGTTTTTGCTCTGCTAAAGCTAGCTAAATAAAAAATGCTTATAATTCATGGCACCAAGTCTGTGAGACAGCAGAATATGAGAAGTTGGATCAATTTTTCAACACAGAATTCGAGAAAGAAAAATCTGACACTTAATTTATCCTCTTTCAGTGAAACAAAACTTGAGGATTGATGTATACATCAGTCCAAACCTCCTCAAGGCACAGATATTTTCTTCAGAATGCACATATTAGACATGCACAGGTAAAGCACAACACTGATTTCATTCTTAGAATAAAGCTTTGCATTTTAAACGAAAGGAGCCAAACAATGTTAACATCAGTGAATTGGTACACTGTACTTTACATACATGAAAGACAACATTATAATGGGCTTCAATGCATAAACACAGTGCTACTATTAAGGGCAAGAGATTTCCTGTTTGCCTTTTTCAATTAACTTGTTGCCGTGGCTCACAATCATAACTTGTCGCTACGGTAACCTAATACAAAGCTAGAACTTAGCCTACAAAACAGTGTTTCTTATTTACATGAAATTAAAGTTCTCTGTTGCAAAGTGACACTGTGTACAAGATAAATTATGCATATTTCTCCATCACTTTATGCCCGTTAGGGTATTACTTCGTTGATACAACACTTCGATGCGTGGGTTTGTAATCACAGTTACTTGATAACATTGACTGCACTGGAAAACTCGGCTCAGCTCAGGAGTTTGAAACACGAAAGGATATGTGGTCACATTAGATTAATGCTATGGTTGTTTTAGTTGTGCCAACAAAGACCGTAACTGTTTTGTAAGTTTCCAGCAGTAGGTGGCAAAGAGCTTGAACTTTGTACTGTCTTCAATTTGATAATGCGCCAAAACTAATGGTGCCAATAAAAAGTTTTTTCACTAGCCTTGGCCTCCGTTTTATACACTACTGCCCGTTATTGCACATATGCAACACCCCATTATTAATTCACAGAATATACCTTCAAGTTTTTTATTGAACACTTGAACTCCCAGTCACTCTAAGAACATGGCCAAGAAATATTTTGAGGTTTAGAAGAGTGTTTTTCATACTGAGAATTAATGGGTCAAAAGCAGGCTTGTGCAAATATTCGAACGCTTCGAATATACAAACGATTATTTTTGAGTTCAAATTCACTTCGATTCGAATTTAAATTATTGAAAATTTCAAAGTATGCGATATAAGCCAATAGGCGTATACTAGTTCGCATGTAATTCCCTGTAAAAGTGCTTTCAATGCAGTGAAAGATGCTAAGCCGTGAAGGCATTTAAACAGATGTATATTTCTGCTGCATGTAACCCCTTGTAGAAGATAGTTTCACTGCAGTAAAGGAAGTGCTAAGCCATGAAAACACCTATCAAAAAAAAATCAGCACTGCCACAAAGCACACTTCAAGGTTAAATGAACATATTACGCTCACATCAATTCATCATTGTTTAAGTTTAAAAGCTTCTTATACAGCGTCATATATTTTAAAACGTAACATATTTTAGAAGTTAACACTTGCATTCTTCCGAAAGTCAAATCCTGCTACTATTCAAGGTTGTTTCCACTTCCTTTGAACCAAAAAGAATGTAATTTAACAGGCCTTGTTTCAATTAAAAAAAAAGATATTGTACAGGTTAGTTGGGCTGTGACAAATATGCCAATTTTCTTGATAATATGCTATATATACTATTCGAATTAAATTTGAAATTATTCAACCAAAATCCCTATTTGCTCCGAGCTAGACATTCACACAAACTTAGTTACAAATGTTAAAAATAAAGAGACAACATCCAAGCAGTGTACTGTGTTAACTACTGCGATTGTGTCATTATTGCGCTCTATTTCAATCTCAACTGAACTTTCATGCCTCCGTCTGAGCCATTGCAAGGCTGAGAATGAGAACGGACGAGAAGAGTTGTATAAGAGAATAAAGGAGAGGTCTAAAGGGGTACTGACACGAAATCTTTCGTCTGACTGTTTTGTATTTTTATTGCAATGTGTCGCTGGAGGCCTATCAGTCATAACATGGCACATCACCTGCCAACGCATGCTAGAGATAATTAATTACAGTATGCTTACTACCAACCAGTCTCAGTTTTGCTTTGGCCTGGGAAAGAAATGAGAATTATAAGCTATTGGGTGCAACAAATGCCATATAGCATGCGAAACAGTACACAGAACTGTGATCCACTTCTGTGCTGCCTCCATCGTCTGTTCGTGTTCTTTCGTTGCTGCACGTGCTCCACAAAGTTGTTATCGTCATCGTCGCCTTTATCAATGTCGTATGGTGGGAATGACTTTTTGAGGCCCCCACTCATTTGCCGCGGGCACGGACTTGCGAGCCTGCTAGGACAAGCGCAGCCAAAGGGCTATGGCGACTATGGCACGATCATTCCAGCTGCGTCGGTTCGGAGCTCGGCCGCTGTGGTGACGTCTCAAATGTTGAGGGGGGGACCTTCAGATCACCTTGGATTAGACCAATGTTGCGAAGTGCAGTGTATAGTGCTGGATCGTGTACACAAACTTCAAAAATCATATAAGTTATCCTCCAAGCTATAATTGCTATTGAAATTTGTTTGATGATGTACACATGTTCCCAGGAATCGACCCCAGCCATAAAATTTTGTGTCAGTACTCCTTTAAAATGGCTGTCCCTCCTCAGGTGTCATGCCTATTCGCCAGGTATAATGTCACACTTCATATAGAAGATTCCTTCAAGAGTGCAATGCGTCAAACCAAAGCATTCCTTCCACTCCATGATTGAGGCATGTATACGATCAAACTTATCAAACTTCTCACACCACACACAGACACGCACCTTCTTGCACTTAATGCAAAACAAGGGGCTTTAGTTTCACCAATCATCATATACATACTTACCAAGCATTTTTAATGGGCTGGAAAAGGCAACCTCAGACAACTGTCAGCACAAGGCAAATATTTCCGGAACAATTCAGTGTTATATGCCAAACTACTAGCTGCTCCATTTTTAGCTGCCTAGAGGCTTCTTGGCAAAACAGCACATCTACAAAAGCACTCTCAGGTTGAGACTACATTATTTGATGGTGTCCTCAACTTGATTTCACCTAAACAAATGGTAAGTTTAGTACTTCTAATGTCCAAGTTTCTCGCGTCTTTTTCTGCTTCTGCTGTACGAAGAGAGCCTGTATGGAGCTCAAGAATGACAGATAATAAAGAATCTGGAAAACGAAATGGCCGCCGGAAGCAACATGCAACAGACGTCTGAACTTTGCCGGCATACCTCTGATCGCCAGGTGCCGGCCCTTCCTCGGAGTTGCTATGCCTGGGTTTGGGGTAAACCCTAGGCCTAACGCAGCGGCAGTGAAGTTAGCGGTGGCATGAAACAGGGAAGAGAGGAAGGGGCCAGAAGGTCGAGTGAAGGTCACAAGGAAAATGACGAGGAGGTGCACAAGGTTGAGCGAAGCCGTGAGAGGATGGAAAAGAAGGGAGGAAGAGAAGTATGAAAGAGAAAGACAGTGCGTGATGAGACTACTACAGAGCTACGGTGCACGTGAGTACAAAGCAATGAAAACAAAATTAGAAGGTGCGCAGGCCAGCAGCTGCGTGCTCTTTTGACAAATCTGCCATTTGAAGCAAAAACACAGACGTCAATAAAATGAAAGCAATTGTAAGAAGGCGAAATTCACCCAGAATAGATGATAAAATTATCTGTCCTAGTTGGTTTAGCCAGTGTGAAAGAAAAGATAAGCATATCGAAGAATGCTGTGGGACATGGTTGTGCAGTTGATTTAGGCTGTAGCAGCCTCAGACTACAATCATAAAATGAATAAATGCATGAAAATGAAATAATTTGGGTACATAAACAAAAATTGACTTTTTGAATTATTATAGTAGGAGATGAACTCCTTTAGTAATATTAATAAAATTTGGGCTAAGAATTAGTCTATGAGACTTGGGTTGTACATGCACACAGCAACACAGTCATGTGACATTTAAAATATTGTGTTGCATGGCTTTACTGGCAGACGATGGTGCGAAGCGCGTCTTATCAAGACCAACTACGGGCAGTCTAGAAGGTCCACGATGACGCCACAAGGCTCGGCCTGACGGTACCGACGTGGACGCGGCCCGCCTCGGTCTGAAAAGACCGGGCTTTGGGACACAAATAAAGTTTTGTGAATGAATGAATGAATTAAAATTCCTTTATGAAGATGTACCAAAAACAATGCTAAGAAAGCTTGAGGAGGAAAAAAAGAAAAACACACCAACAGATGCTAAAAAAGTGGAAAGCGGTGACACAGCATCACATGTTCAGAACTCTGTGGTGCAAAAAGTGGCAGCATTGGACATTAAGAACGGAAAAAGCATGACTAAGTAGCTGCCCGCTTAAATTCTGAGAGTTGTACCAGAAGTAAAATGCAAGTGAACATAAAGTTATAATTTTTGTTTTAAATTAATGCAGAACATTTCAAATCGACGGATGTTCAACTTACTAATTTGTACACTACACTGGAAGCCATGGCCTGCCTCCCAACAGCGCTCCTCAATAGGCTAGGCTAGTCTGTGTGCATGCAATCTAGTCTTTTTAGAAGGCTCAGCATTGACCAATAAGTAAGCAGCCTTTCGTTATTGGAGACATGCTGCCAAGCTTCAATCCCGAGTAGCTGGTGTCAGCTTCAGGTTTGCACAATTACTTATGGAAGTGGTGAAACAAAACATATCAAAGGGAAATAAAGCAACCTATTCCATGCACACAAGTAACACAGCATATATTCCAACAGAGTGTTACGCACGACACTACTCTTGAGCTTGTCTGTTATATATATATTTTAAAGAGTTTTGTGCAACCCATTCTCGCTCACTTCTTAGCTACTAAGCTAGCCAGTGACACTCAATTGGTGCACTTCACTTCTAGTCCCCCGTCTAGCAATGCATTGTTTCAACAAAATGAAATCAACTGCTGTCTGTTGAAGTCATCAGGGATGAGCGAGAAGGCAGTATCACTTATTGATATGTGGGGTTTAACATCCCGAAACCGCCATATGATTACGAGAGGCGCCGCAGTGGAGGGCTCCGCAGTGGAAATTTCGACCCCCTGGGGTTCTTTCACGTGCACCCAAATCTGAGCACACGGGCCTACAACACTTGCCCCTCCATCGGAAATGCAGCCGCCGCAGCTGGGATTCGATCCCGAGAAGGCAGGACGCTGGGTTACATGGATACAGGTTTGTTCCAAAACCTTCTAGCCTAGGAGCCCTGCCACGCGTACCTTGTGCACACCCTGTCATCATCATCGCCTGGCTTGTCGTAGATAGCAGCATCTACAACATCTCCCAATGCAACGAAGCGAAGTTTGCTGCAGCAGGCGGCTTCACACACCTGCCACATCTGGTATGCCCGTGGGAAGTGTCCTGGCAACGCGAGCCAGTGTCTATAGCAGAATCCACTGGTAGTGGGGCTATCTGCATTGTTTTGACTTCGGGAATACGAGACTAGCTGCGTCCAGTTTCTACGCACAGCACTAGTGTTGGTGTTGACCCAATAAGACTGAGGCTTCATCGGCTCGGGCTTGTACTGTCCCTTTGCTTATGAGGTCTGTCACCCACACAGCATCTCCATAAAGAAGTTCTGGCAAGTCGCGAACTCTGTGACGTCTGTCGAAGTCTGTCCTTTCACATTTCTGTATCTTTCCTCAAAATTCCGAAGGCTGCCTTGATCTGGCAATTGGGGTGTCAGCTTGGTGGAACAAAAAGGAAGCCTGGATCTCAGCCGACGACCCATAAACAGTTCGGCAGGGCTATATCCATTCTTCAAAGGAGTCGACCTGTAAGCTCGAAGTGTCAAGTAAAGGTCCTTGGTCTTTGGCATGGATGTCTTGATTTTCATTGCAGCCTCTGCAAGTCTTTACTCTGAGGATAGTGAGGGCTAGATGTAATGTGCTTGAAACCATAGTCTTGGGCGAAGAGTGAAAACTCAGTTAACAAAAACTGCGGGCCATTGTCGAGCACCACTTCCTCGGGAATTCCGTGGCGTGCAAAAATTTACTTTCAGTAGTTGATTACGGCTGTGGAAGTGAGCTTCTCAAGTCGAACTAGGTCGGAGTATCTTGAATGATAGTCTGTAGCTATCAACCACCACTGGTTCTTGAAGTGAAACAAATCCATTCCAACACGTTGCCAAAGACTCTCCGGGAATGCAGAGCTTATTATTGGCATTTTCCAGTTGACTCTTAGTTTCGATGCATTGCTGACATCCCTTCACCAGAGACGAGACGTCAGATCCTATAGTGGGCCACCAGACACAGTCTTTGGCTCAAGCCAATGTCTTTGTTATGCCAAAGTGTCATTCGTGCAAGAGTCCTAGGATTTCTTTTCGGCATAAGTCGGGGACGACAACTCGCACGGCGTAGAGGAGCAAATCATTCTCGACAGTGAGCTGGTGTCGGTGGTTCGAAGAATGATGCGTCGGCGGTGAGGACTGTTTCTTTTGATGGGTCGAAGACTCCAAGGACAGGACGAGATGAGAGCACCCACTTCCACCTGTGGAATGCCTGCTCTTGTGGAGCACCCCAAGCAAATTCTTGCTTTTTTGACAACAGGAGTGTGAGTGGCTGAGGAATATCAGAGAGATTGGGAACGATCTCGCAAGGTATGTTGCCCTTCCGAGAACTCTCTGCAGCTCAATCCTGTTTTTGGGACTCTTCATTTTCATTATGGCTTCAACCTTCTTTTCATCGGACCTTATTCCGTCTTCATTGAGCCAGTATCCTAGAAATGTAAGGTGCTGAACACACCCTTGCTGTCGTTGAGTGTCACTCCAGCCTTTGCAAGTGCATGCAGCACGTTTAGGAGTGTCCCACTGTGCTCTTGGCTGTTGGAACCCCAGATGAGGATGTCGTCCATGAGACAGAGAACTCGACTGATGCCTTGTAAAATGTACGCCATTTGCTCCTGAAAGTGTTCAGGAGCTGACGCAATGTCAAATAGTAGTAGGTTGAAGTAGAAGTGCCCAAAATGATGAGATGAAGGTGGTGAGTTTCCTTGATTCTTCATAAAGTGGAATTTGCCAAAATTCAGAGTTGGCATCGAGTTTGGAGATCACCTTTGAAGAAGTCCGATAGTGTGTTCCACGGAAGGAATAGAATGCCATTCTCTGAGAATGTGGCCGTTAAGCTCTGTAAAGTGCACGCATATTCTCACGTCTCCAGAGGGCTTTGGGACGACTACCATTGGTGCACACCACTCGGTCAGCTCATCTACAGGTGATATGACACCGAGTTTCTGCATCCCTTTGAACTTCCAACTTTGTCTTCTCGTACAATGGAATTAGGATGTGCCTCAGGCAACTGAGTACGAAAGCTTTTGCTCCTGGTTGAAGCTGAATCCTGTGTTCTTTGAGCAGCTTGCAGAGTCCTTGGAACACCACTAGAAATATTTCTTTCGGGTTCACTTCGTTTATGAAGGTCAGCATCTGTAGGTTTTTAATGGCTAGCTTGCCTAGCAACAGAGTGCAAATTTGATCTTGGACATATATATCTTAAGTAGTCGCGTGGTTGCGACAGATGAGCTAGAGTTGAGCCACTCCTGCTGTTGAAAGAAGCTTTCCATCTGGGCCATGCAGCTAACGAGGAGGAGCTGATAAAAGCGGCCTGTTTTGAGCGTCAGCAATACGTGCGTCGGGAGGACAGTTTCGTCGGCACCAGTGTCAATTTTGAAGTCAACTGGCTGGCCTTGAACCAAAACTGTTGCTTCCCAGTTTACAGCATTCGTTGTCTTGACTGCTCCAAGAAATCCTTCTTCTAATGTTCCGTGCTCAGTTTCGACAAAATCGAGGCGTCGCGACATGCATACGGAGGCACAGTGACCTTCCTTCCGACATTTTCTGCAGACTTCCGAGCGCACTGGGCAGAAAGTGCGTGAGTGACGCTCTTGACCACACCAACGGCACCGTTTCTGCTCTTTTGCTCTTGTTTTTACCGGAGGGTGAAGATGGCTTGCTTGCCTTGTGTAGATAACTGCCGCTTTTGTCTTGCATTGCAGCACGTCGACTTGTCTGCACACTGTATGCAACTTTGTTCAAAGATGGCATTTCCTGGGGTTCTCCACTTGTTGCTGACTGACACTTTCGATGTGGCGAACAGAATCTAGAGTCTTTTGTTTTGTGAGCTTTGCGACCAGCTGTAACCTGGCGGATAGCTGCTTGTCTTTTATCCCAACCACGAGGCAGTCGCGCACGAACTCCTCTCGAAGAGCACCGAACTCACAATCTTTCGAAAGTGTGTGAAGCGCATTCACAAAATCTTCGGCTGACCTACCATCTTGTTGCAGTCTGGTGTTGAATCTGGCTCGTTCGAAGATTACGTTGCGTCGCGGAATGAAATATTGTCGAACTGCTCCACGACGGCGTCGAATTATTCAGAGTTCTCTTCGGAATAAAGCGAAGGTGGTGTAGATTTCCTCCGCTTGCTCATTCATAATGCAGAGTAGGGCATCTACTTGATGTTGCTCGGGCTTCATGCACAAGCCTGAAGAGGTTCGGAAACGTTCAAAACGCTGTTTTCACTTTGGCCACTCGTTTGGCGACGAAAAGTTGAAAGCCTCCAGCGGTTGAATAACGAATGATGCCATGACTGGTGCTTTTTGTTAGCGATGACCTTTGTAAAGATGATGACTAGAAGCTGATGTCCCCTGGTGGCACCTCTTCTTCTGACACCATGTTGAATTCGTCAGGGACAAGCGAGAAGGCAGGAGGCTGGATTACGTGGACACAGGTTTATCCCAAAACCTTCTAGCCTAGGATTCCTGCCACAGGCCACGCGCACCTCGAGCACACGCTGTCACCAGCTTCGCCTAGCTTGACCTAGACGGCAGCACCTACAACACTGTCTGTAAATTATTGTCCACAAATCGATAAGTGTTAGCCAATAGGTCAATTGGTGTCAGCAAAGCGGTGTCACTAACTCAGTGTCAGCCAATAAACATCACTGACTCAATCTGTGTCAGAAGATAGGTGCCCTTGCTCCACTGATGTCAGCAGATTTTTCACTATCAGTCAAATGATGTCATCAACTCCATCAGCTCAATCAACATCAACTCAATCGATGTCAACCAATTCACGTCCCCAACCTGAACAGAGTAAAAGGTTAGGAGACCCTTGTCATGTAGAAAGCAGTGGACAATTACTGAACACGAATGGCAAACAAATAGCTGCAGCGTATCGCAGTGGCTTTGACCCTGCATTTCATAGAAGCTTGTCATCAAAAAGACCACGCTGCATTAAAAAAGAAATGAAAGGCTGTTTCTGAGATTGTTGAGTGGGCCTAGACTTAAGGCATATTATAGTACTCTACCTAAATTAGTATACCTGAACCATTTATGTTAATTTGCATGTCCTGCAGGAACCTTGGAAGGATAGTGCTAATACACATACTTCTCTGGGTACTATTGCACACCTCTGTAAGATGCTTTGAGGCACTTATAAGACAAGAAAGTGCCAGAGAGAGGGTTGCTTACGAAAAACAGATTATGTCCTTTTTTGCATTGACTTTGGTACAACTCTCATTAAAAGCCTAACCCATGACACAAAAAAAAGTAGAGATGTAATGCTTATTGGTAGCATTATTACAGGCCAAAAAGTTCTCACCAGAAGCAAAAAATCAACCCAAAAAAACAGGATGAACAATAAGGTGCAGAAAATAAGCATGTCCGAAAATTCTAAAAGTCAGGGTGGCATAGATGTTTACCACGGAAAACATTTAGACAAGAAGACATGACAAAGGAGGACCATGCATGTAAGGTCAGAGAAAAAAATAGCATGAGCATTCGAAAACAACTGAGGAATTGTGGAAGATTTTCGGCACAGGCCATCACAACTTGCAACTTCACATGCATGGTCAACAGTTTACGTAGACTACAGCGATATCTAACTTAATCAAGATTTGTTTGAGAATTCACCGAGAAGCGAGTTTTTTGTTTTCCTCTCTTTTAGACTGAGAATACTCAGTCTATCAGTTTAGTGATAGCATGTTCATTTTTCATGAGTCTATCCAAAACAACAGATTAGCCTTGCTCTGATATTATGGTGTGAACTCACGTCGCACTTTTAGCTGCCTGCTCGTACAAAAGACAACGTCGATGTTGCATGCTGAATCACAAACTGCGGAAGCCCTGGGGGGCACGTCACCCAAGGCGTCGCATTTTACTGCGCACGATATATCAGTGCTGCTTGAGCTTTTGTGGATTAAGTCATTCCACTCTCACTCACGGTGACAAATGTGCACAAATAGAACGTGCCCGTTAGTCTGCTTTTTGACATCTGCATACTGTTCCGACACAGCATTATGTGCAGTGTCGCCTTGCCATTTTTCATCTCCAAATTACTGAAAAGTTTTGTCTGCTTACTACCCACAAAGAGTGAAACACCTTCGTATAAAACAGCCCTGCATGAGATGACGCATTAGCATATTACTTTGTTTTCTTTTTAGTGTCTCTTTAAACAACGCCGACCAGAACACCAAGCAACATTCAGGCTGGAATCTGCTAGTTAAGATTTACATATCACAAAATAAACACTAATACGCAAATAGGCAGCAGTCGTTGCCTGGGATAGACATGCAAAGAAATATAAATGGAGCTTACAAAGGGTAATGCAAAAACAGTGCAAGCAGAAAAAGAGACACATGATCATGCCCCTGTGGCATTCCAATGAAAGGAGTACTGACATTGCAAAGGTTGGCTCGCCATTAGCTTCCCCTTTTTAAAAGGTCAGAACCCCCTCAACACTTGAAGTGAATGGAAGCAAGTGAATAAGGCAAACATCAATATAACAAATTCTCACCGCTACAACAACTGCAAGTGCTACTTCATCATCATAAAAATTTGACTGCGATGTACTATTCCAGTTTTATTTTTAATTTTAGCTCTCATAAAGCAGGTTTTCTAAGCTAACCATGACTTCTAAGCTAACCATAAGCTAACCATAAGCACTGGCAAGCTTTGTTCTTGCATTCTCTCCAGATGTCACGCAGGAGTGCAACGAAACCCCAAACTGACAGAGCAGAGTACTGTTAAATTTTTTTTCTAATGAGCAATGCCACTGCAATTCGGTCTTCTTGCAACACATGAGAAAACTTATTTCTTGCTCGACATTGCAACATCACAGTAATATAGATAATTCAAGGTAATGCATTTCAGGCTAAAACTTGAATCCCAATTTTCGCACAGGATATTTTTGCTACATTCATACTTGGTAAGAGCCATTCTTTTCAGCTGGATAAGTGAGTAGCCCAGTATTTATTGTTAACTGTTGCGTTAACAAGCCAAAATTGTGTCGTGACACACTCGATACTGGGACACGACAGACTAGCTTTGACTGTATTATTTTCCTTCACGTGCATCGAAATCTACCCTGGTTCAATTCTTCTAAAGCAAGCTGGGGTGTACTAAGCGTGAACTGTAAGCGAGTAGTTTGCTGGGCAAGTTCTTTTCTGTCCGTGTTTCATCTGCACTGGCCGTCACGAAGCATAATCTAGCAGTGCTAAAATTTGAAAATGAAAGACTGCTCGAAAATGAAGACTGTCTGCACTACTTTTTCATCTTGCCCCCATAAAATTCAGCCACGGTCACCTGGAATTATATGATTGCCTTCGCACTTAACATATTCTATGTCTCGATGTGGCACGATCACTAAAAGAAGGCATGCGTACAGCTAAAGTACAAACAGCTTTTTGAAATCAATCTTCGCACAATCCATAGAACTTGTTACTGGAAGAATACAATCCTGAACCCGATAATCACAATTTTTATTCCCAACTTGTTCATGGCACTGCATTACTGTCCTAGTTTTGCTTCAACCTTCTGTCTCTTTTCGAGGATGTTAAAACTATTACCTTTATCACCCTGTTTACCTTGATGGTAACTTTGTTTTATGTATTTTATTGCTAACAGCTGTGAAAGAATGTAACATGTGGTGTACGAACTGTCCACCCTTTATTACACAGTGAATGCAATGAAGGGATTCTGTAAATAATAAATAAACGAAATTCAGACAGCCCCTATTTCACCATAGTGGGTCCAGAATTTTTAACATTAAAGAAACATTCGTCAGTACTCCTTCACAAAAAAATGACCAGTTGTGCAATTGATTAGGCATGCATGCATAGAGCACAATGAAGGTCTAGCGAGTAGCTCGACTAAAGTCTACAAGTGCAACAGGAATGGAAACGATGATAATGAAGAAAGATTTGGGCAGCAGACGCATGGTGGTTACCTTGCGTCGACGGGAGGCCCTTCTTCCGAATAGCTCTGTTTCGGTTTAGGGTGTCGACCCCTGAGCCAATCGAACGCAACAACCGAAACACGTCAGACCCAATTCACTGGCCCATAATAAGAGGCGAGCTTCAGTTCGTTTTGGCAAGATGAAAAAATGCAGAAGTGACTGGTAAACCAGGCAAGACCCTGCACTGAGACAGTGTTTTGTCTGGCTCGTCCACCTTGTCATTGATTCCGTTTTGCCATAACAAGCGTAAATCAAATAGCACAGTTCGCAACCCTTTGTGAGTTTTGGTTACTTCATTGATTTACATCTTTTAACTTGGTTCAAAAAGAGTCTGTGCTGCATTCTTTGAAGAATGCCCTCTAAGAGTTACCGACCACACATACGCCGCACTAAAAAGTTAGACACCAAAACTACAAAGCAGCTCTATGGGAGACTGAAAGGCCATGATGCTAAGGTTTATTCATTAAAGAAAAATAGAATAAATTAAATGATTTTTGTTATATCATTACTTCTTTACACTACCATGTTACTGGATACAAAAGGAATCTCTGCCTGCCTGAGCCTTAACAGAACGCGGACATTTACAGGATGTAAACTGCTCTCCAAGGGGCCTTATGTTTGCGGCCCTATATCGCAAATCCACCTTTGTGGTTATTCGTGATATCCGCTTTGCAGAGACTCCAGTCGCCAAGTCCAAATAAGCCAAAGCATGATCGCCTACGGGGATCTCCTTGTTTCGGCCGGATTACCGCACCTGTAAATGTGTGAGGCCTAAAGCCTCTGACAGGACAGATAGATGGTGCCATGTAGTGGGGCCGAGATGAACCAGGCAAGATAAAATCTGTTATTGCAGTAACATCGTGCATTCTACTGCTGGAATACAGGTTCCCTTTCTAATAATTTTCCTCCTCAAAAACACTAGGAAAAAACTAACATGCCTGTGTCGATGATTGCACGAAGAGTCCCAAGATGACAACACTATCATCTGGTAACTCAAAATTTGGACACCCCTCTGCGTATATACCATGATACTGTACATGCTGAAAACCTCTCAAGATATTGCTATAGCAGTGATTCAATCCTATCTAAACTAAGTATAGTTTAAATGCAGTTCTCATCACCATGTGGTGATTTGGCAAGCATAAAGGCATACGTTTACATACCTACGTAAACATTAAAGTACGGGAAACAAAAGCTTTGCTATAATATTTGTTCCAGTAACATGGTAAATGCAACTCAGTATTACAGTAACACGGCAGCATTGGAAAGTATACACACAAGATAGACGCCCCATTACTTAAGAGCTTTGGAATTGCACACACCTGAAATGTCACAAGGCTTTGCGAACAATAAATAGAACACAAAGGTGTTGAAGTTTCATACCAGCTCACACAAGAAACATATGCAAGTAAGATTAAGACGAGTGCTAACTTCAAATGAAAGTTTATTCTTGGAATCAACACCTATATATCACTCAGCAAACACCAAAAGTACACTGTCACCCAAGAACAGCTCATGCCACTCCCACAACAATAATGAATACTCAAAAGGTGCACCACCTTAATTTGTCCCAGCCACGAAAACTATGCAAACATATAGTAATGCAGTTCAAAAGGCTACAGCTTGTGACTACAAAATGCATGCTCAAACTCAAGCCTTTGTCACAAGGAAAGCAAAGATGCCAAGTGAGCTGCAAGTGAAGCTAACGCACAGGGTTGAAGGCTCAAGAAAGGCTGACTGACACACAAGACCGTCTTTTTGAATAAAAAACAAAAAACCTTCCATGACCTCTGTGAACACCTTGCTACAATTCTAGTGCAACAATGTTGTGTTACAAAATGTCCCTAGAGGTTGTGGAAGCTTTTTCTATTTAAAAGAACAGTCTCAAATGTGTCGGCCAGCCTCCCTTGAGCTTTCAACCCAAAGAGTTAGCTTTCCTGGCAGCTAAGTGGCCTCTTCGCTTTCTTCGTGACAAAGAGCATGCATTATGTAATCTGAGCATTATGTAGTCTGAGCATGCATTATGTAATCGCAAGTTTTCAGTATATGGTATGCTTAACTGCCCGCTGTATAGTTTACATGGTTTTTGTTTTAGAGGGTGATTAAGATAGTGTACCTTTCTGTGATTCATTATTGTTGTGGGAGCGGGCTGAATAGTTCTGGGGTGACAATGTGGCTTTGGAATCTTCGCTGAGTGATAAATAGGCGTGGATTCCTAGAATCATTAGTTTGACGTTAGCGCTCGTCTTGTGTCTCTGTTTCTTGCTTGCGTCTGTTATTTGCACTACCTGATCTAATATGCAATCATGCAAACTCGCCCACATTTCAGTTCTCTTATTATTGAAGTCTGGAGCATGATACTGTCAGAGATGAAAACTGTTCAGAATTACGGGCTGGCATAAAGCCGTTCTTGGTGTATACAGAATGCCCGCAAGTCAATCATAATGTGGTACTGTTTAACCTTGCTGCATTGAATTTGAACTGCTTTTTACGGCTGATCAGCGCATTTTTTGTTCAATGCTATACAGTTTTAGAATAGTGTGCACAAAGCTTGCGGGCGTAGCGTCAGCCTTTGTCGCTCAATGGGAGCTCGCAAGAGGTAAGCGAACAATGCATGCGCAATGCAAATGCAAAGCTCCGTGTTGTGTTGTTCTAAACCTATCAATTGCATTTGCACAGTGAAACACTTTTGAGAGATCCGAAGCCTGATAATTTATTCACTACATAATTTTCTATGTGTCAACGTACACTCGATTTCACTGCCCGAATGAATGACATTTGTCTAACTTTGCTGGAGCCATATTTCACAGAAAGCAACAAATGCTGAACTCATCTGTAAAGCATACTAGCTATGTTAAAATTTCCGGAACAGGTGTTCAATAGAAATATCTGTTGAAGGAACTGATAATAAGTATGGCAGAGTTGAATTAGGTTAATTTTTAAATAAAGTTGACGCATTGTTTTTGGGCTTGCATTTGTTGCAATGACAAATGATTATGCAACTACGGCAGAGAGATAGGAACAAGATATAAAAAATTGAGACAAAGAAGTTTGATTAGCTGGGCATGGTAGAAAAAGTTCTAAGCATGCAATGAAATAGATACTAGATCAGGAAATCAAAACGTTAAACGTCAACCGTCAACTGAACTATATCCGCGCAGTGAACTGACTTAATTGATGACTGATATGAAACACGTCATTTGACGACAAAGACACCCACCTTTGAAATTCCATCTCGAGAAGTCTAGGAGACCAGACTTTCCAAGCCAATTTGAGTCAAAGACAACGTGCCAGATGCAAACCGTAGTAACGAGTTTCGGTTGCAATCCGCTAAAACTCTTTAGCGTTGAGCACACATTCAGATTCACTCTCAACTTCACATCACACGCAGCAAGTCGCTAGGAGTGGAAGGAACGCCTGGTGACAAAAAACAAGCAACGCAACACCAAGAGAACAACGCTGAATCGAAATGCGAGTCCTGCGGTTCATCTCGCGATTAAACCTGCCTCAACCCGATCATCCAAAACTGAGCTTGTGTTGACACAATCGATTCCCGAAACGAAACACGTCCTACAAACACTGTTTTCTACTTAAACTAAGACACGTTCAACGCAAAACAAACCCCGCGTTCTTCCGAATAAAAATTCACAGGGACGTAAATATTTAGATGCATTTTTTTCTTTACAATGCCCACTTTCGCGCAGTCAAACAGCGGTTATCTTGAGGCGTAAAGAAACTGTTTAGTTGGGAGATGCTTTCCCAACACTTAGGCTGACAATAAAAGCTAGTTACTGGTTGGAAATCAGTGAGCGTGTTCTGCCGAACACCAACACTAAAACAGAACAAATTTTACGCATGAAAAAATTAAGGGACGCACTTTTCTTCGGCCAGCACTATGTCATCCAGCGCATCGTTGAAATCCATCGCCATATTTTTAGTTTCGGGATGAGAGAGGCGGATGTCGGCCATAGTTCGCAATAAAACAACAGTTGCGAACGCTAACACTTTTTTAATATACTTCGAATCAAACAAATATTTCAAAAATAAATAATATATGTTATTTTAAAATGGCAAATTACAAATCAATGAACTTCAATTGACCACATTGAAATCTAAGTTGATTACGAAACTGGCACTAATGTATGAAGTTCATATCAGCAATACATCGGTCATATGAAGTGACGATCGCGGCGGTCATGTCAATTCGTGGCCGCTGAAATCTGAAGCGTTCGACTCGATGACGGTGAGTTTACGCTGATATCGCTGTGCACGCCTTGAATAGGCGAGCGTGAGTTAATCATTAAACACCTAGAAGCATCGCACTAGCGTTAACGAAATCTGAGCGATCTCGGGGGGCACGCCTGTCACGATCGAGCTGCGCACAAAACCGAAACTTCAGTTTTACCTTCAAGTGCTGTAGAGTTTCAGCGCTTCATTTGCTACCCAGATCGCGCCTTTGCTGAAAGTTGAATTCGAGGAATACTTAGAGGAAACTTGAAATGTGATCCGCAGAACGCGGAGTGTGTACTTGAGCCGATCAAAGGCGCGAGCGCTCCTGACGGTACGATCAGATCGGAGGTTGCCTCAAGCGTCACCCCGTCAGATGTCACCTTTGATGGATGAAGAGTCGCTCTTGTCTGACAGTTGGCGTCCTTACGAAACCGTGTCGAATCATGTAACTGTGTTTTTTCGGAGCGGTGGGTCGTTCACTTTGGCGCTGCCGTCGGAAATGCGACGGCAGGCTGCGATGCAAGGATGGACGCTTGCAGTGCAGACCTTTGACTTCGGTTCAGCAGCTTGCAAAGATAGCTAGGAGACTGGGGTAAATCGTATTGAAAGTGTTAAAAGGTGACTCGGATTTCAAGAGTGCTTGAGGCGATCGCAATCGGTCTCTGCGGCAGTCGCTGCTACGCGGTCATTTAATCATAGCAGCTTCGCCTTTCGATCCTGATCGACTCGATCGCTGCGGTAGTTTCAATCGAAATTTTCCGTCGCGATAGAGCTACGCAGCTGCCGTTGGCAGAATCTGGACAAATGGACTAGGCGAAATAAAATGGATATGAGTATTAAAATAAACACCGCAGATTTATAATTATATAGTTATAATAAACAACGTGGAATTTTAATATTTCGCATTATGATTGCTCGATGACCTCTGGCGGCGAATTTCGAAGTGCATGCCTTGCAGTTTCTCGGGCACTTGCGAAATTTATTGGTTTGGTCACTGTCCGTGCTGACAGAGATCGAACTTGCGACTTTCAAGCAAAGTGTTCGATGATATACCCACTGTAGCGCAGTTGGAAGAGCATCGGACGCGTTATTCGAAGGTAGCAGGTGCAGTGCCTGCCCACGGCAAGTTATCTTTTCATCCACCTTTCTCTCTACTCATTTACGTCATGGTTACGACAAATAACATCCCCCGTAATTTTCTCGGCTTTCTTGTCCCGTCAGTTCTCATTAATGTTGCACCCAACGAAATGAAGGAGAGTCTTCAAAATTTTCCCCTCTGTCATTCATTCAGAGTGCACTGTGGTCACGCTTAGCTCCACCATTAAACAAACCACTGAAACCACCATTAAACCATTAAAAACAACACTTCATCATTAAATTTCACCCTGCACACTTTATTTCTAGGGCTCTTGCAGCTGGCGCGAAGTCATGATGAAGAACCCTAGCCCATCCAAGAAGACCTGCTCTGCGAGTTCAGCGGTCGGTTACGTCCTGACGGCCACCGCCGCTCGTCGGGTGCGCCTTGGTGCTGCTCGCACCTTTCGAGAGGCGGAAACTGGAGACCGAGTTTGTTCCACGGTTTCTGGAGTCGTCGCCCAATGTTGTCGTCCCATCGAGCAGCCCATTGGCAGAGCCAAGGATCGAATCGTGTTCCTACTACACGTGCTTCGACGTCTACAGGTGTGGACACAGGCACGACCAGGTCACGGTGTACGTCTATCCAATATTCAAGTGAGTACTAACTAAAGCTCAAGAGATTCCATGTGCAGGCAAAAAAACAGTGTGCCTCTTGAGTTCTTTTCTTGTGCTCATGAACGATTTCATTTGCGCATGCAGCTATATTTTAACTGCCTGTATCTGACCCAGCAAAAATTCAATTGAGAGTCAGCACTGTTTGTGTGTGCTTCGTCTTGTTTTTTTTTTTTTTTTTTTTGGGGGGGGTTCTGCGCTGTGTAATTCAGTTCGTTATATGTTGATGAGATAGCTGGGATAATGTAGATAGTATGATGCAAGTGGGATTACAGGATGAAGATTATCTAGGTGGGACTGAGGCGTGTGTCTCATCGCTACCTTCGTTCACATGTCGCAGGTGAAAATAAAGATGTCTATATGTCTATATACTGTAAATGGCTGAAAAGTTATAACCTGACAAATACAAAAAAAATCACAGTTGAGTGCTCAGTGTCTGCAGCCTTAAATATATTTTCAATGAAGCTATGACGAGATGCCTAACGCGAATGTTAACCTGGAAAAAACTTACTGGTTATTATGACAAGACTTGGAAGCATCACCGTATGAAGTGCAAGTTTTCGTGAAAAAGTACTTGGTGAAATCGCTGCTTCAAAAGTACAGACTAGCTGTAAAAACGGGTCAGCAAGGTTGTTTATGAGTTGTTGCTCAATAGGGTTAGAAACGGGGAAGAAGCCGTAGTAGAACTTTGCACTACCAGGTTGATTTCTATGATACGACGCTTGTATGTAATGTAATTCCATAAGTATTTTGTTACTTACAAAGCTGATAACTTAATTTCCCAGCAAATTTGTCAATTTTCTTATTTATCTTTCTTCTCTTCACAGCACCGTTCACGTAAGCATAAACATTGAAACATTGCTTGCCCGTTTTTCCTTTCCTATTTCAAGAATAAAGAAACTTAGGGTGGTCTTAATAACACTTCTTTTTCATGTAAATGGGGTGTTCTTAAAGACACTCTTCAAAATAACAAGGCTTTATAAATAAAAGGTTGTTCCTTATAGTTTTGATATGTTTCACTGTAAAACAACACCTAGATTGATGCTGTGGTTGTCGTCTTCAATTTTTGCAGCTATGTTGATGAACATGGAAAGGAACTCGGTCATCAGGCCTCCAGAGAGTTCATGGAACTCTTGGAAGCCATCCAGCAGTCTAGGTTCTACACCTCCGATCCTTCAAAGGCCTGCCTATTCATTTCATCACTGGACACTCTGAATCAAGAGGGTCTGAACCTGAACGCCATATCGCAGATACTCAACTCTCTACCATAGTAAAGTTCTTATTTGTTTTTTTTCTTGTTAGTTCAGCACTGTGTGCTGCCTTCTTTTTCGTGTTTTGTGGCTTTGCTGGCATTTATTCAAGTATTTTGTTTCTCTGACTCAAGATTTGATGATGGTGTGCTTTTAAAAGTGAGACCAATTCATTGGTAACCGCCGCCACGTTATGGGCCTCGATATTGAAACTATACTGGGTCATGCTTGTCCAGCTTGTCTATTTTTTTCTCGCTACCATGATCTTATAAAGATAAACAAAAAGATCAAACGCACTATTATAAGTTGAATGTTCCCTTATTTTCTCACGTGTAACAGGCGCACCGATTTCGGTGCTCAAAATGACTTCACGGTGATGCTGCGCGGCAACGCTACTAAAACACTGGTAGCAAGAGGAGCAAGTGACGACGAGAGTGCGACACTAGTGATTGTAACCGTGTTAAAATTAAGTTTTTGCAGCCTTTTAGCGTAACAGCAACGCTCATGTAATGTCCCTATGGGACCTTTGAGGAATCAATAAATAAATAAACAGAGGAGTCATGTGCATAAAAGTGTAAAATTTAGATGCATGCTTCAAATGTGCGGGTAACATTAGGGAATCTTTGCATTTTTATGTGTTGTTGATGGGGATGCGGTTTACAGGCAGAGGCAGGTTATGTGTGAGAAATTACGACATTGTGGTAAGCGAGTATTTTATGATAGCTCCTCTAGATTTCACTAGGAGGCGCAAGTTTGGCACAAGAGTAGAAGAGTGCTGGCGGTATTGCATGAACGATATCGGCTCACATGCACAACTCGCACACATCGGGCTCGGTCTCCAGAGATGCACTGTGCATTGAGGTAATGATGTAGCGAAAGCCCAACTGACTAAGCTGCTAACGAAAACAAACAGTATGCCCTCGTTACGCTCCTTTCAGCTGGCTGTTATGGCAGCTTGAATAAAATACATATTATCTGTGAATATTCTATTGTAACTTGAAAATCTCAAGAAATGTGAAATATCTCTTCTCAAATGTGTAGCTTGTTTAGTGACTATGTTATTTTCTCGATGAGTTAAAAAAGATCACTGGTTCGGCAAAAACTACATTTCAGTAGAAGGCTACATGTAAAAAGTTTCTTGTTCTTGGATTTAGGCACACATTGCTGTTTTATGTAGTGGAAAACACATTAAAACCTGCACGCGTCTGGTTCCATTGTCTTGTCCAGCTGGGACAACGGCACCAACCACCTGCTCTTCAACATGCTGCCTGGAATGTTGCCAAGCTATGCGACCTCACTGGAGGTGAACACCGGTCAAGCCATGGTGGCCGGCGGCGGCTTTGACTCGTGGACCTTCCGCAGATCCCACGATATCAGCATTCCGGTGTTCAACCCGGCAAGATATGAACTCGACCCGTCGCTCGCAAGAAGGTAGGCGCCACTTTTGACAGACTTTGGGAGTTGAAGCTGGAGAGCATTTGCATATTTACTCGTGTGATGCCTGCGCTTTTTCTCTTGATCGTTATTATGTTAGCAATAGAACTGTAGCAGCTGGTAAAAGCTGTCTGCGGTGGTGTCAGACTTCTGGAATGTACGAGAGGGCGAGGGAAACGGTTGTGGTGCAGAAGAGACATTTTACTGTTGGCTCTTCTGTCACTGGCCGTATTGTAACGATGTTGAAGGACTCAAGGTGTGTATAAAACGTATTATTAAAGGGCGAACCTGTGCCCACAACTCAAAGGGACTATGGTCGTAGAACGTTACAGCAGAACACCAAAGATGTCTCCTTCTTCAAGAGGAGTCCCAAGCGCGTGGCGCACATCAGCCGGGGCCAGCTGGGTTCTCGTGCTATCATCATCGTCTATGCGCAACACTAGATGGCGCGCATGTATGTCCCTGTGTGCGCGGTGATAGGCGCGTTGTTTGAATGCAGGCAACATGTCGCGGCATAAACCCCCTCCTCATTCGCATCGTCCCGATGCGTCAGGCAATGAATAGATTCGTGGTAGGCGTCACTGGTTTTCTGGTGATCTTTCATAGTGAGGCTTCATCCGGACTACATACATGTACAATCTCTGTAGGGTTGCGACGTTTTGAGCTCCCGTGTAGTAGCGGATCTGACTTGGTACGTTACATCGCTTACACGATGGAGTACTTCGTAAGGCCCGAAGTAGCAGGCTAAGAAGTTTTTCAGAAAGTCCACGGCGACGCACTGGGGTCCATATCTATACTTTGTCACCTGGTTGAAAATGCGCTTCAGTAGGGTATTTGTTCGGTGCTGTCCTTTAAGGGGGTTCTCAACCACCCCTTGGGCTTGGTGAAAAAAAAAAGCACATTTTACGAACGACAAGCACTGCAGTGAATGATTTAGCCGCATGTTGTAGTAGGACATGGTTACATAGAGTTTAGAATTGGAGCGCAAAGTTGCCACTTCTCAAATGCCTTCTCTACCTACAGAGTTCCCGTCCTCACTTACGTCGGTGGGTAAGGCATTGGTTGTATTTTGCCAAACAGCAGAATAATCTATGTTACGAAATGATTGATGATGACCATACTCTTTATCAACAAAAATTGACCCCACAAATACTGGTGAATAATACACTCGAATAATGATGCTCGGCATACACTTGTCATGACGTTAATTATACACTTGTCATGAGGCTAGATGGCTACTGTTGTTCATATTGTACAATTTTTGTCTTGGCTTTCATTTTATGCCATTATTTATTATATGCCGTGTGGTAAAAATGCCTTTGATTTGTCGTTTTCCATGCAATCAAAAGAAACTCCATTGAATAGAAAGAATGGTACCATTTTGTACTGAAAAAGAATGCTCTACAAATTGAGGAAAAAAAACGATTTCACTAATATCGGCTCGTTTTTTTTTTCTAACACAAAAGGGTTAAAAACTGAGAGAGAGAAAATTGTTCTCGCTTGTTGCGATCTTCACGACATGCCGAAGGCAAACTGGTGAATCGAAATGTGATGCTCGGGAAGAGAAAAATATTAATTTCATCATCCGGTGTGGCCTATCTGGCAATAACCCGTCAGCATACTGTCATATCAGGGTCGTGACACAGTTTTCACTGGTTCTCGTTCGCCACTTTCCGTCGTCGCAAATAGGTCCGACCGGCCATGGTTGCTAATATCGGCTCAGCCAGGGATTCACTTCGAGTTTCGCACCGTGGTGGCTTCATTGGCCAAGGCGCACCACGACGTGCTGAATCTCGCCGGCTGTAGTCGCGCCTGGGACAGCAGGTTACGTTGTCGCGGCAGCCGGCACTACAAGTACCCGGACATCCTAACGGTGAGCCCTTACACTCATTGTCCGGCCTTGGCTATAGTCGTCGATCTGGCCACTCTGTCCTGCACCCCCACTCTGTCCTGCACCGAGAACAGTTTGCACTCTTTGGGAAATCTTTTTGTCCTGTAGTAACAATGGTCCTTCGTTGAAAACTTGGCATTCGTCACTTTTGGATAAAGAATGCATGACCTTAGATAGCTCGCCTGAATGTTCTGGACACATGGTTTTTTAAAGCAATGAAAATGAATAGATGACAAGTATTGTTGTGGGACACAAGTGCCCGAAATAGTCTTTTTCGTTTTAGGGTGTACGACTTGCACCCTTTAGGGACTTTTTTTTCCACTGCAGTAACAAACGTTTGGCTTGCTTGAGTATCTTTTCTGGAAAACTTTGCTTTCGTGCTTTTATACCAAGAGTGCCACTATGATTGCGACCTAAAAGTGCTGGGCATACGGTGTTAGAGCTAGGAAAAGCATGCTGAATAGATGATGCTCGAGTTTTTTTGGAACAAAAAACTCTCCAGAAAGACTCTGCTGAGAGTTTACAGAAATGCACAGGACATTGTGCCAGGCAAACAGCATGTAATAAGAGAAAAGCGTCTGCAGTTCTGTTGCTGTAGGAGGAATCGCAGAACGACTGTCGATTTCTCAATCGCAGGAGGGCAAGTTCTGCCTGGTCGTCCGTGCGGCCAGGCTTGGCCAGATGGCGCTGTCCGATGCGCTCTCGGCCGGGATGCATTCCTGTGGTGGTTCGCGGACGAGTATGTGCTGCCCTTCTCGGAGGTGCTCGACTGGAAAAGGTTGGTCTAGTTTGTTGGAGCCAAATGAACAAAAAGTTGTGGCAAATTTGCCAAAGGGTAACTGTCATGAGTGCAAAAGTGTCAGCTGCTCATGCCATGCTCCAGTAACAGCAGTGAATAGTAGCAAGCTTTAAGCTAACACTTGTAAGAAGTGCAGCACAAAGACTACAGAGAAAAAACAAGAGTGCTGTCCTCTATGATCTTGAGTTGTAAATGCATTTCCCAATTAGCCCAAGTCATCATGGTGTTGCGATTGAGCCAAGGTTAAACTTCAATTAGGAAACGTTGGCCTGTGTTAGCAAAATTTAAGTGTTGCTGGTATTATATGTACAAGGGATCCTCTCTTGAAGTTTGTAATAGCTTTTTCATGGAGTGTCCTTCCTTTCAAAAGCAATTGTGCAAATTATGTTTTGTCTTCATAATATATGACAGTATTTCAGTTGTGGGCTTTTTTCTAGCCTATGACAGTTTAAATGCACTGCGTGACTTGGGGGCAATGAAGCAAATTTGCATCACAAGTGCTGCAGTGTAGATTGGTGTTTCTTCATGTCCTTGTTTGAGCTGCACACCGCTTATAGGCGTTCAAACCTAGTCTGCCCAGCTCAAAGACTCAAACACTTATTGAACGTACTGCTCTTTAGATGAGCAGTGCGTTAACTTCTCACAGGATGCTTTATGTTAATCAGTCTCGTTCACTTCCTACAGAGCTGCCGTACGGATTCGCGAAGACGAGCTAGAAGATGTCATCGGGATTCTGAAGGGATTTTCAGAAGCTCGGGTGTCGGAGATGAGGTCCCAAGTGTTGCTGATCTGGGAGCGATACTTCAGAAGCATGGAACGGATTGCTATGACGACACTGGAGATCATCAACGATCGCCTGTTTCCGCATGTCGGCAAAAGTTACGAAGATTGGAACGACTTGCCGCCTGGGGTACGACGCCCATTCCTCTGCTTGGCTTTTGAACTTTTCCTAATCAAAGAACAGCTGAAATTCAGTTCAAGGGATTATTGCAAACCTAAAGTGAATAATTAGTGGGGCCTGAGGGTTCTAAGCTTTGTCGCATAATCATTTTTCTTGTCTATTAAAATGTCTAGTACACACTTTTTTTGTAGATATTTGCATTTTACAGTCAATGTAGAGCAATATGAGCCATCAGTGGCTGAGAACTGTAAATGTCTCTGTGCAACCTACTATAAAACCAATTAGATATTTTAAATCAGCATAAAAGCCTATACATATCCCAGAAATGTTATTGCCATAGGCTATAAGATAATGCATATTTTTATAATTGTATCTTTTCTTTAGGTTGATGATAAAATGAGCAGTATTTACTTAAGCCATGACTTATTCATTTGTTGGTGGAATAATGGTATTCAGTCTTGGATTATGACTATAGATGAGATGCGGTTGCACAAGTTTGGATTATTTTACTATTCGCACTGCTTAGAGCTTTGTCACAGCCACAATCGAAATCTTATTCTGCAACAGATATCATCAATTATTATGGTCTTGGAAGGTTAAATTTCTAGAGGGAATGATGATGAAGATGCCTGATTACTGATACTGTAGGAGGATTTTGTTTGACTAACATTTTCCCAGTTCCTAGAGGGATTTCCAAATAGTTTAAAAATGTTCAGCACATGCTTATTTTTTTCTTGTTAAATGGATTCATTTACCAGCTTTGTTTGGCACAATGTTGTGTAGTTTACCGCTAATGCTTTGATATGTCAATTGCCTTCAAGTGCAATTTTGAAATTAATGCCTTAGAAAGCACAGAGTGTACGAGACACAAAAACTCGTAATTGCGACTTTTCAACAATATTACAAATAGGCAGTAGAGTAAGCTTTTAATTTATTTTTCACTCACTCTTTGTAATAAATATTGGCAATTCTATAAGATATCCTTGTAGCAATGACACACAAAAAAAGCCATAAGCATAAAGCAGTAAAAGTAGACTAGGTTCGATATTAAGTAGTTAAGGTTGATGAAGGAAGCCGTCTCAACCTGAGAAATACTCAGTAGGATAAAACATTTTTTAGACAGTTGAAGTAGCTAGTGAACACACTAACAAACGTACTCTATCCCCATCAAGCTTATTGAAGCCTATGATCGCAGCTTGTGCTGCCGGCACCTTTTGCGATACCATTCGTGGCCCCGCGGAGCCGTGGCTTCACTGCGGTGGTGCTGACCTTACGACCGGCTGAACAGCCTGTTCAAGGTCGTCCAGCAGTTGGCCCAGGTGCCCAGCCTGGTCAAGGTCGTCGTGGTCTGGAACAACCAACGAAAGTCGCCACCTCCTGGTAAGCCGAAAATTCCGAATCAGACGCGTCCAGAATCGTTAGCAAGGTACTGGATTACGTAATGTCATTTACGTATCGTGCCTTTGTAGCTGCATAATAGTGGTGTTCTGTATGAGCTGCGACGCGGCAGCTACGGTTGAAGGGGTCCCCTAAGCTGGGTCACTGGGCAAACGTGAAACCAGTTTTGCAGTGTCAGTCCTGCTTTAACCACAGGCAGTAGATTGCAACTCGCATAGGATGCGACTGCACATCCTTGATTAAATGTTCAATTTTCGCTGCTCAGTTCGTGTTTCTTCTTGGTGTCCCTTTAAGAACCCCAGTTAGTTGAACATAACCTGAAGCTACACCACTACATGCGTCTCATAACCATACCCGGCTTTTGAGGTGTAATACTCCGAAGTTTAATTGATGCGACGCAATAACGCGATGCAGCATCTTCCTGGCCGAAACTGAGCAAGCCGCTGAAGGTGATCCGGACGAAGGCCAATAAACTGAGCAACCGCTTCTACCCGTACAAGGACATCGAGACGGAAGCCGTGCTCGCCATTGATGACGACATCCTGATGCTCACCTCCGACGAACTGGAATTCGGATTCGAGGTTCGGCTGTTTTCGCGTCCCTTGACTCCATCTCTGCCACGGTCTGAGGGAACTGTGATAATGACAACTGAAGGAAAGATTTACTCCAGCTTGGCTTAGTAGTGCAGTGCTATAGACATTTCGCCACCTATGTAGTTGGTGTCTTTCGAACGCAGTGACATCTGCGCATGCAGCAGAACGTCCTCTCAATTTTCTTGTTAATTTTATGTCAAATTGAAGTAAACTCCTTTTTTTCAATCATGAATTCACCCAGCTTATAGAACATATTGCGTTAAAAACGTGTGCCAAGAAATGGAATAATAGGCAATGCATGCAGTGGATGGCTGATTTTATGTAATAGCAACTCAGTAAGTGGGCTAGTTGTTACTTTGTAAAATAGTTAAAAACCAGCGGAAAATATCAAATGCTAGAATAAAAAAGAGCAGCTGTAAATGCCACATAGTCTCGTCGTTTTCATTTCTTAGTCTTTTGTGATTTCTGTAGGCTTTTATCCATTACCTGTGACTGAGTCGAATGTGTTCCTTCTCACTCATATGGCAGGTCTGGAGAGAGTTCCCAGACCGAATAGTTGGTTTCCCGTCCCGGGTTCATCTCTGGGACAACACGACTTCCCTCTGGAAGTATGAGTCAGAGTGGACGAATGACATTTCCATGGTGCTCACCGGTGCAGCGTTTTACCACAAGGTAATCACACCTCGATTTGCTAGAGCATAACCCCATTGCAGACAGCAAACCATACTTGTTGGTAGAGCATCGCCTGCACAATGCAAAGGTTGTGGGTTCGGACCCCATTGGCGGGAAGTTCTGTTCACTTTCACTTTGCTTTGTTTTTAAAAAGATTACTAAGTTTGTGTGAATATTTCTTATTTGATTGTGAGCGAAACCGAAGTGAATTCGAATAGTAGCACGATTTGAATAGCAGTTTTGTGTTAGTTATAAGTGGTGCAATATGCCACGTTTTAAATTAGCTCGTATAACATGCATGTAAATTTTAAAAAAAGATTAATCAGTGCGCAGGTATTGTGCTCACTTAACCGATGAAGTGTGCTTTGTGGCTGTGTGGACTTTTTTCTGATACAGGCAGTTTCACGGCGTAGTAGTTTCATACCGCAGTGCAAACCAACTTTTAGGCGGATTACACGTGGCAAAAAAGGTGTGTTCGTCAGTTGCCAATGCTTAGAAACACTGGAAATAATAAATTTGCACTGAAACGAATTCAGATTTACCTGTAAAATTCTTTCTAATGTTCGCAGAGACCTTAATATGACTATGGTTCAGTTGAAATACTATACTTGTGGACAACTTTTCTTGGCAATGCAATGAAGGCTTCAGAACCAAATCGCATGTATCCTACCGCTAATGAAGGTAGTACCACAACTGAGTCCGTTTTCTTCTTTTTGGGGGGGGCGTGAGGTATCTGAAATATGCCTTCATTTCCAACATGTGGCCCTTTTTAGACACCACGCAGCACACACCAGTGAGATATTTGCATTTCTTTTAGTTTTCTCATTGTCATACTGTCCAAACCCGCAATAACAAAACCCCGCGAGTGCGAAACCCCCGAGGCAACGAAATATTTCTGGATCCCGGCCAACGTTCACAGAAGCCCATGTATTACGTATCTCGCGGCAACGAAATGTTTTTGGACAGCGATCCCACATTAATGAATTTTCTACCACGGCATGGGCCTTATTTTACCCTCCCGCCAAAAGTTAACTGTTGAAAATATGCTCGTATGCGTGTAATGCACACTCAAAATTAGTAAACATTGGCTTTTGTTGCGCTAGCATGGGTACCGCCATTTTTGTTTACTTAAGGGGCGATGCGGCTTTGGGATCGCGAAAAAAAATGGCAAAAAAAAACGATTTTTTCAAAATCAAGTTTTCAGTTTCTGGAACCCTTTTTCTATCTGATTCCAAAATATCTACGCTGAAAACCACGCAGAAGTGCTTCGGAAAATTGATTTCACCCACCTAGGTAGTAAAACTTTTTCATCGCGAGAAAACAGCGATTTTCAAAAAATTATGGCTTCGCAATGGCGGGGCCGGGAGCCGGCTTCTTGGGCTCATCCGAAAGAGCATTTCTCCGTGTTTAACTTTCCCACCTCAGCTAGCTCCTCCCTTTAAAAACAAGCACACAAAAAGCAAATGTTTGAAGGTCGTTTCGAGGCCCTTGATTGGCTGTGGCTGCCATGTTGCCTCAACTCGCCTCGCCATTGGCCCGATGCTCGCTCTGGGAGACTGTCATCTGCTGCTTGTGTGTCGCCAGGACATGGCTCTAAAAAATTGCTACTTCGTGACGTGTTCACGGCTCTATGATCACTTAAGATATAATTACACTTTAGTTAGGAGCAGTAGGCGGATGCGCGATCAGGTTACTACGAGCACGTCGCGTCATCGGAGTCTCGAGACTACGGGCAGGAACGACGTGCTAGCGCACTCGTGGCGACGTGCTTCGTCGCAAGCAATGAAGCTGTAAGCAGGGGAACCGTCAGATTACTACGAGTGGCCGCACCGGATGCACAATCAGATTACTACGAGCGGGCGTGCGGTCTACGAGCGTGGCGCGTCATCGGAGTCAGCTTTAGCCTTAACTCTACTGACAGCGAAACTGCGGGCAGCAGCGAAGGGTGTCCAGCGCATCCAAAACAGCCCGCGGGTTGTTTTGGATGCGCTGGACACCCTTCGCTCCTTCTTCGGCGCACATGAGGATGACGTAGCAATGGACCACTTTTTCCAGTGCGAAGGGAGAGCTTTGAAGTTGTTGCATGGCAAGGGTTGGCAAAGTAAGTTGACCGACTTCTGGCAATAAATTTTCGTTTTGCTGGCCATATCACTGTTTTTATGTCTCATACTCGCGGCAACGAAATTCTCGCGAAACCGAAAATTTTCGGTTTCCCCGGCGATTTCGTTATTGCGGGTTTCGACTGTATTGTGTTTTCATGTGCATGACAAAGTCGCGCCTTTTTCCCGTACCTCTGACGACTAGCGGCGTCCACTTCTCAATGCAACGCTGATCGCACGAAGCCATCACTTTTCATAGCGGTTCTAGACGCAATTTAAACCGGACTACTTCACATTGGAGTACATATGCAGAAGCTCCGCCCCCTCGTAGCTCTCCCTTCATTGCCAAGAAAGGCTTGTACGTGAGTGTAACGATTCTCTCCTTTGCTTTCATTGGGGTATTTATCGATTGTCTTCATATAGTTGTTTCTAGCACAGCCACATATTCCATTCCCGTTTTTTCATTCCATTCACAGCATTACAGCCACGAGTACTTCGACCGGCTTCCCGCCAACATACGACACTGGGTCGACGACCGCATGAACTGCGAGGACATCGCCATGAACTTCCTTGTCGCCAACATCACGGGCAAGGCTCCGATCAAGGTCGCGCCCCGCAAGAAGTTCAAGTGCCCCGAGTGCGCACGGCTCGACAACCTGTCCAACGACCTGCAACACATGGCGGCCCGCTCCGAGTGCGTCAACGTCTTCGCAAGGGCCTTTGGCGGGATGCCGCTGAAGACTGTTGAATTTAGGGCCGACCCCGTGCTCTTCAAGGACAACTTTCCCGAGAAGTTGAAAAGGTTCTCCAACCTGGGAAGCCTATAAGGCAGAGTGTGGTGGCTCTACCTTACAAAGGTTAGCTATGGACGACAGCGTAGAGCATCTATAGATATCTCTAGACGATGTCCGTTGAAGTCTATCAAGTTTCCAGGAAGACTTTCCCTGAAAAGCTGGAAAGGTTTTCTCGTGCGGGCATCCTGTAGGGTATTGTGAGGCGGGACGTCCTTGCAAAGGTGCTTTGGGCAGTGCAGAGCGTCTATAGGTGTCTATAGACAATGTTGAGCGGAGTGTATCTCTAGTTCAGTGTGGGCTCTGCGCTCTTCGGGGTAGACTTTTCAGAGAAGCTGAAAAGATTCTCCTACTTGGGCATTCCGTGAGGCAGTGTGTGATGTCACTCCCTTACGAAGGTTTGTTTGTATGGTGTAGTATGTCTATAGATGAAGTTCAAAGAAGTATATCAAACACAGGGCCAGTTTGGTGCTATTCAAGAACGAGTTTTCCGAGAAGCTGAACAGGTTCTGTAGCTCGGGGCAGCCTCTAAGGGAGCATTTGCTGCCACCCCTTTGCAAAAGTTTGTTTGGGCATTCTGTAGAATGTCTATAGACAAATTCTAGTGATCTCATTGATTATTTGGGGACAGCTCCCGTGCTCTTTAAGGTCAACTTCACCGGAGGTGTTGTTCCAATTCGAGCGGTCTGTAACTCGGTGCGTGATACCACAGGCTTGCAATTACGTTGTGGAAAATCTGTAAATGGTATATTTACACTAGACTTTATAAAAGGTTTAGTGTTGATCCGATGCTTTTCATAGAACCATTCAAAAAAAGTGTGAGAGGTGTTCAAACTTTGAACAGATTGTAGCTGTGTTCAATGACACTGACTTATAGGAACGCTTAGACAGTCTGCCCATAATCTGAGACTTCTTTTAGCAAAGTCTATAAACGTGTAGATAATGTTGTTTACATCTGAGCTAACAATATACTACTGCAGACTATCTGAAAATGTGTCCAGAACATGTATAGACTATGACCAGGCCATAGGAAACTTACCTGATACCTTTAGTCATAAAAGTTCACAGGTATTGCACTTAAAAAATTATAAGTTTGCAGAAAGGCAAGATTGTCTACGGGAAAGCAGTGATGCATGTGTGCTCTTTCAAAATGCACAGGCACTTAAATCATGAAAGCATAGTCAGAGGCAATAAAACGACCTGGTCACTCGTAACAGGCTATCTAGCTTTTTGTTCTTCTGACAATAATAGCATAATGTGGTAGGGACACTAACGAGCAGAATAACTTTTTGCGTGTTAGGAAAGTACAATTTCACAATCCTCAAAACGCAACTCTTACCAGTGAGGCAACGCTTGATAAGCAAGAAGACATGCAAAAAGAAAATGTGGGTGGAGACACCACTTGCGGATTCCCGCACCAAGCGCCATGATGTCATTAATTTGGAATGCATCTACTGGATTCTACTTAGCTTCTGATCAATAGAACTGAAGTACATTGTGGATGCCATAGAGCTAGCACACGGAGTTTCAGAAAATGTCATTGAGCCAGTGTCGCAGGAATACGGAAAATACATTTTGAAATTTACGATGTTGCGCGAGAAAATTTAGGTGGAAAATATAAAATGAAACTTCAACCTTGATTTTCGCTGCTAATAATGAACTTATGATAGTGAAACATATGACAGAGTTCTCAAAGTGCAGTTTGTCAGTCTAAACCAAGTCATTGTTTCCCTTCAGTGTCCCTTTAAATCTAAAAGTAGTCTATGGGTTTTTCTCTGAATTCACATTTGTAAAAGTTGGCACGTGACTTAAGATTGAAAGCAGTACAGTGACTCACTGGACTCTTAAAATATTCCAGCCCTACTTACGACAATGACAGTTGACCCTCTTGGACGCTACCTGTTACAAAGCGGCAAGCTGTAATCGTAGACTACCACTAGAGTCAGTTGGCATGATGAGTTGTCATTGTCATCTGTTAAACGAAATCCACGAAACCAGATACAGCTACTGGCTGCTGTGTTGTGCAGTGCAGTGCACCCACTTGGTGAAACGGTTCGCTTGGTTACCCTCGTTCCTGTTACTCTGTGCACTTTTTTCTCGCAGCAGTACACAGTTCATTCTGAAGAACAAGGTGCTGTGATAAGCGAAAGGTATTTCACCAATGTAACTGCAATATGAGGATGTCACTGGCACAGGCAGCTCAATGCGATTCGGGCAGCTTGCCTGCCCCGATATATTGACTGTCTCGATCCCGTACTTTCATATTGCGCATTCTCAGCTATGCACCAATCTGCAAACTATGCGCGTAAGCATAGTTGGCAGATGAGTGTCGTAGTTAATTATGTGATTAGTGCTCATGTACCTAACCTATAATGAACCTGGACTTGTGTCTGTCATCAGCTAGCAGCCAGCTATACTTTGCGAGCAGCTAAGTTTCCGTATAACACGTCCCCCATCACGGTATGCGGCCGAAAATACTATTAAGCTTTGTGGTGTGACCACCAGGTGGCTGCAGTCTCCCAGTTCGGTTTAATCTAGTGGGTTGCCTTGTGACTCTTGGAACGTCCATCCCTGACAGCACTGACCTTCAATAGTGCACAGCTGCAAAACCTTGAAAGCAATCGTAGTTATAAAAATAACTGTCATTTCTGTGATAATCACTAGTTTCTGTAGTTATCACTCTTAGCTTTGCCGACGGGACTTACTGTGTTCATTAATTATTGTTCTGTTTTTCAATTTTCCAAGGCTATCAACAGGCAATAGGTGGTTGTCTTGACCGGTGATGAAATGCTTGGAGCAGTCCTCTGTGTGCTCAACTCAACGAAACTTTCTAGTTTATTTTCGTGTAGATGTTGAGTTGAGGGAAAGTTAGATGTGAGCGTAGTTTTTGCAAATCGCAACGAACGAAAGCTCGGAACTGTGGACGGCCATTTGCGAAATGGCATGAATCACTTTCAGTAATTAAACAAGTGTGACGCTATTTCTCGACTTGGCGGCTTTATGATCCATTGCGAATACTCCCATCAAGTTACACGGTTTATGAGCTTATGTGAAGCTCTGCTGAAGTGAAGAGTGTACTTAAACGCACATTACATGTCCTTGAGCGCAGGTTTGTTGTTAACGACATCTCATTGACTGCACTTTATCTATCTTGTGTAGGTCAATGAAACACCATTTTATTAACTGATACACGGACAAAAATATTTTTCAGCTGTCCCAACTAACTGTACATCGCATTATTTCAGACGAAGTTCAGTAAGCCAGTCAAAGAAATGAAGTGTTTAGAATAAACTAGAGTCTCTGGTTTTAGCAAAGTAGACTTTGCAGCCATTTTTATGAAAGCAATATCTAACATTAACAAAGATGTATTTGTCACATTCAAGAAAATACGCAAGGCACTTTATTCTTATCGTTGCACGAAAACTTGTAATGCTGTCTTTTGAGTACTTTGCTCTAATATATCTGGTATGGGTCTGATGTAAATGGCATTTTACAAAGAGATGTGTGAATGGATGTTGAGTGATAGCTCGATGACACCTGTTTAATCATTATTGCAGTATTATGCAGGAGAGTTACCTGACCAGCATTTAGGCGTTCTGTGACGTCTAACGTCTTGTGTTGTCATCATTGCTACTAGTAAGCACCTGTTTTGTAATTATCACCTCGTATATTCTTTCCCAAGTCTATATTAGCTTGTTGAGTCTATCACCACTACTTACTGCATCAGTACTGTTTACTGAATCAGCATCTTCATGCAACATTATTTTTGCATTAAAAGTCAACATGATTGTAGCAATTTGTCATATTTTGGTGACACATCTACTGTGCTATCAGGACTCAATTCATGATGAAAAAATTTCCTTTTCGCATGCGTTGAACGACTTTGAATTGCCATTTCGCTGCTTTAATTTCTGTGTCATTCGAGCAATCGGCTGCACTCTCATGCCAACGCAATGCTGCCTGTAAGTCTGTGCTTCTTTGCGAAAAAAAAAAAAAATGCATGCAAGTTCACATTTTTGGCAGCTTCTGTTAATTTCTCTGAAGTGTTCATGCTGTATATGTTAAATGCATTTTTTGTCCTATTAGTTGATTTTTGCATTACACGTGATGTTTAGGAATGTTTATTTTGCATTTGTGATCAGCCTGTGGTCACTCCGCGAGCTTGCTCTGCAGTCTACAGAATAGAACAGCAGCGTTATTTCTATGAATGAATATCGTTACCTCACCATAGACGAAGGAAGTGCGTAGTCTTATTTTATAATTAAAAAGACAACAAAACATGATAGTATGCAAAGAGGCAAGTGCTAGTTGGTGAACTGTGTTTAAAGTAGGTTTTCGAAGTGTGTTCATTCTATTACTCATGCTAAACACTTGCTAGCATGCAACTTATTTCATGCTTGTAGCTAAAGTTCGTTATTCGTTTGTCATATTGGTTAGTTACATTGCTTTTATAACCTCACAGCTACTCACTAGCACAATCGCGCGCATTGGTTAAGCATACGAGGCATGCACTTCACAGATCTGAGCTGCGAGCTAACGAGCAACCATTCACAGTTGTCTCGTCGGAACATATCATAATAAAGCAAATAAAACTATTTTTCTTCTGAAATGAGCTAATTAGGTATACCAGTGAGTGTGAGAAACAAAAGGTTATCTTCAATTTTGTAATGAAATACATATCTCTGATCAAATCTTGACAGCAATTTTTTTAATGTGAATGATCCTGTTTCCTTAAGAAAGCACAGTGAAGGAGGCGATTTGCTCGAAGACATGGGCTTGCTTATGCGGCTGTCGAGCATGTCATTAAGTGTTTAAAAGAAGCATTCCAAAACATTTTGAAAACATTACAGTCATGTCAAACTCATGTGTTGATCCGTCTTATATATTGAAACGCCATTACTTTTGTCTTATAATGTATCCAATTGTTTTTGGCAAGTGTCATGTATGCAATGAACAATCTCAGTACTAGCGAAAGTACCTTTTCTCTACAGCTCTATGTACTTGTAGAACATTGTTATAAAAAGTAATATTCGTAACATTGTTTTCATGCTAAGTATTCACTTTGCACGTGAAACTTAACGAGTCAGACGTCCTTTACCTGTTCTGCATTACAGTAGTATAGTAATCAGCTTTTCGGTGACATATATATATATGCGGATGGAATGTGCAATACACAAAAAAAACGGTTGACTGAATGTTGTTACACTATGTTCCTTTCTTTGTGCATTCCATTTAGTGGAACAAATTGTTTTGCCTTCTGTACTTTGCATTTGAATTAAGCAATGTTTTTTATTTGTTATGAAGCTAAGTTTCAGTGCTTGTCTGTGAACTAGAGATTTTGTGTATCGAAATAAGTTGAACATTGTTATAACTAATTTAGTTGGAGGTAAAAATACCTTTCCTATTAAGTGTTTGCTGTAAGCGTATGTGTCAATATCATAAGGGATAAAAATGCAGTGGGACTTATGCAAAAAAAGAAAAGTGCGATTCCTCTCTCACCCAAATTTTGATGACCCATCAAGCTGATGCATGGCCTGTGATGCATGGCCTGTGAATTAGACATGATCATTGATACACAGCTGCACAATCTATATGATCGTGATTATATTTATAGAATATGTATGATAATGAAATTGGCATATTAACTAGTGGACCAGCAATGCTAATTAACTGGTCAGGATGTACAAATACACCCTGAATATCCATATTAGCATCAAATGTTGATGCAGAGTTTTCTGGTGCAACATTCCAAGTGTTGCTACAATGTTATGGCAATAATGCAAACCACAAGTTATGCTGTTTTCACATGTTCTCGCCAAGTATTTGTCATTTTTTATTTTAGAACATGTATTTTGAGCTGCAAGCACACCAATATTGTCTTTGTACTTGCATTTCGCTTCATAGGTCGAATACTCTGTAAACTAAAGTATGGCCAACTAAACTTCCTATTGACTTGGTTACGCAAGTTTATTTGCTACGTCCATGCTATGTTATGTCAGATTGCATTCTCTCTTTTGCATTGTATGTCATATTATTACGAACTACTGAGACTTCATGTGCGTATGAATGATGATAAAATTTAATGTGCAGATATTAGCCTAGGTGTTGTTGCTTTGGGAAATCCTGCCCTATCAACACATATCACCTGGTGTGTATATAACGAATACGACATTTCAATGCTGTGCAATACGGTTGTTATAGTGACGACGAAACAATGCTGCCAAGATTGTCAACAAGCTCTGTATACAACACACCAAACAAAGTGCTATGAAGTTGTTGCGATGTTCACCAATAAAAACCGAGCATTCTTTTTTGTTTCACAAGTTCTCGTTTCTTTCTGTTTATGTGAATTTTTATCTTACCCATTGAACTGGGCAATTTACATCTCCATCAAAAAGCGATAACTATTGAAATTCTCTTAGTGCCGAGTCAACTTACTCAACTGTCGCTTGTCCAACTGTCTTGATAATAATGGTCATTGCAAGCTGTATCACATATAGACAGCTTATATAACGCAAATCACGAATACGCTCGCTACAAGTAGTGTCATGCTATGAAAAAAACTATTTTCTAAAAAAGTTGCAGAAATGCAAAATGTCGTGCAAGTCTGAAAATCAAGACATGCGACGAAGGTATTTGCCTCCCTTTCAAGCTTCTTAATCTTTAAATTTCAAGTCGAGGAACCCGCAGAAATGCCGAAAAAATGAAAGAAAATGCTCTTTCAGAAAGTCACCAAACAGCTTCTAGGTCCTCCTCGATCATACACATTCGCGTAGAAACGCCACAACACAAAATCGGTGTAGAACAGCGACCTAAATTCTGTTCCGTGCAATGTGCAGAATGTTCAAGTTCTGCAGCGTGCGTCAGAACGAACACACAGTATCTGCTGCAGCTAGCATACGCAACTGCGTACGTTTCCAGGATTTTTCCAAGTGCTAGAGGCACACCAGCAGGTCTCCTTCCAGTGACGGGCTCCTCTTTTTCTTCTATTTCAAGTACCAGAGGTAACAGAGCACAACAGATAGACCCCTTTTCTTCATTTTCAAGTGCCAGAGGCACAGGAGCACATTGTCAAGTGATCGGCCCCTCTTTCTTTTTCTTTATTTGCAAGTCCCAGAGGCACAGAAGCACGTCACCTTCAAGTAATGGGCCCCTCTTGCCCTTTCTTCATTTCCAAGTGCCAGAGGCACAGGAGCACATCGCCTTCAAGTGATCGGTCCCTCTTCCTCTTTCTTCATTCACAAGTGCCAGAGGCACAGGAGCACATCGCTTTCAATGATGGGCCCCCTCTTTCTGCATTTCCAAGTCCCAGGGCACAGAAGCACATCACCTTCAAGTGATCGACCCCTCTTGCTCTTCCTTCATTTGCAAGTACCAGAAGCACATTGCCCTCATATGATCGGCCCCGCTTCCTCCTTGTTCCTTTCCAAGTGCCAGAGGCACAGGAGCACATCGCCTTCAAGTGATCGGCCCTTCTTTCTCTTTCTTCATTTGCAAGTGCCATGTGGCACAGGAGCACATCAAATTCAAGTGATGGGCCCTTCTTCCTCTTTCTTCATTTGCAAGTGCCAGAGGCACAGGAGCACATCAACTTCAAGTCATGGGCCCCTCTCTCTTTTTCTTCATTTCCAAGTGCCAGAGGTGCAGGAGCACATCACGTTCAAGTGAAGGGCCCCTCTTTCTTCAATTCTAAGTGTCAGAGGCACAGGAGCACATCACCATCAAGTGATCAGCCTCTCTTCCTTTCTTCATTTGCAAGTGCCAGAGGCACAGGAGCACATCCCCATCAAGTGATCACCCCTTCTTTTTCTTCATTTGGCAGTGTCAGATACACAGGAGCACATCACCTTCAAGTGATAAGCCTCTCCTCCTTTTTCATTTCCAAGTGCCAGAGGCACAGGAGCACATCACCTTCAAGTGATGAGCCCATCTTCCTCTTCATTTCCAAGTGCATGAGGCACAGGAGCCCATCACCTTCAAGTGATAGGCCCCTCTTCTGTCATTTCCAAGTGCTAGACACAGGAGCACATCACCTTGAAGTGATGGGCCCCTTTTTTCCTCTTTCTTCACTGCCAAGTACCAGAGGCACAGAGCACATCACCTTGAAGTGATGGGCCCCTCTTCCTTTTTTCCACTTCCAAGTGCCAGAGGCACAGGAGCACATCCCCATCAAGTGATCGCCCCTTTTTCTTTTTCATTTGCCAGTGCCAGATACACAGGAGTACATAACTTTCAAGTGATAGGCCCCTTTTCCTTTCTTCATGTTCAAGTGACAGAGGCACAGGAGCACACCACCTTGATGTGATAGGCCCCTCTTCCCTTTTTTCATTTCCAAGTGCCAGAGGCACAGAAGCAAATCGCCTTCAAGTGATCTGCCCCTCTTCCTCTTTTTTTCATTTCCAAGTGCCAGAGGCGCGGGAGCACATCACCTTGAAGTGATGGGCCCTTCTTCCTCTTCCCTCCTTCCCAAGTGCCAGAGGCACAGGAGCACATCACCTTGAAGTGATGGGCCCCTCTTCCTTTTTCTTCTTTTTTTACTTCGCAATGCATCTGCAGTTATGGCATACATGCTGTAGAAGCGAAACATCAAAGCGGTTACCCTCAACATTTTTTATGTTGAATATACGACGAAACACATGCTACACATAGCAAGACGAACTTGAGTTGCCGCAATATTCACCGGCATTCCAACGAGTACCCATCAAATCGCAATGGGTGTCGATGCCTTTCACTTACTCTTGAAGTGCGGCTTTCTGAAAGGCAAAAGCTCGTGGAATTGTTTCGAATGAAGACCGTTTTCACGTCACACAGGTGTTTCTTACACAAAGTCACTGCCGTGCATATTAAGCGCCTTGTTTATACGTTTGAGAAGTGTATACCTGGAAAGAGGTCCTATAGTGTTCAAAATTTGGCGATTAACAATACTGAATAAATAGGGTCACCCAAATATCAAAATGATAAATGCAGTCAAGTTAAGCGAGACAAGAAACAGTGATTTTCCATAGTTGCTTTTAATCTATGTACACTTTATTTCAAGTAAGCTCGAAGTATAGGAAAGCAAAAGAAATTGATCACATCCTCTAAGGTATCACCAAGAATATTTTGAAAGACTGGAAGAAACATGACAAAAATAAATACTGCATATCTTTGGTGCAAACAATTTTTAGCGGCAGAAACCTATTAACACTCGGAGATAAGTACTCATGAAGTCAATAACTAGGCTAATAAATTACAAATTTAAGAAACTATATCACAAATAAACAGCCTCTGACACAAAAAGGACAAAAGGGTGTTTAAAAAATAACAAAATAAATCTGGTAGAAACTCTATGATAGAAAAAAATGCCCTCAGAAGGAATGAATTTTTGCATATAAAAGCCACAATCTACACGCCGTAAGTTACACAAATGTAGAATCTTAAGTCTACGTTCTGCAGAAATAGATGAAACTGTAGGAATTGTGTAGTATTCACAACACTTTGCTAAATTCCATGCAAAATCATGCTATAAGTATTGCGAAGCACCGAACCACTAACCAATTGTGAAACAATGGCAAGCCTTTTATGGGATCACAGTTATTTCCAATACATTAATGCAATCTTGCCAAGAGATCGCTAGTACCAAAAAAGTACTAATACGCTGTTTGGTGTGTCGAGCCAATGGCACCTATTGTCAATTCCACAATGAAGTACACACCGTGGCTCTACATGAAGTCATCGACCCCAGTGGATGAATTTTTTTTTTTTTTTGGTTCCAAGTGACCGGACAACTTGGCAGACTATCACAATTAGCACCTAGGCAGAGCACTCGTAACGAAAATGTAAACATTTCACCAGACAATAGAAAGTACACAGAAAATGGAACTACTACCACCACTGTCATCAAGATTTACACAATGATTCCTTGGTGACGGCCGATTGACACTAAAAGGGACGTAACACGACATCAACACCAGGAATCCACACCACAGTAAGTTGTATGCTTCAAGAGGCTATGCGATCACTAGGGTGTGGAAACTAGGGCGTCACTTAGTCCTGTTTCTCACAGCCGTCGATCGCGATGCCACGTCACTGCCAAAGTATTGGCAACTGTCATCAGATGGCATTTAATTGTCAGGTTCTCCTTACAAATGACGCACCCATGATATTGGTAATGCTACTAGCTCTGCCAGTCATCCTATTTCTGAGGAGAGCATGTCAAGCAAAATGTCTTCTCATTGCAAATGCTGATGATGTGACAATGATGCAACAAAGCATTTTATGGGTATGCGAACCTGGTCCCTAGACGGTCACCAATAGCCCTGTATGCTCAGTCGTTCTGTGTTGGTATGGTTAAAATTACGTCAGCTTTCCTCGCATGTCACAAAGGAAGCGAGCACGGAAACAGCATCAGTGAGCTTGGAGAGTTGTTCACACTCTAGCAATGACTGTAAAAGGCATGGGAGCATGAGGCCAGCTCCCTTGGTTCCTAACGCAGTGTGGAGCATCTGGGCAAGAACATCTAAAAAAAAAAAAAAAAACAAGGCTATGAACGCATTGATCGCAGACGCACGTCGTCATCTCTCGACCGATTTCAATGCGGGACAGAAGACCCCTCCAATGAAAAATGCAAGCATGGGCACATCATGGTAGTCCTGCCTGCTAAAACAAAGCCAGCATAAAGTCACATCAGCAGAGCAGGGAGATGCTGCCATTGTCAGCACCAAGTAGTAAAAGGCGATTCAGAGGCAAGACAGCCATCGAAGCGATGACACCACGGAATGTTTCCGACCGAAGTTTTGTGCTCGTGAAGGCAGCCTGGAAAACGAGGCAACTTGTAAGACCAGTCTAGCTAACACCCTCAAAGTAAGGCTAGTAATGGTAACTTATTGCGATGGCCAACCAATCACAGTGGGACTCGTGAATGTGAATTATAGCTATAACAGGGTGTTCGAAGACAGTTATGTGCTTACACCGAGAAATGAATGTACGGCAAGAAGCATTGCTGAAGTCAAAGTTCATTCCAGTATAAGAAAAACAAGCCTGCTAACAAATATCTTGTATAGTAGATTGTTATTGTAACAAAGTTGCATAACCAAAAAAAAATTGTTGTGCTATTCGCAGTTTTCCTTTTACAGAAGACTCTCAATGAACAGAAATCTTCTAAACAAAAACTGCTTCTTAAATAGAATAACCACCTCTAACACGATTGATTTTGTACATAAATTCTGTATCCATCTTCATCTGTCGGCTAATAAAATTTGCATTAATTGAAACACACTTGTCTCTTTAGGTTCCACTCAGCAGAAATCTTCTGTATACACATCATAAACTTTCACTCACTTTGTTAAAACAGTTAATCCTTTCCAACCTTATTTGCTATACACAGCTCATAGCTCTTTTGTCCAGATGGTTTGTTGACATAATGTGTAATTACTAATTCATATTTTACTTCATAAAAAAACTGCTATCTCTCACCTTTTCATCAATGGTTGTGTGCACATTGATCTTATTGGCAGTGGTCCCTGACACAATGCCGGCATTGTGAATGCCTAGACAAGTTACAGGCTCTGTTGCTCCTAAAAATAAAGTCAACGTTATAGAAGAATCCAGGACAAGAACAGTAGTGCAGTTAAAACCAGGTAGGTCAAAGTATTGTCAATCAAACAACTGTAAAAATATTTCCTTAAATTCTATGCAAAAGTAGGGCATTACACAATGCTAGGGTTGAAGATGTTCACCACTATGTTTCATACATTGAGGGAATGAACACCGCAAACGCTTCCATCACTGGACATATTCTTGCTGAAAAAACAGAACTCCTCAAACGAATGTTGTTAAAAAAAAAGGTATTACATGTTACGAAAGCGAAATTGGCAAGTTGTGCTCGTCTCAAGTACAGACAGCTCGTGCAATGGCCTTAGTATTTGCACAACACCACAAACTTATTTTAGGAGAAAGGTTTTTAGCAAGCTACAGAAACACGTTACGAAAATATGACACGGTTCCATTCCGTATCCGTGTACAATATTCGTGCATGTGGACTCATCAGCCAGTTGAGCATTACCGCCTTCCTGTAACGAGTTTCGGCAGCTTGCTGAAAACCTCTAAAATCACGGCATTACAGTAACGTAATGTTGTGAAGCATACCAGCAACAAAAGAACTACCCTAAACCGCAAGGCAGTAAAGGATAATACCAGAGGCCCGTACACACAATGAATTGCAAATAATATAACAAAACTATTTTACAATTACTTTCAAATTTGACACATCATGCTTTGACTGTTGTAATCAACCATATTTCACTAACTGAATGAAAAAAATAATTGTTTCAGCAGAAATGATTAGCCAGAACAAGCTTTGATAGATAACCATTGATTTTCCATGCCCTTTATCATTAAACAGAGAAATAACTGACCGATTCTACCGTAAGCTCAATGGATAAGATAGCTTCCAGCTTGATCTGCCATTTTGAAAATGCGAGAAACCATGACGTACCCTTCAAGTTGTGGTGCAACTTTGTATCCACAGCATTCCAGACTGAAATAGAGTGGTCCAGCGATGACGAAATGAAATATGCATCATTGAAAGCCTTGGTCTGGAACATTCAACCATTCAATCAATAAATCAGTTTTTATTATTATAACGAGAGGATTATTACTGAACATAAAATATAGAGACGAGGGTCCCAAAGTATTAAAGCGCAACGGGACCTTCGATGATGGTTACAAATAAATAAAACAAAGATGAGCAAAAGCTTGAACCGTAAAAACATCTAGCAATACATACATGCAAAAGAAAAACAAAAATGCATGGAATCCAAGTGCACGAAATATGTTGAGTACAATATACAGCCTGGCAGTTCTGGTAGACTTAAGAAAAAAAGGGAACATCAAATTTAACAAGTATTTTTTCAAACAGTTTTTGCATTAAATTGAAGAAATTTCACATTTGAGTGATGAGGTTAAAGCATTCCATAATAAGATGACGCAGACGTGTGATGATGATTTACTATAGTTAGTATGAACTAGATCACAAAAAATTATTGTTAGCCACAAACTTGGTCGTGTTTGAGTTAGTCAATAGAAAATGAATGCATAAAATGAGTAACACATTCCCTAGAGAGTCCTGCTCTGCCAACAAAGCTTGCATAGACAACAGTTTAAGCTAGAACACTTATAAATGTTTATTATTATATTCTTTTGCATGATGAAAATAAAGTGAATGTATTGATTTTGATTAGGCACATATCTTTCATATTGCACGGGCTTTCTTTATTCACAGAAAAATATTGCCCCCATATCTGCATGTTTCACTGTAAATGTCGTTGAAAGACGATAGTCTTGCGGGTGGAGAGAGTGAACAAAACGTTTATTTGATGTTCTGCATGAGAAAATTGAGAAATTGTATTCTGGATGGGCTGCGTTAGAGAGTCTCGATCCTTGCAGCAAAGGCAAACAAGTGCATTGAGGCACGTTAGACACGAGCGCTATCTGGCAGTTATCTTCGAAAACGAAGGAAGGCGTGCGTGCCCACGGAGAAAGATGTGTACCTGTCTCAGAGGAGATAAGGTGTAGAACGCGAAGCGACAGGCTGGTGCCACCACCGTGTCGTCTTAGCAAAATGTTGAAAACAGTGGCCTTTTTGAGCATCGCGTTGCGCTGTCAGCGCAGCGTGATAAATGCTACGGTCCTTAGAATTACTTATGTGTGCCTTCTCTAGTATAAAGCCACACATACAAACTATTGACGTGTTGTTATGGTGCCTCAGATATGCACAATAAGTGCTTTTTAATTGACAATTGCACAAGTATGAACGCTGGAACTTGAGCAATACTGGTGGGCGCTGCGGATGGGGTTGACCGTTTGAAGTATTGCTTGGTGCCGTATGGGTTATCGTTACGACGGATAGACAGACAGACCAAAATTTTTGCGTCGAAGTACCCCAAGAAAGACTATCGTCTTTAAAAAATGATCACACAATTAATACGCTGTTGCAAGTAGCACAGGCAGATGTCATTTCAACATGTGCACATCTGCCAAACTGACATTTTGATAATTAGGAATATACTTTTTGAGTAAAAAATATAAATATAATAATTAGTCAGGAGTCATTCATGAAAAAATTAGTAGCAGCTATATTGGTAAACTGGGAACGATATGCACTAGGTGTGTTTCATGTAACCCCGTTCCTTTTTTAAAAATGTACAGCGTGATAATTGAGGTGCCTTGTATATAGGCACTAGATTTTGACCTCCAAGATAGTGTCAGTCAGAGATTTCTCCACAGTGGTGCATTGTTGAACAACAAAAATTTGCAGTGTGCATGTTAACTAAAAGCAGACCGCGGGTCTCTGCGTCAGACCGGCAGCGATTGGCGTGTTCCAGTAGGAAACACCGGTGCATAACTGCACGCCTTGCGCCTTTCCAAGGTTTCTCTCCTGCACAAGGCTTCGATGAGCACCAGCATCAACTACGCCGCCAATGTAACACACGGTTACCTTTAGCGGGTGATGCTGTAATTTTTTTGCTGACGGAACTATCGCACCTGGTATTTTGTCTAATACAGTGAAACCATGATTTTATGACTTTAAGGGGACCAACGCAAAACTGTTTATTAATCAAAAAACAAAGAATACAGGCAGTGGCACTAAGCTTTGCCTGAAAAAAACGTAGCGATTGCCTGAATGAGACCACGACACAACACTACGCCTCGTGAAGGATAGTGGACTAAATTAATTTTGAAAATGGCAGCATATGGTGGCATTACTTAGTTGGAGAAAGTGTGAGAGAATCTTATTCTCAACTTTAAAAAAGCAATCGAATGCGAATCTTTCTTTCGAATTATGAAATAAAAAAAATTGCCTGTGCAAGAAAGCGAAACTACGATTCAACACAACTTCAGAGAGCATTTAAAAATCAAGGCCACACAGGAAAAAAAGACTACATAAAAAATAAAACTATACTTCTCCTTAACAGGCAGACTGGTCTTTGGGACCAAGAAGTGAAAAAAAAATTCATTTTTTGAAATTGAGATATTTGGTTTCTGCAAGTATTTTTTTATCTCTCTGCAAATTTTCACAAACCAGGAAGTGGTAATTTTTTTGTAATGTCATTCTCAGTGTTCAGATTCTTGGTGCTGTTGACATGCAGAACCGGCAAAAAAATGGGGAACCGACTCCGGGGCTTCTTTATAATTTGCCGGCACCTGTGTTAGAAGTTCTGCTACGAATTTATGAGCACCTTTATGAGGATTGCAAAACATGTGCACCATGATTGCTTTTTGAAGAAGCTGTGTGTTTTCAGTTTTTTTCTATTTTTCTCAAAAAAGTAAATTTACGACTGTTCAATTTTGAGGCCACAATATCTCTGCAGCTAGGGCAGGTACAACAATAATTCTTTTTGCAATGGGAACCTGTATGTGTGTAGAACGCAAATATGGGAGAAGAATTTATAGCACAAGCCTTCTTAATTATTTACTCATCAAAATCGTAACACAATTCCAACTGCTTTTGAAAATGTACAGTCAATTTGGCTGTAAAATGACCAAAAAAAACCTAAAAACAAAAAACTCTTGCAAACTTTCAGTCTGTAGTTATTAGTCAATGTTGACATATCTTAAATATCACTTTTATTTAAGCACTTTTTTTTTTTCTATGGTGGCCTCAAACAAGAGGGGGTGAACTTAAGTTATCTCAGGAACAAGATGAGTAACAGAAAAACTAAGTAAATATTTGAAATCAACAGAAAAAACTGCGTAATCCTGTGCAGTCTGATCAAGATCACTGAAGAAATAAACAGAAAAATGTCTAAGACCAGTCTGCCCCCTTAATAATGGCTCGTGCAGTGTGTTTGTAAATGGAGCAGAATGCCTCAGAAGCAGTAATTTAAACGATTCATAGTGAGCTATTGGAGTTGTGTTTCATAAAAAGCTGGGCACAGTAGCTCCTTCAAAAAAAAAAAAAAAAACATAAAAAGCACCCCTTTTCCCTGCAGTACCGAAGGAGTTCAAGCAGCAGCTTTCACCTGTAGGATTTCACCGTCGTGGGCCACCCAAGAGCCCAGCATGAAACCGGTCCTGACGTCCAGGACCGACAGCACTCCAGAGCTGTGCCCCACTGCCAACCAGTTCCCGCTAGGACTGACGGCCAGGGATCGGATGACACCGGCAGAGCCAAGCGAGACCCTCAGCTCGTGCGTGTAGCGCATGGCGCGGGCATCCAGGAAACTGTAGTAACAAAATCAGTGACAGAACAAAAATAATAGCCCGTTCTGGCGATTCTTTTGACCCTGAACTGAGTTTTGACACTGAACTGAACTGACCCTGAACTGAGTTTGACCCTGAACAGAAGCAAGCTCTCACAACCATAAAAAAAAAAAAAAGATTTGGTGTTCCAATTTAAATGCAACAATTTTTTTTACAGCGACACTGTCTTACTCTAACTTATGTCATCATTGTTATTGTTGTTCCTTTAGTCAGACACACTTACAATGACCCCCTATATAATTATCCCTTATAAAAACCATATTTCAGTGCAATTACAATTTTCCTGTGTTATCCATCTAAACTGCATCCAAATGTAGCGAATCTTCTTGAAGCCGCCTACTTTTACAATGAACACCTTAGGTACGGTCGTGGTAAAAATATCACGCACAGAAAGCGAAAAAAAAAAGTTAAAACAGGCATTTAAAACATGAGAGAGGTGTGCGCGAGCGAACACCTTACACGATCCTGAGTTATGGTGGCTACTTGAAAAAAGCAGTCACAAAGCAGTGCTGTGTGCCGCAACTACTCCGGTGATAAATTAAGCCTTTTCGCATAATGAAGCGGTGCCCGCTGCACGTTGAGTGAATTAAATCGCCTTTGTCATGGGTTGACAACATTTCACTGAAGCATGGTGCTTATCCTTCCTGGTTTGTTGCAGCAGCGTGTCGCCTACTCTGTTCACGCTGTAACTGCCAGGTCATTTGCTCTTTACCGCACATTTCACTGAAGCATGGTATCACTTCATGGTGCTGATTCTTCCTGGTTTGTTGCATGCAGCGTGTCGCCTACTTTGTTCACGCTGTAACTGCCAGGCCGTTTGCTGTGTACCGCAAGGGTGCGGTAAAGAGCAAATGACCTGGCAGTTACAGCGTGAACAAAGTAGGCGACACGCTGCTGCAACAAACCAGGAAGGATAAGCACCACGAAGTGATACCATGCTTCAGTGAAATGTGCGGTAAAGAGCAAATGACCTGGCAGTTACAGCGTGAACAGAGTAGGCGACACGCTGCTGCAACAAACCAGGAAGGATAAGCACCATGAAGTGGTACCATGCTTCAGTGGAATGTTGTCAATCCACGACAAAGGCGGTTTAATGCACTCGTTAACGTGCAGCGGGCACCGCTTCATTATGTGAAAAGGCTTAATTTATCACCGGAGGGGTAATTAGCACCTTTCAATAAAAATGAAAAAAGAAAACAAGCCTGGTTTTAAAGCACCTTTTAATTGTTCAGTCCATGTAATACCAACAACTCATATTTATTTATTTATTTATGTATTTATTTACAGAATTTCTGCTGGCTTCAAAATGAAGCAATTAAGTAGGAGTGGTAAACATATTATTATAGGACACTGAACATTTCTGCAGTATATTGCACACAGGAAATGCCTCGAACACACAGTGTCGAACACAGTAAAAAAGGAAAAATATACAGTGCATAGCATGCAATTGCGCATAGCATAATAGCTATATAAATGTGTACTAACATCACCTTTGTGCTAACGACGCACGAAAGCAAGCGAAGAAAAAAAAAATGTGTGTCAGTGTTGCGAAACTATGAGTACAAATATGGCAGGTAGACGTGCAATAAGTTCTTGAGCTTCGCTAAGAATGATGCCACTGTCGCCGCCTCCACAATTCGACCAGGTGTTGTGGGGTTGTGGAGGTGGCGTGTGGTATAACGAGCACTCTTCACAGCACTTTAGAGTTCTTTATAAACAGCTTCGACTGTAGTAATTGTAGAAGCAGTAGTTGCAGTAGTTACAGCAGTAATAGTGGTAGCAGGCATCACTGAGGTCGTGTGATGACCAAAGGGAAGAGAAAATAACTAAAATGAAATGATGATGATGATGCTCGACATTATGATAATGCACCTAATCTTGCTAGCTAATCAGATACACTCACGCACGTACAACTACACTGTTCGGTGTTTTTCATAGCACGGAACTGGCAAAATTTTCTAGATGCAAAGCAGCTTACGGTTGAGTTTAGTCCAGTGGTAGCCATGCTGTAAGCGTTCAAGTAAAAATTATGCCCATATTGCTTGGACTCGAGATGCTGGAAACGGAAGTACATGCGTTAGCTAACCCTAAAGTTTTGCGTTTCAGTCCGTGAGTATTGTACACGTCTCAAAATATGGATGGTTACTAATGTAGCAAGGTTCTTATCTGCAGCCCTCATTGAACTCTCATTGATAAGCTTCACCACAGTAAAGCAATCGAATACGGTGAAGCCTACTGGCAGCACAAAAAACCAGTGCGCAGTGAAGTGCCACTTGAAGCTCGTATTATCATTAGGTCTGGCTGTTTTGCAATTCCCTTCAGATTGAATGTATCTGAGCTCAAATGAGCATTATATGGTGTTGTTCATCATTTCTATTGCAACAGGAATAATATGGAAATTCAGTTTATTTCAGCTGTTTGCACTGCCGCTGCCTGCTGTTCAGCTCTGAAGAGAACATGCATATATATACATCTTAATGTCATGAAGAAAAGTGGTGCAGAAGAAAATTTTTCTGAAACGTTCACCTGGGCATTTGAGCCAGCAAGCCCTTGCTCTGACTTCGCTTGATCATGAAGGAACACATCATCCAGCATACTACTGGTAAGCTATTTTATACACACCATTCACCCTTAGTGGTACTCAGATCTATGAGGTGCTTCGGCATGGCAGAGGCCTATTCACTATCGCTCACAAGATGGCACAAAGGCCACACTTTAAAGGCCATCGCCCGCTTGTTTTTCGCCGGAGCTGGGCTGTGCAAATCTGACACTGTAGTTTGACTTACACAGTGTGGTCGCCCATGCTCACGTGCTTTACTTTTCAAAGCGATTCAACAAATTAATAAATACTAGTAATATTATTTAAGGTATTACGTTCTAAAACTATGATATGATTGTACGATGCTGTAGTGAAGGGCTTCACAAATTTCGATCACCTGGTGTTCTTTAACGTGCACTGACGTCGCACAGTACACGGGCCTTTACTATTTCGCCTCCACCAAAATGTGATCGCCATGGTTGGGATCGAAGCCGCAACATTCATATCAGCAGCCGACCACCTTAGCCACTAATTCACCATGAGAGACAGTGGGCTTCAACAGATGAGTTTCGACTTCATAAACGTTGTGCCTTCATCCCTAAGTTTGCATTGAAGCCACAGATCACACGATGGTCACTTCGCTCACTGCAGCAGCTGCATTTGCTAGAGCAAGTAGTTGCAAGCCTCCATTGTATATTCTAATTTGTTGCTATTGAACTCGTTGATTCACCCTTGTGGTGAAGTTGTGAGTGTGCACTTCACGAGTACTCACCGAACAGTTGAATTTGATGTGGCAGCGAGGAATGTTGTGCTCGGAGATGGCATGGCGAGCAACACCGTGACCGGCTGCGTCTTGCTGGTGTCGAACTGCTTCAAACACGACCCCATGAAGGGATCCCAGATCTGAAAGAGAGGCGAGACCTTGTGGCATGTGCCTCTGAGCTGCGGTGGCAGCAGTTGTGAAAAAAACCAAGACAAATGTAGAGTCATGTGGTATCACTGATTGTCTTATGCCTTTTAATTGCGATATGGACACTCTCAGCTGCTTTTTGCCGTCGCCAAACGGCGATGGCGACGGTGGTAACTGACGATTACTGCTGGCGGTTTGCCGATCTCAAAAAGATTATCAGCATGTTCACAGCATTTCTAGCGAGATGGCGCAAAGGGCGCGCTCGGCAGTCCGCTCGTGCCGCGTGCTTTGCCCCACGGTGCGTGGTCGCCCGTGTGCGCACGCTTATCTCACCACGGAGAAGACTCGTAAGCCTTCGGCTTTCACTGAAATGATAGTGTTAGAGTTATAGGGCACACAAAGGTTCCTTTACGTGCTGCAGTCTCTTTTGTGAAAAGAGCATGGTTTTCGAACACAGAGAAGTAACAAACGTGGCACTAGTTCACACTCATCCCATGTATCCATGTATACCCGTGCATATGTTTCGTGCGTCCCTCATGTTTGAGCAGCACATTGAGTGTCGAGCTGTCAACGTGGTTAGCTTGCACTCGTCCCGTGTGTGTTCTCTTTGTGCATCCTTTGTGCTTGAGCGGCATGCTACACGTTTAAATCAGGCTGCCGTTCTTTATGTGACATTGTAATTCGTAGCTATCGGATTCATTGCTTCGCCCTTGCGGCGAAACTGACTTCTTTCCTGAATATTTTCTGCAGTGATGAAACTTTCCAACGTGATCATTTACACAGAAGAATGCCTTTTCTAAAAATGCAGCTTGACTGAGTCTGTCCCTTATTATTATTAATATTGTCACGTGCTACAAAAGGTCTTCAACTAGGAAGAACTGAGCCGGCAGGGAGACGCACCGAAAACTGGCAAGATGGCTGCTTCAATAATAAACAACTGGCCAGAGCACACGCTGCCCCAGAACATCGTCTTCCATTCTCGCGGGCAGCCATCGCTTGCGCTCGCCGTAACTAGCGGCCAAGTGGCATTATTCCCCCTCTGAGAAAAAAGAAGGCATTACTCTGATGCTCGGAAAGTACAAAGGCAAAGTCGGGGCGAACCAACAAAAAATACGCACATACACAAAAACAGCGATATGGTTCATGCGCAGTCGCACTACCGCGTGAAGTACGGCTTCAGGCGCACCACGTGGACGATCTCTGAGGAGTGCCTTCGCCGTCGTGGTGAGAAGGCGCCGTCAGGGACTACTTCGTAGTTCACATCGCTCACGCGTCGCAAGACTTTGTGTGGTCCGAAGTAGCGACTTAGCAGTTTTTCAGACAATCCCTTGCATCGAACTGGAGTCCACACCCAAACTTGATCGCCTGGATGGTATTCAACTTGTCGATGGCGAGCGTTGTAGCGGCATGCGTCTGTACTCTGCTGGTGCGTAATGTGTAGGCGTGCTAACTGGCGTGCTTCTTCGGCGTACTGGGTAAGCTGCACAGCATCAGGAGTGATCAAAGCATCGCAATTGTGTGGAAGCATCGCATCCAGCATGGTCTGGACCTCACGTCCATAGACAAGGCGGAAAGGCGTGAATCGAGTAGTTTCCTGGGCGGCCGTATTGTACGCGAATGTGACGTACGGTAGCACCTGGTCCCAGGTCTTATGCTGGACATCTACGTACATAGATAACGTGTCAGCGATGGTCTTGTTGAGTCGCTCTGTCAAGCCGTTGCTCTGTGGATGATATGCCGTGGTCTTGCGATGGCTCGTGTAGCTGAGCTTGAATACGTCATGAATGAGCTGGGCCGTAAATGCTGTTCCTCTGTCTGTGATTACGCACGACAGGGCGCCATGGCGAAGAACGATCTGGTCCATAAAGAATTGGGCGACGTCGGAAGCAGTAGCGCGTTGTAGTGCCTTTGTTTCGGCGTACTTCGTCAAATAGTCGGTGGCTACTACGATCCACTTGTTGCCGGCAGATGATAGTGGAAAAGGCCCCAGTAAATCCATTCCTATTTGATCAAATGGCGCTCTGGGTGGTTCTATTGGTTGAAGAAGCCCCGCGGGCTTTAGTGGCGGGGATTTGCGGCGTTGACACTCCCGGCAGCTTTTCACGTATCGCTTAACTGATGCAGAAAGCTTAGGCCAGTAGTATGCTTGTCGAACTCGAGCGAGAGTTCGAGAGGAACCTAAGTGACCAGATGTGGGCTCATCGTGGCAGGCAAGAAGAATGCCGTCACGCATGTCTGTTGGCACGACTAGAAGATAGGTTCTCTCATTGCCGTTAGAGTTTTTCTTATACAGGACCCCATCTCGCAGACAGAACGATGACAGACTTCGAGAAATACATCGAGGTATGGACGAGTTGCGTCCTTCAAGGTTTTCGATAACTGCGCGAATTTCATCGTCCGCACGCTGTCGCGTAATCAGATCTGTTGTAGTAAGGGCCCCAAGGAAACCATCGTCATCCTCGGTGTCGTGGCCACAAGCTTCGACAGGTGCACGGGTTAATGAATCAGCATCTTCGTGCTTGCGGCCCGATTTGTAAGCGATCGTGAAATCGTATTCCTGCAGACGAAGACTCCATCGTGCCAGTCGCCCACACGGGTCCCGTAGGTTGGATAACCAGCACAACGAATGATGGTCGGTCACTACCTTGAAGTGGCGTCCGTAAAGGTAAGGCCTAAATTTCATAGTGGCCCATACAACAGCGAGGCACTCTTTCTCTGACGTGGAGTAGTTGACCTCGGCGCGGGAAAGAGTGCGGCTAGCGTACGCTATCACTCGCTCTGTGCCCTCTTGTTGTTGTACGAGGACAGCACCAAGACCCACATTGCTGGCGTCAGTATGAATTTCAGTATCAGCGTCTTGGTCAAAGTGAGCGAGGACTGTTGGTGTCTGCAAACGCTCCTGTAGTTCAGAGAAAGCTGCGTCCTGTTCTTCCTCCCAGACGAATGAAACATCTTCACGAGTGAGTCGAGTGAGTGGTTCAGCAATCCTAGAAAAATTGGCTATAAAGCGGCGGTAGTACGCGAAGAGCCCCAGAAAGCGACGCACTGCCTTCTTATCACGTGGAACAGGAAACGAGGCCATGGCAGTACTTTTGTCAGGGTCTGGTCGAATACCATCCGCACTGACAACATGGCCGAGAAACTTAAGTTCCTTGTAACCGAAATGGCATTTTTCTGGCTTCAGTGTCAGGTTAGCAGAGCGGAGCGCTTCCAGCACAGTCTGCAGACGGTTCAGGTGCTCCTCAAAGGTGGAAGAGAACACGACAACATTATCGAGGTAAACTAAGCACGTGTGCCACTTTAGACCGGTAAGAACAGTGTCCATCATTCTCTGGAATGTCGCAGGTGCAGAACAGAGGCCGAAGGGAAGCACTTTGAATTCATATAGGCCATCCGGTGTAACGAAGGCGGTTTTTTCACGATCTCGTTCATCAACTTCAATCTGCCAGTAGCCACTTTTCAAGTCTATCGATGAAAAATACTTGGCTCGCCGCAGTCTGTCGAGGGAATCGTCGATGCGAGGCAGCGGATAGACGTCTTTTTTTGTCACGCTGTTAAGTTTCTTGTAGTCCACGCAGAAGCGCAGTGATCCATCTTTTTTCTTCACGAGCACGACCGGACATGACCAGGCACTTTTCGAAAGTTGGATAATGTCATCTTGCAACATCTCTTTGACTTGAGTATTTATAACGTCACGTTCCTTTGCCAAAACGCGGTAAGGGTGTTGTTTTATGGGCGAGGCGTCGGTATACGTAATTATTCGATGTTTGGCGATCGGTGTCTGACGAACCTTCGTGGTGGAGGCGAAGCACTCTTTAAATTGATACAGCAGTTCACGTAGCTCGGTCTGTTGTTGTTCCGAGAGGGTCGAGTTGACATCGACTTTTCCAAGTAGTGAAGTCACGTCGCTTGGTGTCGGTCGAAGCCCGTCGTTGGCTAATGTAGATGCGAAGCATTCAGAAACGTCTGCGATAAGGTAGGCGAAAGCGATGGCGGTGTCACGAAACAGGTGCCGGTACTCGTTACTAAAATTAGTCACAAGTAGGGCAGAATGTCCGTCATAAAGCGTGACGAGGCTGCGTGCAGCGCAGATGCCTAGCGCGAGCAAAAGCGTCAAGTTGCCTTCGGCGACAACCTCACCATCTCGTAACTTGTCAGACACCACATCAACTAGGACGCTTGAACGCGGAGGCAACGTGATGCTGTCGGCAGAAATGCGAAGCGTGCTGTCACGGATGTCGTCAGGTATGTCGGAGGATCCAGCTGTCGAAAACGTCACGGTGCGCTCTCGAAGATCGATAATAGCGCCGTGCTCCCGCAAAAAGTCAACTCCGAGGATTAGGTCTCGGGAACAGTCACGAAGTACGAGGCAGCTGGCGAAAAACGTACGTCCCCGAATGCTCACTCTGATAGTGCACATGCCGATTGGGGTGACTACGTGCCCGCCGGCAGTACGAATTTGTGCTTCGTACCAAGGCGTTACAACTTTCTTTATGTGCGCTGCTAGTTTCCCGCTTATGATCGAGTAGTCCGCACCTGTGTCCAATAACGCACTAACGTCGTGGTGACAGTCGACTACCACATGTATATCCAGAGAAAATCTGCTTCTGGCTTTCGTCGCTGTCGTCGGGGAATCGCTCCGTGTCCGTGCTTGCGTCGGTGGGAGGCCTTGCTTGCGTCGAGTGTCAGCGGCCTCGCTCCCGAAGGTCGCTGTCGTTAGTTTTCCCGCCTAGGGCTTAGCGAGCGCACCGGCGCCGCTCCTAGGAGGCTCCGAAAATTCGGAGAAGATCGCCTTGGGGATGGGGACCGTGACTGCCGCCGCAGTGGCATGCGCTGCTGTGAGAGGTAATCTTGAATAGCTCTCGGTCTTTCGCCAAATCTCGGCCGTGGTGCGTCGACGGCAAAACCCTGTAGTCCGAGGCGACGATAGGGACATTCCCGGTACACATGTCCAGCTTCACCGCAGTGGTAACACAGTGGCCGTCTGTCTGGTGTGCGCCATACGTCGGATTTTCTGGGAAGTGGCTGCCGATTTTCTAAGTGCTGAATTGGCTGCAGCGAAGGAAGTGCATCCTGATGCATAGAATTAACGAAGCGCGGTGAAGCAGGAATATATCGGCTTACAGCTTCTGCGTATGATGCACGATGTGGCTCCGCCGGGACAGGTGGGACATAGCTGGAAGGTGGGACATAGCTGGAAGAGCCTGTCGTACTTCGTTTCTGACAAGGCTGCAAATAGACCCTGCAGTAGGTTGGGACTGGCACTAAATCTTTTGTAGTTCGTCGCGCACCACCGATCGAATGAGATCGCAAAGAGACTCGATGTTGATGTTGCCTGCCGCACCTCCGATCTGACCTATTGACGAAGCGGCACTCACTTGCCGGTCGTACGCAGTAGAGCGCTGCTGCAGCACTTGCTCCATGGTTGTGGCTTCGGTCAAAAATTCCGCCACGGTCTTTGGGGGACAGCGAACGAGGCCAGCGAAAAGCTGCTCCTTCACTCCTCGCATTAAATGACGGACCTTCTTTTCTTCGGCCATGTCGAGGTCAGCTCGACGAAAGAGGCTCGTCATGTCCTCGACGTACATCATGACGCTTTCATTCGGCATTTGGAGGCGCCACTGAATCGCTCGCTCGGCTCGTTCGCGGCAATCGGGATTGGCCGAACTTGCCAGCAGGTATCGACGAAAGACGGTCCACGAGGGAAAAGGCTCACGGTTTTCGTACCAAGTACGAGCGCCGTCCTGCAAGCTGAAATACACGTTCCTCATTTTGTCGAAGTCGGTCCAACCATTGTAATCCGAAACCCGTTCGAACTGGGCCAGCCAGTCTTCGACATCCTCCAAGACGGAACCGTGGAACACCTTCGGCACACGTGGTTTCCACAGCCTATGATGCGTGGTCGCACCGCCTTCCTGTGCGTTGGAGGCTGCAGCGCCTTCCATAGCGTTCGGGGGTGTGACAGACGTCATCTCAGGAAGAGGTCCACGCTCAGGAGGTAGTCCTCGGAGTCTTCGGCTTGAGCGGTGGACAGGTGTTGTCACTGCAGGTACAGGGATACCTGGAGGCGTTTGGAACATCGGCTGGGGGTTACCCAGCAGCTCCACCAGTTGTCACGTGCTACAAAAGGTCTTCAACTAGGAAGAACTGAGCCGGCAGGGAGACGCACCGAAAACTGGCAAGATGGCTGCTTCAATAATAAACAACTGGCCAGAGCACGCACTGCCCCAGAACATCGTCTTCCATTCTCGCGGGCAGCCATCGCTTGCGCTCGCCGTAACTAGCGGCCAAGTGGCAATATTATTACTATTACTATTATTACTACTTTGGGAGGGCAGGAAACTGTGCACAAGCAATTAAAATGAGCAAAGTCAACACTAAGCCATCAATATGAGGCCTGCACCCCGTTAAATAAAATGCACGTCTTGTGGCAAATACCAATGATCACAATGATGCTTATCAATTTTTTTTTATTGATATAAGTCAAAGCTTATGGGAAACTTGACAGTGTTCATTACGAGATGGGGAATTTCCGTCATCCTTTATCTATATTTTGTTACCTAATAAATGTTCCGACATTTACTAGATGAGTTTTTAAGTTAAACAAGTATTACTGCGATGCTATCTAAGACTTGCGGTATGGCGTAATTTTTGCAGCAACAGAATTCTCATTTAGAGCAAGTCGGAACATGTAATCTTCCATTTTTTAGCAAATTTCAGAGAACCTCAAGACGTCTTGAAGGAACACGTTCCAACTGAACTAGTATTGAGTAGTGGAATAGCATCTGAGGCCTATTGTTCAGCATGAGTAAACAGGGAGTATTGTTTCAAACAACATAGTTTATACTTTAGGAAATAACACTAAAAATATATAGTGCACTTATCAATATGTCACGTTCCTAATATAACTCGGAGCATGTAATCTTCCATTTTTTAGCAAAGTTCAGAGAACTTCCAAGACGTCTTGAAGGAACAAGTTCCAACTGAACTAGTATAGAGTAGTGGAATAGAATCAGAGGCAAATTTTTCAACATGAGTAAACAGAGAGTATTTTTCAAAAAAAAAACATAGTTTATACTTTAGCAAATAACACTAAAATATATATAGTGCACTTATGAATATGTCACATTCCTAATATAACTAGCAGCCTTGATTCTAATAAAATATTAGACGAAATATTGCTTTGCAATCACCTAAGGAATGCCTTTTTACAAGTTAAACTTCCTTCACTATGTTGTAATGTGGCTATAGCTTTTATTTCACATTTACAATGTTTTGGTCACATCTCCAAAAAAAGTGTAATTGGATCTGATATTTTGCACCTGAAAAAAATAGATACATTTGAAGTTTGATCCTATATAGTGCATGAAAATTCCAGTTCCTGGCAGATGCAATCGTATCTTGAGATTTCCCTTAGCACAATTTCTGGCAGTTTTATTGGTATAGCGAGGAGAACTCAGTGTGACACTGTTTAGTGCATCACGTGGGAGTCAAATAGTCATTGGTAGAAGCACTTGAAAGAGGTTCATGTATTCCTGATTTACGTTTACGTATCCTATTCCCTGTTCTGTAATGCTGGTGGGCTGGGGGGTAAAGTAATAATAAGTGCTATGAAAAAAATTTCGGAACAAATAACTATCTCTCACCAGCAGTTTCATCACTGCAACATGTTCAAGCCCATTTACAAACCTGGCTAAGCCAAGAATGCTGCAAGATTCGAATCTCTGAACTCAAGGGACATGGACGTTTCCACCACCATACTCATGTTGTTTTACATTTCACATTCTGTCACCCTCAGCTTTACTACTCTGTATGCACTCGAACTTCGTAATAAAAAAGTTGCATTATACAAGAAAATAAGTTTGTTATATCCAGAAATTCATTATAAAGGTATATTCCTAACACTATGTCTATTGCAAGACTATTTTTTCATTAAGGTCATTATAAGCGATATTTCATTGTATCTGTGCTCATTATATTGAGGTTTGAGTGTATTTATTTGGGCCATATTTTTAGGTTTTCATGTGGTTTGTTACTTATCCATTTTATGAGCGTTAAATATTTGATGTTTTCATCAAGCGGCGCTATGCCACCATCATGTAACCTTTGTTCAGGTTATTTGTCATGTCACAACCAGTTTTTTATTTGTTTGCTTGCTCCTTCCCATGCCCAAAGCTCAGCGACATTGATGCTACGTTTTCTATGTGCATTTGGCTGCTATCTTGGGCAACAGTGTTAAATAGCAATGATAGTATCTTTGTCGGCACATGCAAGAGTCAAAGATTGGTCACGTCTCCAGGTTCCTGCTTGATATATTTGTTCATTGCTTTCCAGAAAACAAACAGTCAGCAGTCTGCGCTCGTGGTGTTCTGAATGTTTTCCTACTTGTGTCTTCCATCTTCTCGTGCAGCTTAGGAAGTTTTTGAGCAATGAATCAACTAGCCTGCCAGAGCGTTTCACTGTTTTACGAGTAACTTGAAAACCTGTCCAATTTGAAACCTCTCAAGAGACCGCACAAATCAGTCAGTTACTGACCTGTCCAAAACTCACATGCACACCATGGTCGCTGGATCCCACCAGCCTGAGCGATGGTAGGAAGGCGATCGAGGCAATCGACTTGCGGTGGTGCGGGATAGGTCCACTGGGGTGCCACGACCGTCGAACCGTCACCGCAGCTGCGAAGCGACCACAGCTTCACCGTTCGGTCACGACTGCCCGACAGGAATGAGTTCTCATTCTCGAGGACTTCGAGGGACCGCACGCTGCCCGTGTGACCGGCGAAAGTCTGCAGCCGGATCTGCTTGAAGTCGAAGTGGCTGTCCTTGACGAGGCTGACACCAATCTCGTGCTCCCAATAGGCCAGCCAGCTGCCCTTCAGGTGGCGCTGGCCATTGGTCATTTTTCTGCACTCACGAAAGACCAAAAAAAGCAGTCACAACAAATGAGAAATTGAGCAGAAACCACAGCAGGATACATGCGTAAAGACAAGCTGACAGTTTAACGGACCAGATGAAGTGTGAGGAGAAATAGCATGGTAGTTACGAATGAATCTAGTCTTACAAAGGCATGCCAGGTAATGCTCCACCCAAGTGCCTCATTTCATAAATAGTTGACTGGTTTATGGTGAGTTCAAACTGGTTCAAAATCCCAAAGTAACTGAGGCTATAATAAAGGCCACAGTGGATGAAGGGCTCCAGATAATTTTCACATGTCACAGTTCTTTAACTGAAGGACTGATTATGAACAGTACCTGAGCGCTCAGTATTTGACTTCAGCCAAGTGTGATCGCCATGGCTATGCACGAACCATTGTATTTCAGGCAATGTATTCCAGCTTGAGCATCACGACCACTGAGCAACTGCAGTGGTATCTCTTAGAACTGAACTGACAATGCTCCTCCTGAAAAGATCTGGTGTTTCTGTGGAAATACTATAGCACTTTGGACTGTCCAGTTATGCCAATGCTGTACATGCTGTTTCCATTACACCAGGATGAGAAAGACACTGGTACCAATACCCCTTAAAGCTTTGTCTGAACACAATGCATTATAGGCACTTTGTTGAGTTCGACTAGTATTCTTATCTGCCACGCTATGATGGTCTAATGGCTAAGGTACTTGGCTGCTGACCCGCAAGTCGCGGGATCAAATCTCGGCTGCGGCGGCTGCATTTCCGATGGAGGCGGAAATGTTGTAGGCTTGTGTGCTCAGATTTGGGCGCACGTTAAAGAACCCCAGTTGGTTGAAATTACCGGAGCCCTCCACTACGGCGTCTGTCATAATCATATGGTGGTTTTGGGATGCTAAACGGCACATATCAATCAATTAGTATTCTTATCAAACGATAGCTGGAAAGAAAATTCATTTAAAATAACATTTAGGCACAGTAAATGTTGGTGTTTGGCACCTAAGGGCTGCGTTATTCAAGTTTTGTTTTATCTGCTAATTCACTCAAAACTCGACATAAGAAACTTGGACATAACGGAATATTGGTTATAACAAAGTAAATGAAGAATAGCCTTGCAATAACTATAGTTTTGGTAGTATATTTTTATAACAAGTTTCCGGATCTAATAAACTTATTTTTGTATAAGATGCAACTTCATTATAATCAGGTTTGTGCGTACGAGTGACTCATGAAAACTTACCACTCCTAAGTAAAATTGGCACACAAGACAATTTCTTGCGAACTCTACATAGCTCTTCTTAAAGTGCGTAGTTGTGTCTACAAACTCACCTCATCAGCAAGTTGATGTCGTATTTGGGCGCCGCGTCTGGAAGCTCACCAGCCGTCACCAGGTGGCTCTCCTCGCCAAGCTGTACATCGATTCGGTTTCCAACCATGGCCACATTTTTTCCAAACTCCCCGCTCACAATGGCTTCTTCTTGACCTAGGCGGAAAATTCCGTGAATCAGTTTCACATTAAAGTAACGAAATTTGTTGCTGGGTTAGTGGAATTATAACCTCATCTGCTGGATAACACAAATTCGATACAGGACAAAGAAGACGCAAAGATGCACAGGACAAGCACTTGCCTTGCATCTGTACACCTTTTTTTGTCCTGTATTGGATTCCTGCTATCGAGCAGGTAAGGTCCCATCATCGTTTTTGTTTATATTTTACTTAATGCACTTTCACAGCAGTGCAATTACCTAAGGGGGCAGCAGAGTAAAAAAAAATAGTACTAGTCAACTATAACCACACAAAGATGGTCGCACAGTAGCAATTTATGCATAAACAATGCTTTCATAAACATACTACAAACAATGCAAACACAAAATAATGAATAAAAAGCATTGGCCCTGACTTCTATGTAATGTTTACCTCATAATGGTGAGTGATGCAAGCCCTAACACTGAAGCGACATAAGTCAGACGATAGCACCAGCAACCCGCATTTCTGTTCTTGGTTTTTTCCGTCGTCACAATAGAAATACTCGCCTTCACATAATTTTTGGCCATGTGAATGGGAAGCTGCTATAGTACGGTGCCGTAATGAGTGAAGTCCATGCCTTAAGGCATAGGCACAGTTGTGAGCGTTACGAAAGGAAACAATTTATGCTTAAAAGCAGCGTGTACTTGTGATCTTCGCATACGAATACAGTCGATCCCGGATATACCGAACCCGGATATATCGGATTATTGTATATATCGAACAGTCTAAACATCCCCTTGGAAATCCATGGAAAAGTATAGCGCTGTTGTATGCGTGTATCGAACTCCCGGTCACCGCCACATGTGATATTTCGAACATTCCGGCGCGTCAAGCGCCCGTGCAAGTGCGCTTTGCCGCTCCTCCTGGGAAGGTTCCGGCGACGAGTTCTCGTGCGCGCTCCTGCGCTCGGTTAGAGAGAGGCTCCTTCGCGTCGCTAGTGACCTTGGACGCCTCAGCCGTGTGGTAAAGAACGCGGGTGAGAGATTGCGGGCGAGAGACAGTTGAGGAGGAAGGAAAATCCAGTTTCTGCACGCTTGAGCCTCTTTGCTTGAGCGGCGGAGTGGTCTGCTCTCGCCGCTTGGCCAGTGGCAGTGGTTGCTCCGTCAGGAAACTCGTGAAGTGTGGTGTGTGTTTGTTTTGTTTTTGCGGTGCCGGGTCACGTGTTTCGGAGCCATGGACGCAAAAAAACGTCAGATGTTGGATTTCTCAACGAAGGCAGATATCATTCGACGGGTGGAAGCCGGCGAAAAGAAGTCGTCGGTTGCCAAGGAATTCGGAATTTCTCGGAGCACCTTAGGCACAATACTGCGCCATAAAGCTGATGTGAAGGCGAAGGCAGCGCAGCGCGGCCGTTCTGGAGCATGTCCCGTGCGTGCACCGGAATACGATAAAGTTGAGAAAGCCCTGTACGCCTCGTTCTTGGAGACTCGGGCATAAAACATTCCTGTTGATGGCCCAATGCTCATAAAAAAGGCAAAGTGGTTTGCAACCGCGCTACATGAAGACAACTTCACTGGTGGCACAGGATGGCAGCAACACTTTAAAAATCGCTACGGCATCGTCGGGAAGACCCTCTCGGGTGAAAGCGGGGCAACCAGCAGCAACAACAGCATTGATAAGTGGCTGTCCGACGAATGGCCAGACATTTGCAACAGCTTTTCACCGTCGCAAATATTTAATGCCGACGAAACTGTCCTGCTTTGGCAGATGCTGCCAAGCAAGACGTTGGACTTCAAGAGCAGCAAATGCCATGACGGAAAAATGAGCAAGGTGCGCATCTCGATTTTGCTCGCTGCAAATATGGACAGCTTGTGCAAACTTCAGCCGTTCGTTGTCCGCAAGAGCAGATCGCCACGCGGCTTCAAGAACGCAAGAGGTCTCTCAGTGCGCTACGCATCCAACAAAAAAGCATGGATGACACGCGATCTGTTCATGGAGTGGCTCCGGGCATGGGATACCGAGCTGGAGAAGTCCGGCCGCCAAGTCCGTCTCCTTCTTGACAATCGTTTGGCCCACCACGTCACCATCCCACTGAAAAACATCACGGTGAAATTTTTGCCGGCCTACACTACAGCGAAGCTGCAGCCTCTCACCAAGGCTTTATCAAAGCCTTCAAGGTTGGGTACAGGCGACGACTGGTGCAGAGGCTCCTGACGAACCTTCGTTTGGGAATCGAACTCAAAGTTGACCTTCTTGAAGCTACACAGATGCTAACAGGCGCTTGAAACAACGTGAAACAAACCACAGTCGTAAACTGCTTCCGCAAAGCGAGCTGTGTGGTGACTCCTGACGAGGCGTGTTCGGACACCGAAGACGACGGCGTTGAGTGCTTCGACGATGAATTTCAAGTGCTGGCGGCATTTCCAGGTGCCATCCAAGATGGCGCAACACCACGCGATTTTTTAAGTGCTGACGATGACGCGCAGGCTGTGGCGGATCTCGCAATTGGGAGACATCGTGGCAGACATCGCAATTGCCGCTGCCGAAGAAGCAGCAACAAGCGACCCCGATGAAGATATCCACCCGCCTACTGTAGCTGAGCTTGCGTCGGCGTTCAGCGTGATTCGCCGCTGTTGCGGCGCAATGGAAGGCACCGGACTTTTGCATTTGGACAGCGTCAGCAAACTTGAAGACAGTTTAATAAACTTCATGGCGCAAAAGAAGAAGCAGTCCAAGGTCACAGACTTTTTTGATGCCAAATAAAGGGCCGTGGTCGTTGGTGTTTCGTATTTTCCGTGCTTTGGAGAACAAGTCGGTTACAAACTGCTTGTCACGATCTCCGAAAGCTCTCAGTGATGTGCGGAGTATTCAGGAAAGCTTCAGGTAAGCATATTTTATATTTCGAATTATCGATATATCGAACTATTTTACGATCCCCTTGGAGTTCGATATATCCGGGATCAACTGTACAACATATATGTACCCAAGAGAAGTGCTTACGTTTAAAAATGTAGTGCTGACCACACTTTTGGGCTTTTGAAAATGCACTTAGCTTCCATAGCCTTCCCAAAGCATTCCCTTCCGTATTGTTGATGGCTCTACCTTGCTATTCATTTTACACACCTGAGCATTAGTGAAGGGAAAGCTTGCAAACGCTTTTGCTGAAGGTGCCAGCCAGTGTGGTGGCCTTTCACAATTGCAGTGCTGCACTGCCGACCACTCTGCAGTCATTCAATTAGTGTGAAAAGTGTTTGTCTATTATTGTTATCCAATTATATTGCAAACAGCAACATTAAATATGCCAGCATCACAATCAGTCGAAATATGTAACTGCAAATGTGGCTCTAAACTTACAAAATGGGTTGGCTAAATGACTGAAAAATTATTGCAATGTTGTTGCAATATTGCAACCTCTAAACTAGCTTTTTGCCTGTTACCCAGAGTGCAAAGTTAAGAAGAGACTTGGAGATGGCAGATTGTGCTGCTAATCTAGAGGTATGCGTTCACTGATGATGCCCTTGGGTAAGCATGCTGCACCTTACCTGCAGAGGGCATTCGGTAGTGGCCCTTTCTAAATTTCCGGGGACCACTTCCTGCATCGGCTCCAGATTCACTCATGGCAAGAGCCGAGTCGTGAGCGGCACACAGCTCCAGGATCAACTCGTGGTTGGTCAGTGTCTGCTCCATGTAAATACTGAAAAGCGAAGAGAGAGAGAGAAGGACACTCTCGAAATCCACGGACGATTTCTCCTTGAACGAAAAACTGAAGCCTTGAGCACAGCATACGATCGTAGTCAACTTATACGACTGGCAATGTTGGCAATGGCAATGTTGGAGCAAATAAATTGGTTAAATTAACGAATGTTAACAGTAGTATGAAAAAGTCTAGTGTTATTCTTCTACATACATGTTTTGAAAACCACTAAGTATATCAGGACTGTGTACCCCACCTACGCAACCTGAACCGATTTCCAGGACACCGAGTTTTTTCACTCGTTTTAACGGCACAATAATGATGCCCACTAACCACACAGTTTTCTCTAAAAGACGTAGCTATTATAATCTAATTTTTCATTTTTTTGTTCTTTTTAGACAGAGGCATGTCCCTGTTATAGATCGACAGAAAATGCCATTTCCAGAGCTCCATTTCTTGCAACATAGAAGTGCTCGTAGCTTTCAGTTCTCAAATATGCTTAGACGTTATCAAGAGCTTTACAAAAACTTGCGGCCAATTTGTCCAGCACAGTTTAACCCATTTCATGACAACACTGCTGCCAGCAACGCACTAATTGTATGTTGCTGGCAGCCTACTGCCTTTCTCATTTTGAGGGGCTAAGTCACCGATGTGGTTCCTTACCCGCCAGCCAGTTTGCACAGTGGAATGAAGGTCATAAAAGCAAGCTCTGCAGTGAACACCTGCTTAACCTCCTCGAGGGCACGCTCTGGTATGTTGCGTTCGTCCCCTGCAAACAGGTACAGCACAGAAATGCAAAACACTAAATCAGACTGGCACATTCAACAAAGCACATGTACTGTTTCTAGTGCGCTACAGCGCCTGACTGATAATCTTTTATACTAATGAACATCTTTTTTTTTTTCTCTACAAGACTGAGTCCTGATATTAATCAGCAGGTGGCGAGTGTCGCAATGCCTGTGCGTTGTGCCATTGTTTCAATGACTCAAAACACAATTTAAACGTCATTGGCAGCATAGACTGCCGTGGACAAAGCCGCTGAAGCTCACAGATTTCAAATCATGGTTTCAAGGAGTCACTAAATGTGCGAAAAGTGTCGTCAGTATAATGATGAGACTTCTGTCTTGTATTTGAACAAATCCACTACTACTTAAAGAAAGCATGGTAAGTAGGTGGAATGGATGAATAGACACAGTGAACGCAAACTTAATAACAGCCGCCATAAAAAAAATGTATCACATCTGTTGTGACGAGCCTTGCAGTGCTTACACAGGGCACTTCAATTTATCAAGTGACTGATTGACTGATTGATTACATTGAATTTGATTGACGTAATTATCCTATGCAATACCAGAGTCTAAAAGTCTTAAGAATGCAGCACTGGCAGTTTGTGACAAATTACGACTACCTCTCTGCCTTCTAATGAGTCATCTCTCTCTCTCTGTACAATACTACCCGAGTAAAGAGCTAACACATCTCAATGACTTGCTGCATACTTGAAACCTTCACTGCTATCCAGGGCACAATCAGGGCTTAATCCGATAATAAGACTACTTCGGGAATACTTTATGTTTGTGACTACCTGAGGAACTTTATTACACGTGCACATACCCAAATGTAAGTACACGCAGCGTTTGTTACATTTTACAGCCACTGAAATGCAGCCACCATGGCCGAGTATGAGAATGCATGCCCTAGCGTTTAGCAGTTCAACACCATTCTCATCGTGCATTGGTACGTGATTGTTTTAGCTCTCTTAACGAACATCACTCCCATTGGTACGTGATTGTTTTAGCTCTCTTAACGGGGCCATACTCCTAACTGTGCATTCGCAACAGCGTGTACGATAACACTGGCTCAGAAAACCTCAGAATCCCCAAGGGGCCTTACAGATGGCGGCTACCTTGCACTGCTGTGAGAATTCATCGTTTCACTACATGCACTTACATAGCCCCACAGTTGTGTTTCCGCTTTGATCATAATACATCATGAAAATGAAAAGAGTATATTATGCTGCATCATCAGAATGGGACTCAAGCTGGCAAAAGAGCACGTAATTTTAACGGGCAACACTCTCATTTTCTCAATAGCGTGCGAACGCATTTGCCACCAAGTCTGTATATGTAAGTGGTGCCACCTGTTGGCCTGCATACCGAACCAAGAAGATTTTGAAGCACCACAGTCATAAAACCACAATGCACCTATAACATATCAATGGTCACAGCAGTTCTGAAGCAGCATACAGTTCGCTCAAGACCAATGTTGAACAGCACATTATTGCGGGTTATCACCTACACGACGGAGCACTTTGTTACTTGAGGCCGTACCACTGCCTCGCATCCATCTGATGTAAAAAAAAACGCTGCCTGTATATATGACTTGGTGTTGAAGGCTCAATTCATTACTGTGCGGTACATTCAACAAATGACATACGACACATCTGGACTTAGCAGCCCTTTGTGTGATGGAAATACACGGGTCAATACAAGGCCATTCATAGGCCAGTTAGCATTAGTAACTGCCCAACAGGTTGGTACTAAAGTAAAAGTGGCAGATTAATCACAGTTGCTTTTTGATTATTTTCTGTGTTTTGAATTTGAAATAACCTCAGCACACAGAGTTTCCTTGCCTCCTCCCTTGACAAATTAAAAAAAAAAATGGTTCCACTTACGTTTAATATTAGGCACCACTTGGGACTGCCGAATTCTAGCATAGGTCATTCACATTAAATATGCCATAATTACTTCAAATAGCTTAGCCAATTTCCCACTTAGCATTGAAGGTATGCAAAATATATTATGTTCACTTTAATGTGCATCAGAATTTGGGAAGGGTGGCTTTACAAATTCAGCTAACAGACATAAAAAGACAATGTAGCAGTTTCATTCATTTCCAACTAACTGCCCCATTCTAACGTCTACCTACATACATATGTCATTTTGCACATTTGAGTCTCATGATTCCCTGCCAAGTTAACACATTCGTGGAGTACAGAAAACTAAAAAGTGAGAAAAAGCCCCACTACAATGTAGAAGAAAATACTGATGGAGTATAAAGATCGAAATGTGGCCAAGGCCTTTCAATATGCAAAGCCTGGGCAACTAGTATGTCCCTCAGTGGTTAGATTGTTAGTTAATCTTTCAGCAGCATGATTGCTGACCTGCTGCACTTAATTCCAGCTGCCAGTTTAAAGAATAGATTCTTTTTTGAAGTCTTAAGCCATGCCTGAATCTGCAGCTACGTTAGCAAACTTAACCACGAGCAGTGTTGCCTAAGCAATGCCTCAAGAAGAGTTTGAGATGGAAATGTTGACTAATCAATGCATTCAACACAAAGACAGACAATACATGCGATGGCTGACATCTCTAACCTTATGCCGAATGCATAGTAAAGAAGCTTATGGTGTTGTTTTCAAACCCAGCATGGACTCTCCATACTTATCAGGAACTAAAGTTTAGACACACATATGCACGTACATAGAAAAGAATGCATATCACACGCGTGTTAAGCTGATAGACACACATAAACCTAAACTTCGTGGCTGTTATAGCGTCTTAGACCAGTGCATGAAAAGTCCCGCTTTCAGACGCCACTAGAATGCCTACTTATACAACAAGGAGTCACATCCATAACTTCAATGTGAACAGTCAAACATCACTATGGCAGAGCCACTTTCACATTGAAGCTTGGAAAACTCTCCATGTTGCAACGTACAGAGAAATGCACAGCTTATCTGCTCAATATCACATAGTGAAGGAAGACGTCTTATGAAGCGACACATCTCCACAGTGGGCAACATAATGCACGAGTAGTCAGTTAACCCCTTGCCTTCTGTGCTCTCCGTGGCCGTTCTTGCCTGGTATTTACGCAAAAAGTTTTGCGGCATGAGTCGGTGCGTGTTAATAGCAGTAAAATCTGCAGAAAATATCGTAGAATAACAAATCTTATTTTCATCTGTTACAAATGATTTACTGCAGTCAGCTGTTTCAGTAAGATTTCGGTACGTCAAAAACTACAAAGCACATAGTTGTGATGAGCAACTTAGCATTTTGCACGCTCCCATTGGCTCCCGGACTTTTTCCCGTGTGTCTTGAAACTTTAGTACAATTTTGTCGGAGTCGTCTTTGCTTTTTTTTGGCAGAATCTGACTGAGGAAAATGAGCCCACTCGGTGGCTTGTAAGCGCATCGGTGAGGCCGCGAGAGGCAGGTGTTTGCGCTACACCCTGTGTCAGAGAAGTCGCGAACGAGCACCGTTCTTCTCTAAAAAGACACATACACACACTTAGCAAACGCCTCCAACAACGAACAACTATGTCCATCTAGCGGATAATATACGAAGCAAAAGGCAAACACAAGATACTGTGCTGCCATCTATGAAACAAGGGTCAAAAATAAACATTTTTCCGGTGGTCAAGGAGCTTTTGGCCTCGCCAACCTGGTTGATGGATTGCTGGCCACAGATGTCAATTGGTTAAAAGACACACACACAGACACAAAAAGAGAAAAGTAGACTTTAGCGAATCCTCTAACATTGCACTCATTTGACGTGAAAGATGATGGGTGACAGTGGCTTTTGTGATACTGCAATTACAGTAGAATCTCATTAAACAGAACCTGAAGGGACGAGGCAAAATGTGTTCCACTTAACAGGAGTTTTGTTTATTGAGAAGTGAAGTGGGTTGCAGTATTCAAGCATCAAACCAACCATATCAGAGAAAGTTGTTCCATTTAGGCAGCAGTTCCATTAAAGAGATTTCCATTTATTGAGAGTCTACTGTATTCAGAGACCAGCTATAACAGGAGACAATGACAAGAGACAGTGAGAGCAAGTATAACATTTATGACATTGCTGCTTTTCAGAGCACCACTTTAACAGGTGCCCGTGATAGGTGTAGCAACATTTATGAAAGTGCAACTGTTGGAAGTCCAACTATGCAAGGAAACATTGACAACAAAGAGTGGAAGGCAGCAGCACTTATAGGTCATCACAGTTACTCGAAGCACAGCCATGACAGCAGACTGTGACAAAAGTGATGGAGAAACATGGCAACATTTATAATGTATTGCAATTGTTGAAAGCCCAACTATGACAGGAGACGATGACAATAAAGAGTGACGCTTATGAAATCGCAGCTTCTTGAACAAATATGATAGGAGGCAATAACAAAAAACAGAGAGGCAAAAAGAGATTTATGACATTGCAGTTTTTTTAAGCATAATCATGGCAGAATGAGGGGTAGTGACAATTATAGCAAGGCTGTTTTTAAACAAAAGACAATGACAAGTACCGTATTTACTCGATTCTACCGCGCCCTCGATTGTAACGCGCACCCGATTTCCACGACGAAAAAAAAAAGTAAGACATCGATTGCAACGCGCACCCATTTTTCTCGCTGGCCCGCACGACCACACCACTCGAAAAAACGACTCCTTTCGGGAGCGTCTTCCATTTAAATATGAGGTACGGCGAAGCTTGTGCCCATCTGACGTGTAACAGAGCATTGCCGTCACTGTAGTTTTACCGTGGACCGATGTCAGCACGCGAACTTGCTTCACCCCCTTCTTCTCGACAGTTGTGTGCCAGGCATGTCGAAGTAAAGAGGCGTCTGATCAACATTCCCGATTTGCCCAAGCAGGTAGCCGTTGTTGTGCCGCAAGTTTAGGACGAACCTCTGAAAACTGTGAAGCTTTTCATCGTACTTCTCCACAAAACTTTTTGCATATGGCCAGTTGCCTTCGAACGGAAAAGGTTTTCCTCTTCATAAAGTTAGTTAGCCAGCACCTGCTCGCTTTAAACTGGCTCCGCATTAGCGCTTTTTCTATTCTAAGGCTAACTGCATAGCCCGCACTTGGAGCAGTTCTTTCGTCACGGGCCGCCGTGCCGCTCACTGCTCAAGCACATACTCGCCGTGCAGCTCTTTAATTTGCGGAAACCGACCTTGCTGTGGTCCACTGAAGCCTTTGCGTGAAGCTTTGCTGTCGACAATCTTCTGCTTTTGTTTCCGCCAGTCCCGCACGCACGTTTTGGGAACTCTGAACGACCGCGATGCAGCCCGATTTACGTCCGTTTCGACACACGCGATGACTTTTCTTTTAAAAGTGGCACCGTGGTGCGCTTGTCGAGTTTTTGGAGTCGGCCTTTCCATGCCGTCGACGCTAATGCGCGCCAAGATGACGAACTTGTCAGCCCACGTACGAAGAGCGGCACATGGGAAACACATAGGCAGAAGTGGCCGACGCGCCATGCCGACGCACGTAGGGGGCGGCCATTTCGGAATGCCGATGGCAATAGAATGACCGTATTCATTTTTTTTTTTTGTACTCGATTCTAACGCGCATGCGATTGATGAACTCGCTTAACCGGAAAAAAGGTGCACGTTAGATTCGAGTAATTATGGTATACCACGACCGAAGAAAAGGACAACTGACAGAGATGTGACATTTACAACACTGCAGTTGTTTCATGTGCAACTATGACAGGACACAGTGGCAAAAGACAGCGGAAGGCAGTGACATTTATGACGTCAAAGTTTTCTGGAGTGTAAGCATGACAGCAGGTCATGACAATTGACAGGCAGAGGCAGTGACATTCATGACAATGCAGTTTTTTGGAGCACAAGTAAAACAGAAAACAACATGCAATGATACACAGTGGACAAATACGACATAGTAGATTCGGAAATCACCACCATGATAGAAGACGACGACAATAAAAGGCAGTAGGATTTATGACACTGAACTTTTTGAAGCACAACTCTGACAGAAGAACTAGGATAAATTACGAGGAGCGCAGTGACACTTATGACATTGAAGTTGTTTTTAGCACATTACCACAAGTGACAATGGGAGGTAGTGAGACACTCATGACAGCATTTTTTTTTTTTCAAAACAAAACTATGACACAATATGGCAAAAGACAATGCTGGGTATAGCAACATTTATGAGATTGGGATTGCTCACCATGCAACTACGATAATTCGCAAGACAGGAAGTCAGAATGCGACATAATAAACATTGGTCGCTGTAGAACTGTTTCTGCTCTTTATATTCACGCTGCTGTAGCCATTAACACAATCATAAAACAGACATGGAAGCTTAAGCTCAATATTGACGAGGGTGTAGATGACATGACTACGAAAGCAACAAGTGACAGAGCCTGCTTTTGTTAAAGCTTTTCTGCACTGAACCTTCACTGAGCAAGTGTAACAAGTCAGGATTAAAGCTTCCATGACTAGGGTCCTTTCAAGCATGGAAGCTATGTACAGCTCATATCAAAAAATGACTGCACCAACTATCCTATTAATGACTTTCCTGAAGCTCTTTATGAATGACTTTGGGCCTTAGCTCCTTTGCGACGAACCTGTGCAATGACTCAGAATTAGGGTCCCGTCAAACATTGCGCCAATGTTGCAGCTGATATTCAGCACGAATGAACTAACCTGCCGGATTCGTTACTCGAAGTATTACACGACTAATGATACATGGGGTTTTATTTTACATCCTCACACCAGTATATGGTTATGACAGATGCCGTAGTGGAGGATTTCAGAAATTTTGACCACCTGGTGTTGTTTAACAATCACTGACATCGCACAGCATGCGGGCTTCTACCATTCCGCCTCCACCAAAATGCGACCACTACAGCTGGGATTCGCACCCATCGGGTCTGCAGCCCACGTGCCCGTGGCATTCAGGGCGGCAGCCGAGCCCCATAACCACTGCTCCGCCACAGTGGACAAGCTTTACATGACTGACTTTCTCTTTAAACTCTTCTGCAGTGAACCTGCACTGAATTGGTGCAACAAACCGGCAACATCAGAGGCCGTAGATGCTGTAGAGTGTTAGCGAATGCTGCGCCTCTGCGCAACGCAGGTGTAGTAAAGCGAGGAGAAAAAAAAATGACGCATGCATGATCGTGCACCTTCTCGTTCATCGTGGGGAGGTGTGAGGGGGTAGGGCGGCGAACCTCGGCACCGGAGCACGGACGACAACTTGACTGGAGTGCCGATCTTCAATTCCTGGCCACCGGCCTCCCGCTTGATGGGGAGATAATCCTCAAACGATCGGGACAGCAGCTCTTCTGCAGCGGTGGAGGAGGCAGGTCACGCACGGGTTGTCGTGAACGCAGTTAAGCAACCCAAACTCTCCAGAGCACTCTGCTGCCAACATTGCTCGGCATTCTCGACAAAATGAAAGGGAGCCATTACACAGATGCGTACAGTGGGAAGAACATATGCTCAAACCTCATTATAACTAAGTTCTATCATAGATAAAAATACATTTGTTATATTTGAAAATTCGTTATAATTGTATAGTCTTAACACTATCTATTTCAAAAGCAATATTCATTTACTTCGTTGTAACCAATGTTTTCTTATTTTCAGGTTTGCTATATCGAAATTTGAGTGTACACTCAAACCTGATATAACGAATTTGGATAAAACAAATTATCACTATAACAGAGGAAATGGCCAATAGCATTGCCACACAGAGTTACAAATAATTGTTCATAACAAAATTTTGAATATAGCAAAGTATTTTCGTGACACATGAGACTTTGATATGGTGAGGTTTGAGTATCTAAACTAGTCAAACCGAACTATGTCGAACTCGGGCAAATGAAATTATGCATTACATCCCTCCTTGGCAGCAACAGGTAACTTCAACGGGAAAGCTGCTATATGACCAAGCGAGAAGATAGCCGTCTATGGACAAATTCAAAAACTATTTTCTTCCTTAAAGCAAAAAAATATATACATGATTATAAACATTGCTTGTTTGATTTCGATAGACCTGATTTTTAGTAAGAGCACCGCATGGTGTAAATTGAGCCTTAGTATGAACCAAAATGATAATTTTCTTAAATTTGCAATATTTTTAATAATGTTTGTAAATCTCCTGATGTCCAAAAAAATTTTATTGCAAGATATACCTTGCAATTAGCAAGTATAGATTATGCAAATATACATACTTGGCACATTATTACAATAAGAAGAATGCAAACATAGAACATTCTGACTAAATTTCCCAAGGTGTATGTATAATGCAGAAAAATAATACTATTTAGCTTCTAACACTTCACACAGACCCATTTGCTTTATATGTAAACCAAATTTGGCATTGAAGCGAGAAACTATACTCTCAGCATAAATTTTCTTACAGATAGCACTTAGATGACATTCGGGGGAACTTAGACATGACTTTCTCAAGACCAAAAAAAGTTTTTTTTTCCTCTCCGAGATACTCTAGCAATTCACTATTTTCATAGAATAAATCGGCACAATTTTTTTCGTATACGTTCGCAATGCTTGCCAGAAAGAGAAGTTTGGTGTGGAATGACCCTTCTACTTCAGGTACCATTTCCCCGATTTATTTTGTATAGAAGTGCATATCATGGCCAGAAATCAAAGAAAACAAGTAATGTGTTTTCTATAAGAGGGCTGTCATGTTAAGAAAGTACACCGTACTGAATATTTGTTTTTATAGAGAAGCTGTAGTCAATTCTCATTATAAAAAACATGGCTCTAGCACGAAAATAAGTTTGTTTTATCTGAAAATTCGTCGGAAAGGTATATTCCTAACACTGTAGTTATCACAAGACTCTCCTTCATTTACTTCGTTATATCTGGATTCATTACATCGAGGCTTGAGCATAACGAAATCGTTCCTTTGTGAGCGAAACGTAGTCAATAGAAAACTGTCACCATCATCAACGGCCTTTACTTTTGCACACACTTGAATGATATGCAGGTTTCTTGGAACCACCTGTATACAAACCAGCCCAACATCCAACTCTCTTAGAGACACCACTTTGCTAAATAAAGTAAACGTCAGAACTGCACCTTGAAAACTCTAGCAAGCATCCCCCTCTGTAAGTCGATATAGCTGGCAAAGAGACAGGGAAGGGGGGGGGGGGGGTTAGAATGACACTGATATTCATGATGGCGGTCACACAGCTTTTCTGCCAGAAAAAATAAAAATGGTGTGCACGTGAACTTCCCTGGCAGTCTTCTTACTTATCTCGTTCCAGGCATATGGTGCATTATAAGGATGAATAATAAACGCAAAACACAAGAAAACATAGTCACACCATGGAAAGCATTATTGAATGGTGCAACCTACGACGATGAGCCAATGCAACAGCTGTAAGAAAAAAAAAAACAGGTTTTATCGGCTACGTTTTGCTGTCTACATTATCATAGCTACCACATTCGAATAATGATCTCAAAAGCAATTGTTTTGGTCGCACAACTATGGAAGCGGTCGTGGGTGTTTTGCAATTCATGTCGGGAGTGCGATCATTATGTGGGAGGAAAAAACAGATTCTGATGACAAATTAAGCACAGGTGTGTAGATATCGGACTTCTAAGTATAAAGAGATGAGAATCAAGCAGGCCGGAGTTGCGTAGACCCAGTGCATCAACACGGTGCTGAACAGGAGGTGGGTAAAGGGGGGAATGAGGCACTTTTCCGGAACGGTGCGGATTAGCACTGAAATTGGAGGGAGTGCTTGCTCGAAATTTCATGACATGTATTTAAGACAAGAACAGTCCTTTGAGGCAGAGTGATTGAAAGAATGCCATGGAATCGGCCTTACCTTTGTCACTAGGCGCAGGAACCTGTGTCAGGCTCTGCACTGCTGACACCCCACCCGCTGGTGGGAAGGCGCGGTTGAAGGACGCAAAAAAGCGTCGCAGAAGCACTGACAGATGCCGTCGGGACATCTGGAAGCCGATGCGCAGGCCGACGAGGTACAGCGTGTCAGCTATCTTTCGCGTCAGGACCTGGCGGCTGACGACACCTCGCGGAAAGCAGTGCTGGAGAGACGAGGCCAGTTGCACCAGGGGGTACAGTATGTTCTTCAGCACCACTTCCTGAAACATTGCACAAGCCACAAAATATATGAGCCCTTACAGGTAATCAAAAAGTCACAGTTCCGCCAAAAGGGCAAAGCAATGAATGCGACAGCAACATATTCGGATGTTTTACGAAACAAAGCTTGTATCTTTACGAGCAATATTATTTGTAGTAAACATGCGCTTGCTAAGTAACCAAGTTTCATGCGACGCGGCCACAGTAGATGACCATAACAAGGCTCGTGCGTAATGACGGCGTTGATATACAAAGTGAGGCTGGCAGTCAACTCATTCAGATCCGATTTCACATAACTCTACAAAACGCTGTTGCAAAAGAACGCGGTCGCTTCAGGTAGACTATTGGAATTGTTTTTTCATGTTGAGAGTAAAGCCCGTAGAAGCTCCTGCCAGCTGTGGAGGCACAAGGCGCACGCTGATCGTTGCCGCTATAGAGTGGCAACCACAATGCCCCCCCCCCCCCCCCGGTTTGCTTGTTTGCTTGCGAGATAAGCGCGCGCACAGACGAGCCTAGCCAGAAAGGTGATGTCCACTTTACAGAAGAAAGAGGCTAGCCCATCCTTCCATATATATATATATATATATATAAGGCAAGAAAACATAGTCACACCATGGAAAGCATTATTGAATGGTGCAACCTACGACGATGAGCCAATGCAACAGCTGTAAGAAAAAAAAAACAGGTTTTATCGGCTACGTTTTGCTGTCTACATTATCATAGCTACCACATTCGAATAATGATCTCAAAAGCAATTGTTTTGGTCGCACAACTATGGAAGCGGTCGTGGGTGTTTTGCAATTCATGTCGGGAGTGCGATCATTATGTGGGAGGAAAAAACAGATTCTGATGACAAATTAAGCACAGGTGTGTAGATATCGGACTTCTAAGTATAAAGAGATGAGAATCAAGCAGGCCGGAGTTGCGTAGACCCAGTGCATCAACAGGGTGCTGAACAGGAGGTGGGTAAAGGGGGGAATGAGGCACTTTTCCGGAACGGTGCGGATTAGCACTGAAATTGGAGGGAGTGCTTGCTCGAAATTTCATGACATGTATTTAAGACAAGAACAGTCCTTTGAGGCAGAGTGATTGAAAGAATGCCATGGAATCGGCCTTACCTTTGTCACTAGGCGCAGGGACCTGTGTCAGGCTCTGCACTGATGACACCCCACCCGCTGGTGGGAAGGCGCGGTTGAAGGACGCAAAAAAGCGGCGCAGGAGCACTGACAGATGCCGTCGGGACATCTGGAAGCCGATGCGCAGGCCGACGAGGTACAGCGTGTCAGCTATCTTTCGCGTCAGGACCTGGCGGCTGACTACACCTCGCGGAAAGCAGTGCTGGAGAGACGAGGCCAGTTGCACCAGGGGGTACAGTATGTTCTTCAGCACCACTTCCTGAAACATTGCACAAGCCACAAAATATATGAGCCCTTACAGGTAATCAAAAAGTCACAGTTCCGCCAAAAGGGCAAAGCAATGAATGTGACAGCAACATATTCGGATGTTTTACGAAGCAAAGCTTGTATTTTTACTAACAATATTATTTGTAGTAAACATGCGCTTGCTAAGTAACCAAGTTTCATGCGACGCGGCACCCAGTTACGAGACCCTCGTTCAATGAAATAAAGGAGAGAAGTGTATACCTAAGGCTCTTATTTCGTGGTTTAACACAATATTAATGAGATATAACAGACAGTAATGCCATGGAATGTACAGGGGAAGTTATTAGAACCAATGGAATGTAAATAAGAAGGAAGAAGAAAGAAAAGTGGATGAAAAAATTACCAGCTGTGAGCAGGAATCGAACCCACGACCTTCGAATAACGCGTTCGATGCTCTAACCACTGAGCTATCACAGCGGCCGTCCCTCCATCCACTTTTTGGGGCGCTGACTGTCACTCCTACTTCTAAATTCACAAATAAACCCCAAAAAGTGGATGGAGGGACGGCCGCTGTGATAGCTCAGTGGTTAGAGCATCGAACGCGTTATTCGAAGGTCGTGGGTTCGATTCCTGCTCACAGCTGGTAATTTTTTCATCCACTTTTCTTTCTTCTTCCTTCTTATTTACATTCCATTGGTTCTAATAACTTCCCCTGTACATTCCATGGCATTACTGTCTGTTATATCTTATATATATATATATGTATATATATATATATATATATATATATATATATATATACGTAAATGACAGCGGCGGTGGCAATGGCAAACACCAGCCAATACTGTTCATATAATCGCTGTCACACTGGAACGGCAACGCAATGATTGTGATAGCAACAAAGTTCAATGTTACATGAAGTAAGGCTTGCATGTTCCGATCTAATTTGGCATAACTCCACAAAATGCTCATTTAAGCAAATACAACCAACTCCAGAAGCGAAACAGTTTTGCAGCTGTTTGTCGTCCCGACATAAAGAAGATTCTGAGAGCACAACTCGTCATGAGCTGTCTACTAATGTCTACCAAGAGAACACATGCGCCAGCTCTGCTGCCTGCAGCCAAGCATGTGACACAGACACCCACCTGAAGTTGACTCATGAGCGTCGTGTCGGACAGGAACGGGAGCACGTGCTTGACCATTGTTACAGCTCCGATGAGACCGGCTTCTAGGTTGTCAGTCAGGTGTCTCTTGCACATGCACAACTGACACGAGATACAATAGAGAAATGACACACAGCTGTCGCAAGCCCCGAGAAATTGGTGGAAAAGTTGCCCCTCTAAACGTGTAGAGTGGCTGCTCCATTTTTTTGCGTTATGTAAGGCTCGACTTATGCGTACAACACGGTAATTGAAAATGGAAACACCCTACTAAAACCAACATTATACCACTGTCACGTGGCCACTAAAAAGTGTTTCGAGCAAAAACACAAATAAAGAAGTTTCGCCCACAGACTCACAGCAGCAGGCGTTCCCTTTTCAGAAGCCATCTCTTCTGGAAATGGCATTTGTCGATCTGTAGCCCGGCCGTAAAAAAAAGTAGCCTCAAAACCAGTGGTTGTCAGCAATTGTAACCGGTGAAAAAAACAAAGGGGGGCAAATGTTTGTTTCGTCACCTGGGCTCTTCACACAAATAAAATTCACATCTCTTGAAAGACCAAATAAGCCATTTAAGGCTTATTTCCTTGGGCATTATGTCAGCAAGTCGATAGGCTCAAGGACACATGGTGATGTTTAGTGCGTCGCACGCACAGATGCAATAAGCACAGGCATCGTAACGTGTATGGCCAACTCCAGTGACTGAACAGTACTGAATGCACGCAGAAGTGCAACGGCTACATTAATTGGATAGGACATTGGATATTATATATGGATACATAGGATAAGGACATTTAATTTTATAAATGGATGCATAATTTTTTTAGTGGTTTTGTTTTGAAAGCTAGCCCCACGCTTTTGGTTGTGCATTTGGAAGAAAACAGGAAAAAGACGATCGGTGTCTGGTACGCAACGCCTCTTCATTTAATGCTGTTCAACTTTTAAAAAGAAAGGCCACTCACGTAAAAAAGTCCCTTGCATCTCTTGTGACGCGGGTTAAACACTATTCAATGTTGCAATGCTCGTGTACAACATCTGGTGTAAATTGATGCACTTGTCCACAACCTACATTACACCAATTAACATGCTACCACCAGTGTTCGCTCAGGCAGGATCTATGGCAGCCTGTTAGATTTCGGGCTGCTGCCAAGATATTTGCAAAAGTCGTGAAGTTTAAGATCTGAAACTGGCTCAAAGAATATGAGATGTCTCAGAAGGAAAGAACCTCACTCATTTTGACACACTGCGAGGGCATCAGGAGAATTGATTCAGAGCACTCCTTAGCAGAGAGTTCTAGATAATTTCGATGCCATTATACTCTTGTAACATGGCTAAAGATCTATGGCACAAATCCACATGCAAGAGCCTTTCTGAATCCCTGAGATCTTACTAATAATAAGATTACACCCGAACACTTATCCGTATCACCAACGGAAAGGTACAGCAATGGATCAGCAACATGCTCACGCTTATAAATTTATTACACTGTAGACGCACCAGCTCAACAGCATGGGGCAGGTACTGGCGTGTAATGAAACTCTCCCCGTAAAGCATCGCCAAGTTGGAGAGCGTTTCCAGAACCTTTGCGGCAGTCTGGTCGCCAACTACACCTTGTTCGAAAAGGCTCACATCTAGAAGAGGAAAAAAAAACAACCTCAAAACTGCGTGAAAAACAACGAAACGAGATAATAAAGAGAGCACACTGCAGTAGGACACAAGAGGCGCTGCTGATTAAAACTTCTAAATAATATACTGCGAACACTCCGCTCGAAACTGTTGTGTCCAGCAACCCTTGGTGTCATGTAAGCACCCAAGTGAGTGAAGTTTACTGTACATGCCACTGGGGGGTGATTGGTCACTGACCTATCACCTTTTACCGCCTCCATTATGGAAACCGCCTGCAAAAGACGCGGTAAAGCAGCCTCCCATCAGTCTCGCCAAAGCTCGATCTACCTGTCCTCACCCTACATGCCCCCCGATCGCTCCGCCTCTTCGCCGGTCTGCTGCGAGATAACGCCGCACTCCTGCCTGAGAACAAAAATGCCAAGCATACCTGCCTACCCTCCTCTTAGGAATAACTGGTTGCCGATACTTTAAATATTTTGTGACTAGCACGGGAAGCATTATAATAATATTATATCTGGAGTTTTACGTCACAAAAACACAATATGATTACGAAGGACATCATAGTGGAGGTCTCCAGAAACTATGACCATCCAAGTCTTTTTTATGGAGCACTGAGATTGCACACCACACGACCTCCTGCCATTTTCTCTCCAGCCAAAATATGACTGCTGCAACTAGAATCAAACACGTGACCTTTGGGCCAGCAGCTGAGCAGCATAACAACTGCTCCGCTGTGACAGGCAATGTGGTAGAATTGACATTTACTGAATCCCAAGCATGCTGTCTGTAGCATACTGCAAGGAATGCAATCAACCGTTTGCCATATCTCCTGCAAGTCCCAGATGAAAGCCATGCTTAAAAGCTGAAGCACTTAAAAAAAATGACTTTTGAGGGATGTAAGAACAGTTTGATTCCTTCTGAATTCAAAAGGCAATGTGGGAGTTTTCACAAGTGACCGCAAAGAGCACTTTTCGACGAAAAAATACGATGTAGTGGCCGCTGGGCTTCTCAGGAGGCAGAGCGAATGCAGTGACATCATGCTTGGTATGCCGCGTCATCTAGCAACAGCAGCACCTCTGAAGCGTGGCCTCCTCGATACGTTCCGACAACAACCCGCCGTGAGTTAACCACAGAATCCATGGTGGAAAAATGAGACACTTGCTTACGTATCGCTCGGAACATGGAACGCATTTCTTGCTTCGCTTACGAAATCGCTTGAGCAGAGGGTGAAGGTGCATTCACTCGATTTCATCATCCTTTGCCAGCTAATGCTGACAGTGTCTAGTCAAAATGCGATTGTTAAAATTTGCGAAATCTATGCAGTCTCCCACACTACCATACCTGCACTGTCTCGAGACGCTACATCTGCACATGGCTGAGCATGAGCGACGCTCAGTTAAACACGCCTAGTAAGTGGCTGAATGTTATGTCCGAGAGAAGAATGGCTAAACAAGAGAAAATGAAGATGACATAGGTTTTCAAGCGTTCACTCACGGCACACGTGAAGGGGCAAAGCACGACAAACTTTGCTTTCGTATATTCTAAAGCTCCTGTTGCTAAAACGGCGGAAAAATATCTTGCCAACATTGACAGTAATGTTAGTTCTGTTAACCACGAAGTTTTATCGGATTCTAAAACATCTTCAGTTTCCATTTAATGCAATTGCCTGAAATTTTCACTAGACGTGTATGTAACTCTCCCCTTGCAAGCAGCAAAGTTCACGTCCATGGGTTAATACATATACTTCAATTACCGTAATTACTCGAATCTAACGCGCACCTTTTTTCCGGTTACGCGAGTTCATAAATCGCATGCGCGTTAGAATCGAGTACGAACAAAAAAATTACGGCCAATCTATTGCCATCGGCAAATCTAAAATGGCCGCCCCCTACGTGCGTCGGCATGGCGCGTCGTCTATTTCTGCCTATGTGTTTCTCATGTGCGGCACTTCGTACGTGTGCTGAGGAGTTCGTCATCTAGTAGTGCATTAGCATCGACGGCGTGGAATGGCCGACTCCAAAAACTCGAGTGCACCACGATGCCACTTTTAAAAGAAAAGTCATCGCGTGTGCAGAAACGAACGGAAATCGGGCCGCATCGCGGTCGTTTGGAGTTCCCGAAACGTGCGTCCGGGACCGGCGGAAACAAAAGCAGATTTTCGACAGCAAAGCTTTACGCAAAGGTTTCAGTGGACCACAGCAGGGTCGGTTTCCGCAAAAAAAGAGCTGCTCGGCGAGTATGTGCTTTAGCAGCGAGCAGCTCAGCAGCCCGTGACGGCAGAACTGCTCCAAGTGCGGGCTATGCAGTTAGTCTTAGAAAAAGGTCTAATGCGGAGCCAGTTTAAAGCGAGCAGGTGCTGGCTAACTAACTTTATGAAGAGGAAAGGCTTTTCCCTCCGAAGGGGAACATGCATATGCGAAAATTTTTGCGGAGGAGTACGATGAAAAGCTTCACAGTTTTCAGAGGTTCGTCCTAAACTTGCGGCGCAACAACGACTACTTGCTTGGGCAAATCGGGAATGCCGATCAGACGCCTCTTTACTTCGACATGCCTGGCACCACAACCGTCGAGAAGAAGGGGGCGAAGCAAGTTCGCGTGCTGACATCGGTCCACGGTAAAACTACAGTGACGGCAATGCTCTGTTACACGTCAGATGGGCACAAGCTTCGCCTGTACCTCATATTTAAATGGAAGACGCTCTTGAAAGGAGTAGTTTTTTCGAGTGGTGTGATCATGCGGGCCAGCGAGAAAAAATGGGTGCGCGTTGCAATCGATGTCTTACGTGTTTTTTTTTTTTTTTTTCGCGGTGGAAATCGGGTGCGCGTTACAATCGAGGGCGCGGTAGAATCGAGTAAATACGGTAGTCAACTGGGGTGAATTCACTGTTGGCAGCACATATCAAACTGATGGTAGTGCCTGCTCGCCCTACTTACCGCCCTCGAGCAGCGCTCCCTTGGCTGGGCTCAGTTGCTGGGGCCCCATGTAGCAGAGCGTCAGCATGCGCAGTAGGTTCCTACTGAGGTGCTTGGCCGTCAGAACTGGGCCCAGCCGATGCGCGAGCCACACGACACTCTCCGAGGCTATGTCACTGAGGCTGCAGCCACCGCTGTCAGCCGCTTCCGGGGGAGTCACCTCATACGTCTCCTGTTGGTTCATGTGTAAACTTTCACATGTCACTTCTAGGCTAGACTGATTCCCATACAGGTGGTCAAAGGGGTATTCATACCTCTTTTCAAACATGCATTCGCTCTGCCGTAGAAATCTCTTATATAAAGAGATGACTCTGAGCAAGTGAAAAGGTGGTTAGGTATATTATTTTGTTATTAATATCAATTTTCCTATGGCGCACCTATTAGAGCCAATGCTATACATGTTAAGCTACTGTACTAATTCTGGTGACTTGAGGTAGCAGTCTGGCTAGTGATCCCACGTAAAAAAAAAAAGTCACAGTTTGACCACATGGGCGGAGCAATGAATGCGACAGCAACAACTTCGAATGTCATGTGAAGAACTGGGAAATGACTCGCCACTCGCGAAGCGCCACTCAAGTGCAAAGGACACACGAAAACCATGCAGGACAAGCGCAAAGTAGCAACAGTCACCTTTCGACACTCTCACCACGCTGCTCAAGCACCAAGAAGAACGCTCAAAAAGAATGCACAGGCATACACAAGAAAAATGTGAACTAACAACTGTCACCGTTGTTACTTCTTCGTGTTCAATCCAGCACTCTGCAAGTGTTGCCAACTCCAGCGCCTAATTGTTAAACACCAGGCGCGTAGAGCGACCCCTCTGCACCTCCTGGCGTGTGTGGCATTTGAAGCATTGCTTGCCTGGTGTTTCACATCGTGAATTGCAACGGTAATGGGCCACTTATTAGTGTGCCACATCTCAAGAGCAGTTGAAACAAAAAAAATCTAAAAGTGTTGACTAGAAGATTGCCCCTTACACTTCCTCGTGGGTGGCACTGAAGCACCTCCGAGATCTGCATGCCTTCAGCAGCGAATACTGTATTCACTCGCATAATGGGCGCACTTTTTTTTTTTTTTTTTTTTCAGAAAGTCCGGCCTGGTGTGCCAATTACGCGAGCTGAAATGTTCGAAAATTTTTTCAACTCGTTTCTCGCGCTTTAAACCTGCACATTTGTAAAGTAAAAGGCGACTTTATCATTTACCAATTAATACAGCATAAAACAAACATACCTGCGTGCCTTTTAATGAACAAGTGAGAGCCGTCAATTGCACACACACACGTAAAATTTATTTACACAAAAGTCGTAGGTACTTCTCCTTTTCTCTATTCAGAGTCCAAGCCGGAGAGCACATTTTCATCCTCGCTGAGCGGGAATTCGCTTTCGGTGTCCGAATCATCCGCACCCCACAACATGTCATCATCACTTGCATCCGGTGCGTTACCCGTCTCCTTGAAGCTTCTCCTGACGACTTCGTCGGAGATCGCCTGCCACGCTTCCGCAATCCAAGAGCACTGAATTTACACAGGCAGCCTCTTAATCTTACCACCCGAAGTCTGCTGATGTTGTTTCCCAGCCATCAAGGTGGTATACAGCCTTTGAACATTGTCCTTGAAAGGCTTTGTCAAGGTCCCGTCCAAAGTCTGCAGTATCGATGTGTGCCCGCCCGGAATCACTACCAGATCTGTGCGCAGCTCCTTTAGATCATCTCGTATGCGGTCTACTAGAGGCCCATGAAAACTGTTCAGAACAAGCATGAACGGGAACAGCAGACCACCAGGCCGCCGACCCCAGACTGTTTTCACCCAATGCACCATGAGTTCCGCACTCATTCAGCCTTTTTCCTGGACTCTGATGTAGATGCCTTGAGGGAAATTTGCCTTTGGGAGGTTCTTACGTTTAAAAATAACGTAAGGCAGTAGCTTGCACCCATTCGTTGTCACCACCAGCATTACGGTGCATTGTTGTTTATCAGCGCCAGACGTTCTGACGATGACGCTCCATGCACCTTTTTTTCCTCCACTGCAGTGTTCCACGGCATATCAAAGCAAAGAGGGGTTTGATCGGCGTTGCCGATCTGGGACAAAATGAAGTCTTTCTGCTGTCGGAGCTTTATAACGAAACGGTAGGAGTCTACCACTTTGTCCTCATATGTTGCGCGCAAGTGCTGGCACAAGGTGGTCCGCCTACGCAGTGCGAGGCCATGGCGCCACATGAAACAAGTTATCCATCCGGAACTGGCTTTGAACTCTTTTGCTTCGAGGCGCTGCGCTCGGGCTATTCTACACGCTTTAGTCTGCACAATATCCAATGACACAGCACAGGCGTCTTGTCGTAGCTCCTGTATATATCGGAGCAGTTGCTCTTCCACGTTCGGATACAAGCCAGTTTTGGCATTGCGGAAAGCCCGCCGTGTCTTCTTCGTCGCTTTATGTTTTTCTTCTTGATCCCGTTAGTACAAAATACTAGTTTCTCCAACACCGAAATGCCAGCTTGCAGCACGGTTGCCGTGCTCCAGCGCGTACCACACTGCCTTCTTCAGTTTAAATCCAGCCATGTAGCTTGCATACTTATCCATGGTGGAACCAAAGTTGAATACACGACCATAACATATGCACACAACTTGCAAAATGGCATTTCTTTTTTTTTTCTCTCTCTCTCTCTCTGAATCGAGCCCCCAGCGTTGTACACGTGACCCCCAAGGAGTGCGGCGATTTGGGGGGGGGGGGGGGGGGGGTATCAGGAACAGCCTTTTTTTCGCTCATCGATGCTTTCTTTTTTCAAGTTTTATTTCGACAAACACAGTGATTAGGTCACTGCACTTCCGATTTTTTTTTTATTTACTCGTCGATTTGCCTTCTTTTTTTCTTCAGAGTATGGGGACCGCGTTCCAACTGTACCACTGGGGGGTAGAATCGTGTCTGATCATGGCCAAGTTCGGGTTGCTTATTATGAACGGAATTCAAAAAATCGAATTTTCTGCAACTAAACTAGGGGTGTGTTTACTATGCGAGTGCACCAATTATGCGAGTAAATACGGTACTCGCCATTAAACATTTAATGAACAGGGGGCACGTGGCCAAGCTGTCTAACGGGTCAGGCTGCAGAGTGTGAGGAGTTACAGGTTCATATCTCAGTAGCGAACTTGAAACATTTTTTCTCGTTTCATTTTTCTTTGTGGCTTTAATTTTCATCTATACTCAAACCTTAATATAACAAAGCTGAATCTTACACGAAAATAAGTTCGTTGTAACTGAAAGTTTGTTTCAAAAGTATATTTCTAACACTATATCTATTGCAAAAGTATTTTTATTTACTTCATTATAACCAATATGTCGTTATATCCGGCGTCATTATGTCGAAGTTTGTGAGCACACACATACACATAAGTGGAACGTGATGGCAACGGCAACGGCAACCGCAAAAATTTGCGAAAAGTGCCCATATGATTGCTATCACAATAAAACTTCTAAAATGGCCACCTATGTATCACCAACGGAGCCACAAGGCAGAGCACCTGTAGAAGCGTCATGATATTTTATGCGAGCACATGACAAGAAGGTCATACCGTGTTCCGATTTCAGGGTACAATAGGAACCGAAACTAGATAACTAACCCAAAAATTAAAAATAAAATTTTTTGGTTTTAAAGACTACTAAATCCCCAATATAGCGAACCTGAATATAACAAAATATAGGTTATAACGGAGTAAATGAGAAAAAGTCGTAGAATTCATAGTGTTAGCAAACACCTTTATAACGAATTTCCAGCTATAACAAAGTTATTTTCTCACATAGATGAAACTTTGTTACAATGAGGGTGGAGTGTACAAGACATACACTCAATGTCGCTATGTTGAATGCCCCAGGAATTACATGACCTTTTCACCAAGGTCTCATAGAGTCCATCAAAGCTCTTTCATGCCTTGCAAATGAATCCCCAGCAAACAATGTTGCAATTGATAATTAGCCCACACACCAGAAAAATTTAGGTGCCCACGATGGCAGTCTTATTGCCTCAGAGTGAACATGCATGCAGTTGCATGCAAACCCTCCCTTAGGCCATGCGTCACACCATCAAGCCACACGTTAATACTAATGTAACATCCAACTATACCTCTTAATTTATAGTAAGTGAACACACCGACAAGCAAGCAAGCAAATATTTTTTAAGTACACTCAAAGTTCACTTTAACGAAATTGCAGGGGGGAGTTGCACTCATTTACTTTCTTCCCTTTCTTTTTTGCGCCAAAAACAAACAAAATACATCGTTAGAAATAACGGGAAGGAGATGGGGTCAGTACAAGGTCTTATAATAGCTTGGAGTGACCGAAGAACCGCGGGTATGGTTTGCCAACTATAGTAGAAGGTACAAGTCTCAGAGGAGGGGGGCAGCCAAATATACTTGTATCTCCTAAAATTTTGTGTCATCAAAACAACTAGCAAAATCTATTTCTGTCAGAAAAACTGTCATATCTTTTCGTGGGACACACGTAAACTGACGAGACGGCGCAACCAGCTACCGGGAAAGCGCCTGTCAAAGCTTTGCTTGAGGCCAACTGAAAACTGAATGCCTAAGTATAGCCAAGGTACACAGATCGACAGGAACAACTTAACTAGATTCTTCGGACAGGAACACCAAACACCTCTAGCATTTTTATACTTTATCGCCTCTACCACTGCGTTAGCCATGCTCTTACGGATGGTAATTGCATCGCCGTTTTCGCCGGTGGCGCTTGCCGGAAGCGGTAGTCCCGCTTTAAATCCGTGTGTGCTGGCTGCACACACACCTTCAAAATATGTCTTTTTTTTGCTGTCTATGATCACATCTGCCGCGACTTCGTCTGCAGCATTTGTGGAAAACAACGTCACTCTGAATGGTTGAGAATTGAACGCGCGTGCGCTTTTGAAGTTCTGTCAGTTACGTCATTGCTACACATCATGGTGTCAAAGCGACCACGGTTTTGTCCACAGGGGTTGTGGCAAAGGACAACCACAGTTCTGACAGTGCGTGTGCTGGCCGTACCCGTCATTCCAAAGCTTTAAGCGTGCAGCTCATGCCCTTTGTTCGGCGATTTCGGTACTAAAGTTCATACGTCCTGTCGGGATGAGGGAAGTGCTCGGAATATCCGAATTTTGGCCCAATAGACATAGTGAAATTTAGAAGGGTAATTTCACGAATTCGTATTTGTCGGTCTCGCATCATTGAGATTTTACTACTATATATTAAAGGAACACCTCCTAAATTTCTTTACAATAAAATGCGATGGATTTGCAGAAAGCCTGGATCGGATTGGGCGGCGATTTCTGTCAATGCGGTCAGATCCCGCACCGAAATTTCGACATCTGGGAGATTTTTCTAATAACCGTACAAACATAGGAATTGGTTAAAATTCAGGAGTCTCACGGAAAATACGGAGACTTGGCAAGTATGAAGTTGCATCTTGCAGAAAAATAGGTTCATTATATCCTAAAATTCGTATTTAAAGATATATCCCCAATTGCTATCTATTGCAAGACTATTCATTTACTTCGTTATAACCAATCGTTATATCTTATATCTGGGTTAATTATGTAGACGTTTGATTGCAGATGCGCAATGAGAATTGTAGGGGATTATTCTGAATAACATATCAAGGCACTCACAGTCACTGGTATAACAGGGATTGACGATATCTGCGGTGATGAGTCAGGCCCTTCAGATTCCAGCCGGTCGGGTGGATTCCCAGTGGTTTGTTCTTCCTTTTCAGCCGAAGGTGGCCAAGTCATAATTTCGGGAAACGTTGTGTCCTGCAACCAAGAAGTGAAGAAATTGATTGATTTGTGGGGTTCAACGTCCCGAAAGCACCATTTGATTATGAGTGACGCCGTAGTGGAGGGCTCCGGAAATTTCGACCATCTGGGGTTCTTTCACGTGACCCCCAAATCTGAGCACACAGGCCTACAAGATTTCCGCCTCCGCAGCCGGGATTTGAACCCGCGACCTGCGGGTCAGCGGCCGAGTACCTTAGCCACTAGAACATGACGGCGGGGCAGAAGTGAAGAAAGTTAAGATTGTATTTGTATTGGCTTACAGTACACGCAGTCTTACATTTGATGAGTAATTATAGCAGATGCAGGTAATGATACAAGAGATTATGAAAATAGAATTTAAAAAAAGCACACAATGCAAGCAAAACGATTCTCCCCATTCTTTATTCTCGTTTAATTTTCAAATACTACTACTACATTTAGAAGAGTACAGTAGACTCTCAGTAAACTGAACCTGAAGGGATCGGGAAAATATGTTCCATTTAACAGGAGTTCTGTTTTCCGAGAGGTGAACATGAGGGCAGAATACAAGCCCAAAACCAAGCATTGCAGAGGCAATAGTTCCATTTAAGCAGTAGTTCTGTTTAACAGATTTCCCTTTACTGAGAGTCTACTGTAGTTTAAATTCATGTTGGAATGAATGTGAAAACTAATATTTGGTCAAATACTCGTAGTGCTCAAATATTCGCACATGCCTACTGGCAACTACTAAATTTTAGCATTAACATCTAGGGTAAGCACTAGTTAAGTGGGATACTGCACGAAATAAAAATTATACGAACATTACACCCGCAAAACATGAACACAGGTGCACATCAACTGCAGTGACCTGCACTTTGAGGTTGGCAACCATGAGATATGTCTCTGAGGAACATGATATTGTGTCGGTTTTCACTGGTAGGGAATTCCCTCCACACTTGGTTCATGTTCTGATGTAATAACTGAGTTCTTTGCATATTAATATGAATTCTGTTTTCCTAATTATGTGCCCTCTCATAGCCTCCGAACTTCAATGTAACACAACGTATCTCACATCTCAACAACGAATTCAGCGAAAGATGGAGGCTTAATGTGAATGAGAAGCATCAAATGCGTTATAGCAAACCAACGTACTCATGCCGCAATCGCAATTAATGACTCGCACCTTTCTCTCGTACGAATACGAAGCAGACTGCTCCACTTCCTGGTCTTGATCGAGCTCGAACATCTCTGGCTCCCCGAATGTGGCCGGCTCTGGAGAAGCAGACGGCATGTCCCGCTCAGAAGAAGAACTTCGATGGCCGGTACGCATCGGCGATGCCTCTCGCGATGCGGTCGCACCGGACGGGCGGAGTGGGTCGAGTTCCGCGCTGTCCAGATGTGATCCTTTTCGAACGGCCGCACTCGGATTCTCAGGATCTCTGAAAAAAAAAAAAAAAAAAACATGGTACTCATGTTTTTTGTATTTGTTACAGCACTGCCGTAACAAATACAAAAACAGGATGAAGACAAGACATGTGATGTACTCACAACCGGCCTTTCTATTGAAAAAAAAAATTCCCTTTATATGCAGCCAGCATAGTCACGCAAAAAAAGTGTCACGGAGAGTGTGAAGAAAATTGCATCAAGATGATAACAGCAAGAGGAACTTGGCCTTCTGATAAGCACACACAGTGACAAACACATTATTAACTGCACTATAATATGTGTTGTTGACATGTGTTGATAAGGCGTCCAATTTTTTTAGGGAGTTACAGATGCTCAGCAGACGCATTAATCTTTTAATCAGCGGTGTAAAAAGGCCTCAATTAATCCTCTTGTGATTCTACTGTGACGTTGTGAAAGGATAGTAGTATCAATAAAAAGCGGATTGCATCCACGCAAAAGACAATGATTGGCCAGATGATATGTGGTAGCATTAGAGGAGGGGAGCAGACGTAGGCGTTTTTGCAGCATCGTGCTCATGCACCTTCTTGAAAAAATATTGTTTCGCCTCAAAAGGCCTATTTTACATGGACAGCGCTTGTCCGTGTAGTTTCTTTCACGAGTCCCCGTGTAGAACATCATGCTGTTTCCTATTTAATAATGCAGAACCAACTAGCGTAAAGCTTCACTTCACTAAGACATATTTCTTCTGTGCTCATCCAAACGCAGCAGCAATGCACATTCTCTATGTAAAAAAAAAGAGACGCGAGAGGGCCTCGAAAAGGACTGCATGCTCACACTATCTGGGGTGCACTGTTGTCGCGATAACCTCCCACGGCTTCGACCAGAAGTGTGATAAAACAGTGCAGGAAGGTTCGCATTCCAAGACGTACCTGCATGGAAGTGAAAAAGAGAAAGCAGTGTCTTAGAGGCTAACTGCCGAGAAATGTTATAGCACTTCGCAAAAAGCCCAGTTTCACATGATGCAAATTCATAATTTAGATTACAATATAACACGGCATGAAAAGCTCGCAAAAGAGCCAACTTTGATACCACACAAAAAAAAAAACGAAAATTCGAATTCTGCACAGAACCAAGGAGGTTTAAGAAAAGAATGGTGTAGTGGTAATTACATCGCGAATTTGACGCCAGCTTTTTGCCATCTTTTCCCAAGCATATGGTACAATATTAATGTCCAGCAAAGAGCCACATATTCTCCACACGCCTTACTAACTTAATGTCGGTAATTTGTGGTACAAAAGTGCAGTCCACTTATAACGATATCGAGAAAACCTAAAAATATGATCGTTATAACCGGTGATCGTTATATCTGGACTGCCGCCAAAAAATCGTCGCCGGACGTACCTTTTGTAGCTCCAGGCTTCATTTTGCTATTTTCACCAATTAATAAATATTGTAGATAGTAGGATGTCAAAAACAAGACTTTATTTCTTACTCCGAAGAACGCATCACGGGTTCGCTGAGGAAGAGAGACTGACCGACGGCGGGGTGGGAGCAGTGGGAGGAAGAAAGCACAGCCAGAGGTACACAGCCGGAATGCCAACGAGGCCCCGCCCCCATGCCGCCGCGCCGCTTTGCTTCTCGCTTTTTTTTATTTTCTCTATCTTTCTCGCTTTCGTTCGGCAAGCTACGAGTAGCTTGCCGGCTTGCCGTTGTAGAAGGCGGGGAGCCGCGGAGCGCGGCGCTTTGCTTTTCGCATTTTTTTTTAAATTCTCTCAGCCTCTCCGCGGTCGACGCGCGGCGAGGCGCAAAACGTGACACAGCTGGCGCCATCTGTAGCGCGTCGCGCCAACTCGCGATGCTCTCCTCGGCTTTTTGAACGGCCGGGACGCGCTGCCGGCGCTGTGCTGCAGTGGCGGCAGATACGTACTCGCCTACGCTAACTTTTCGTCTTGTCTCGGCATAGTTCGTTTCAGAGGAACTTATCAATCTAAATGTTACGATTATTCTGAATGAAACATGCCATCCACGGCAAACTTTTCATCGTTGTATCCGATATGCGGTGGATAACATATCGTTATATATGGTTTTTTTCCCCATAGCCCCAATGCATAAAATGAGACTGTTAAGTCGACCCATCGTTATAACCGATATATCGTTATATGTGGTATCGTTATAAGTGGACTGCACTGTAGAAGCAAATGCTCAATTGCATTGTAAAGCAATAACATTTGTGGGGGGAATTGAGATCGCACACACAATACACTCAAACCTCTATATAACAAAGCCAGATCAGCCATGAAAATGCTTTGTTATAGTAAAAATTTCTAATAAATGTATATTCTTAACAATGCATCTACAACAAAACTCTTCTTCAATTCCTTTGTTATATAACTGATAATTCATTATATCTGAATTCATTATATCAAGTTTTGAGTGCATCTTCACTTACAATGATGCAAGTGTTTGCCCGACAGAGAACAAAAAACCGAACTGTGCTAATGTCCACTTCTTGCAGACAAGGGCACCTATTCAGAGCAGCGCCGCGCAGGACAAGCGGCCGAAGTAAAGGCTGCTTCGTCAGCCAGGCGACCGCTTTCCCTCCTGACATCATGTGCCCGGGTCACACTGGCACCATTTTCTCTTTTTCCCATTTTTATAGATGCGAAGCAGCTCTTTGACCAACCTGTGTTACGCTGTCCCTCTGTACAAATATGCCACGCGCCGCAGGTGTTGGCACGGTGCCAAGTAAATCATGCTGCTGCTTCGTGTTGATGTTACGCTCCTTTCTCAGTGCACGCTCCCGTCACCGTCTCTCTCTCCTGCCGCGCCCTCGCCGTGATCCCGGAAGCTGCTACTTCATCTGTTCTCCCACAACACCTGCCATGACTACCGCTTGCTAAATGCCGACTTGTCGGTTCACGCACAATAAACCTGACGCACGCCTAACGTACGTGTTGAAACATGTCTGTACATGTCCCCTACAAGACCTACGCCAGCCATCACTTCAAACGAATCTTTAAGCGCTCACCGCAGCACCCGCGTTAGCGACGTTCAACCCGTGACGCCACCCGTGCGCAACACCGCTGCTTTGCATTCCATCAGGGTTCCTTTCGGGGAGCAGGTCCAAGTTTATTTTTTCTCCCCAACTCCGTGTTCAGCAGCAGTGGTCAGCAGCCAAGCACTGTAACCAATTATCTACTGTGGTGGAGAATAAGTTGAGGCAAACAATTTGAGAGTGTCACGCATGTATGCCCAGTTGCATATCACGCCTTGAACTGCATGACTGCCGTGGATAATCTTGTGCAGCCCCCCATTACACATCAACCACTGCAGACAGGACACAGTGTAATCAAGACTGCCTCACTAAGCGGGAGGACATAGTATGCAGCATGTAGGTGCATTCCACAACAGCTGCTACCGACAGACCTCTAATGATACAGCGCTTTATTTCCCTGAATGATATCCAAAGATGCCCTCACCACATATTTTAGTGATGACATCATCACAGGCCATCAGATGACGTGCACTACATGGTACCACTGGTGCCCGCCGCAGAACCTGTTATCTCCCCACTGTCGTTCCCTCATTCTCGCCCCCTCCCCACGATGGGCTTTCATCCTCCACTGCACTGCACGTCCATGCTTTCTCGGCCTTGTTCACTCTGTCTACTACACCAAGGCCGACACTGCTGAACGCAGGAATGGTGTTTAAGAGCTGTGCTCGAAAGCTGCGCTATAGCTGGTCCTACACCGTAGGCGGTTACATTATAACTGGTCTGAGCTGTATAGGCACTTTACATTCCATGCTCCCACATCCTTTCTTGCACGGCGAAAAAACTACAACCCTCACCTGCAACTTGAGCAAGAACGAGCGGTGGAAAAGCCGGAAGTGCCGCACAGTCGGCTGGTCAGTGGAGAGAAGGTTGATGAGCACGGTCAGGAGGCGTTCGGCCAGCACCTTTGGCCCCAGGGCAAGCCCCACAAGGTCAAACAACTGCCACACAGCCAGCAGAGAGGAGTCAGGGCTCGAGAAGAGATCACTCAGGTGGTTCATGACGAGGTCAAGATCGACCTGGCTCAGCTGAGTGAGTAGCGGGGGCAGCTCGCGGGCCACGAAGTACACCTGGAAGAATCAAACAATTAAAGGCTTTTGTGACTATAACTTTCAGGGTGATGCTTTCACTCTCTCCAAACTAGAATGCAGCCACTACATCCAGGAATAGAACCCAACACGTCCTGCTTAGTGCTGAAGAGCAACAGCAACAAAAAATTTGGGGACCCTTAAAGCTTCGCTTTTAGGAGTTGAATGCGATAGCAATTTCCTGTTCCTAGTGTGTACTTCAAAGACAGAGCAAACTTGCTATGGACCCACCACGTGGCCTCAAGAGAATAGACACAGTAGCGTGTGTGCCTTTTGTAGTGGGTGACCAGCTTTAAACCACTAAGCCATTATGACAATCCTGCTTTCTGACGCCCCGTGGCAACGGGTGCTTGTTCCATGCAATTATTATTGCAATATTTCTTGTTGCATTGCGAATGATGTATACAGGACACATATTTTTGTAAAGCATGAAAGCTACTTTCCCTGCATTTTCAAGCAGAGGACATTCTTTTCACTACATTCACAACAGATGTGTGGCTGTGTGGTAAAACATCCGCTTGCCAAGCAAACGATTCGGGTTCGATCCCCCCTTCGGCCCAAGCGACCCTGGTTCGGACCCCTATCTGACCCACGATTTTTTTATTATTCATTTTATTCTATCGTTCTCTATTTTGAGGTCACACATAAGATGATTTTTCGCTCACCATCAGCAACGCAGATACCAACGCCGGAATTTTTGCAATATGAGCTCTTTGCCGCTATCGCGTTGAAATTGGCCCCGTACCTGCGTGCTTCGCTGCAAAGGTCATCGAAAGACAGTAGTCCTTTGTCTGGAGGCGCTGCCTGAGATACAGACGCCATCTGGCAGCAATGTCAAATGTCGAACGCAAGGCCACTGGGGGGTGGCAACACCTTGTCATTTTAGCGAAGGGTAGGAAACACCTGCTTTTTCGTTCATACCGTCGCACTGTCAGCATAGCGTAGTGAACACTGCGGTCTTTACAATTACCAATCAATGCATTTTCTAAATAAAGAAACATGCTACCTAGTACTTACATACTGATGTTACGCTTCAAATATGCGTAATATTTGCTTTTTGATTGACAATGTTCTTAAGTGTGAACGCAGCCAATCACATGAAGATGGGCGGGCATTGGGGCAAGGGCTTGAACTTTTGCCGGGTGGCTGAATTATTTGACAAACAAACAGAAAGATAGACAGACCAAAATTTTTACGATAAAATATCCTAAGAAAAGCTATTGTCTTTAAAAGCACTGAAAATTAAGTGGTAAACCAAAGGAAAGCTCGTGATAGGCAGGCAGAAAGCAAGGTGGCGGATGACAGTAAGAAGTTGGCAGGAATAACGTGACCTCAGCAAGCATAGGACCAACTTGATTGATGAAACACTGGCGAAGAATTTTCGCCGCAGTGGGGATGGTCAGACTGATGACGATGATTATGAAATCATACTTTTAGCACAGGCTGTATATAGCTACACAGCTCGAACTTGTAAATGACTATGCTTGTGCTGCTACCACTTTTATGGTTTGAAGCAAAGCTGAAGCAAAGGAAGCACATTCGAACAGCTGCAGGTTTTGAATAGAAGAGAGATGCAAGCCGTAAGCTTTAAAAAGAGCTTCTTGAATCTGCAAATTTGTCCTATTGAACCTGTATGAGCTGGTATAAGACACTTAACAACAACACAAAAAAATGTCGATACGCAAGCAAACAGTATGCAAAATTAACCTTGAAGTGCAGCTTCGTGGCAGTTGATAAGTCTCTGAAACAAACAGTTTTATGGTACAGCCACTTTTTAATGCAGTAAAACTACTTTTATGAGCAGCTCACATGTGATGAAATTTTGAAAATTTTCAATTAGTGTCGAAGTAAACTCAGATACTATTGATTGACAAGTGGGGTTTAACGTCCCCAAACCACCATATGATTATGAAAGACGCCCTAGTGGAGGGCTCCGGGAATTTCGACCATCTGGGGTTCTTTAATGTGCACCCAAATCTGAGCACATGGGCCTACAACATTTCCGCCTCCATTGAAAATGCAGCCCCCGCAGCCGGGATTCCATCCCGCGACCTGCGACCGGGGTCAGTAGCCGAGTACCTTAGCCACTAGACAACCGTGGCGGGGCAACTCAGATACTATAATATTCTGTTCAATATTCGAAGCGCTCAGACATACACACAGGTCTCTGTTTTTTTCATGGTCATTGAGGTTGTTGCTTCACCTGACATCAGGCCATACCTTTTCAGGCGCTGTCGGCTGCGCATCCAGCTTGGTGAGGAAGTCGTAGAGAGCTGGATAGTAGGTCGGAAACGGGACGGTCGACAGCAACGGCTGAAGTAGCTGGTGAGCAGACGGAGGAGGCAACCCGCCGTCGCAGACGCAGGGGTAACGCCACTCGACACGACCGATTGCTGGCTCCTTTCCCTTGATCGCCGGAATGGGGACCGGTTTCTCCGTCTGGAGCAGAACTTGGACCGCATTGTGAAGAGACCTGAAAAGGGAGGAAATTGTGGCTCCTGAAAAGCGTTCCTGCAACTATTTCGAAGCAAGGAAATGGTTTGGTGGACCACTACACCTCCATTTTCCAAACAGGTCTGCGACTGTTTGAGTAATATTCGCAGTTTCGCATGCCAAAGCCATGATACCGTGAGGCACGCCGTAGCGGAGGGCTCTGCAAATTTCGACCATCTAGTGTCCTTATATGTGCACTGCCACTGCTCAGTACATAGGCTTCTAGCACTTTGCCTCCATGGTGGCAGAGTGCAAAACGCCCGTGTACAGTGTGATGCCAGTGCCCATTAAAGAACTCCAGATGGTAGAAATTTCCGGAATCCTCCGCTATGGCGCTCTCATAACCATATGGTTCTTGGTCGTAAGACCGCGACAATAATTATTACTAGCACTCCATCTCTTTCAAAATGCAACTGGGGTGGCCTTTGGGTCACCAGCCAAGCATCATAACCATTTTACCATGGGAGTGGGCAACTTGCGACTATGGAGAAGGTTAGCAGTACATGCTTTGAAGAGCAAAGAATATTAGTCTCGCGCCATGAAAAAAACATTGCCTATGCCAGCTTAAATTCTCACATCAATCATTGTGATGTTATCGATTCTGACCGCATCTGCTAAAGCCTGTGTAGTTCCTAATTAATAAAAATGAGGCACACTATTTTCTGAAAGAGCCAGAAATTTGACATACCAAGATACATTTTGAGACCCGTGACCGGAGTTTGGACATCTATGTCATGTCTGCGACTGCCTGTGTTTGACTCATACCTCTGCGTGCTGAGAATCAACAGGTAGTTATAATAGTTATAGCGTAGCCTTGGCGTGATAGTGGCGGTTAGGAAATAGCGTTACCGTGTTGCAAACATTTCTTGCAGGCAGCTCGTTATAGTTAAGCGGGATAGCATTTATGTGCCTAATCTGGGACGGTGGCGATCCCTAGCAGGCTGTAACTACATTAAAAAGCAACGACCTAGGAGCAATCTAGAAAGAACTTAAATTAGTTTTCAGAATCCTCCAGTTTCACTGTTTCCAGCCTCGCGTGGCTTAGTGAAAGTTTTGCCAGTAGTTTTAGTCAGCACTAGTGATGTGGTCACATTTCTTCTAGTTCCCCCTCATTCATTATGAACTTTTGAATGGACTTATTTGGCTAATGGCTTACCTAGGCAGCTTCGAGGGCTGGATCTTGAGCACCTGCAGAGCGTGGGTGTACCGCTCGGCAAGATCTCTCGAGGAATGTGGTGAAGTTGGCGAGAAAATAGACATTTCGACAAGCAGGCAGCCCAGCAGGTACATGTCGGCGGCATGCGAGGTCTGGCTGCGACGTCTAGGAAAGCTCCCGTCTTGTTCGTCGTTGCCCGACTGAAGCACGAAAAACGATAAAACAGATATCCGCTTTTGAACAGGTATGAGGCTGCATTTTTATCCTCATCATCTTTTTGTTCACTTCTAACATCTGAAGAATACGACTGCTCACAAGCACTAGAAACACAAAGGTAACACGATCATTCCTGGGCAGGTACGGCATGAAAGCACCTCCACTAACTTTTTTACTAGGACAGGACAGAAAAACTGAGTGACAGCATGGATGCCTACTTATTTGCATAGACATTAAACTATCGACACGTTGACCGACTCTGTAGTCAGTCAACGCGTAGATAGTCCAATGACTACGCAAATAAATTCAATCAACCAAATGTGCTAACAGCTTCCTCTTTTTTCGGGCTGTGCTGTTTGAGGGGTTTTGATCTACGTTCGAGTCGACGTTAATCTCGAGCTACGTTCATGCAACGAAAATATGCAACGTATTAGAAGGGTTCTACTGCTAAGGAAAGATGGAAGAAAAAGTAGTGAGAGGGAAGGCAAGAATGTTAACCAGTTTGGCATGACTTTTATGCTACCCTGCACAGGAGGAGGAGATGGGGGAGATTAAGGGAGATAGATGCGGGTCGAAGACACTTTTTTTTTTAATATTCATTCAAGGTGCAATGAACTTGAGGTGCTTATAGAACTTTTTATGCTGATTTCGAATATATAATGAGTTGTCTTGCAAGTTGCATACTTTTAGTTTTGCAACATGACAAAGTGAAAAACTTAAGCCCTTTGCCCCCCCCCCCTTCTTTTCATACCCAAACTTCATTAATTTTTTACAATTGATAGTTCATAATGTTTCAAATGAAGTGTGGAATGCAAACAACTAATTTGGAAGTCCATACAAAATATGTACTAGACGTGAAAAATTTAAACGTGGGAAGTTCATATTTCTCCTACCCTAAGAAAAATTTACATAACTTTTTTTTTATTATATAAAAAGAATATTGAAACTTAAGCAAGATAATTGCATGTTCTCGTACTTGGAAAAATTTGGGAAAAAATTTCATGCAGATCTGAGCACCAGAAGTACCCGAAAAAGGAGGGGCACATTGACAAAATGGCAAATTTGTGTTTTGAGAAAAAGAAGTTTTAAAGTCAAAATTGCATGTTTATTATCAAAGATGTCATTGAATGCGACGAAATTTGTACACAAGAAAGAAAAATCCTCCTTGTAGTGGCCACTGCCATTAAAATCGAACTAGCTGCTCGTAGGCCTATGCCTACAGAGCGCGCCGCCACAACAGCTTTCACGTTGACAGCGTAGCTATCGCGCGAGCTCCCGCTGTCGTATGTTCTCCTCGCGGTCAGTCCGTCACCCGCCACGCTCACGCTGGCCTCCCCGCCTGAAGCTACTCGCCACGAAGTATATGTCGCCGAAAGAATAGTCTCGGGGCACTCACTGTTTGGGCAGTGGAGTTCGACGAACGACGCAAGTCCTTTCCGCTTGTCGGCTGGTTCCCGGACACGTAATCCCAAATGGCGACACGTCGGCACATTGCACCGCGCACAAGCATGTTCAGTGCTGTCACATCAGCAATCAACGAAGACTCATCGTCTGTGATTTTTCTTCGTCTTCGAAGAGTCCAATCTTTTTCTGGGAGGGCACTCACATATTCGAATGCCGCGGCAAACTCGTCGGGCGCATCGGCGTCATGCCACTACGTTTTGCGGCAGCAAACGATCTTTTCGTGGTTTGAGTGTTCGGCTTTGATTTGCGCCGGCGTCCTCGAAATTTGTGCGCCGCGTGAAACTTCACAGGCCGGTGACCGCGCTTCCTGCGGCTTTCTTGATCCATAATGAATAAGCAGTCGAGAAAAGCGTTGTTCAGCTGTGCTGCTCGACGAGACACGGATCCTGCAAGTAGGCTTCACAGCACACACAGGCGCGCAGCGGCCAATGGCGGCTCCCGATCCGTACCACGTGATTTAAAAGCCAGTCGCGGCGCTCGAAAAAGGCGGCAAAAGCGCGCTTCTCTTTATTATTTCTTGGCGTTGCAGCAGCGCAGGAAAACCGTCGCTATTTGAAGAGTGAGGCTCGGTTCTTCGCCTCATGCGGTGGACAGGTAGAGAACGAATGAGAGGTGGGGCACACACAAACACATAAGGTTACAGCGCAGAGCGGCAGTCTTGTGTTTTATACGGCAACACAATCTACAGCCGCTCATGCGAGCCTGTTGTCCTTAAGGATTTTAGCAATGCCTTGTTTGCTTGAGTTCTCTATGACTTCTCATCAGGATAACATTGGAACATAGTTTCTAGTGTCATCGTTCTGTTGTCAAGACAAGCAAGAGCGCATGAGAGAGATCGTTTCTGCACAGCGTAGCGAGGACAGTCGCAGAAGATATGCTGCAATGTCTCCTCGGTACCGCAGGTATTGCAAAGAGCTTTGTCAGCCATACCTATGCGAAACAAATATGACTTTGTGACAGCCACTCTTAAGTGGCACAGCAAAGTGGCCTCTTCAACTGCTAAAGTTTTCAAATCGTTTATGCACTTGCGGGCATCCAAAATCTCTGAGGATTGTGCTCACCTGAGTGCCTGAGGCAAGACTGATGGAGGGAGGCAGGCTGTGGGGAGGGTGGTGCAGGCAGAAGTTGCACAAAGACTCCAGCTGCTGCAGCTTGGACAGAGGCGAGTAGTCCTTGGGGAGGACGATTACCTGCGTCTCAGCCGGAACGGAACTGCCTGTGGTCGAAGCCAACTGCTGGCCGACTGACCTCGACCTGCGAAGTGGAGTGCCATGGGTGCTTAAATTCTCGATCTGCAGTATATACCACGAGTGTCAGGCAAAGTTACACGGGCATTAATAATAATCGTTCGGAATTTGTGTCCCAAAACCACAATATTGCCACACACACGCAGCTTCTTCTATTTTTATGAATACTATATGGCCTGAAATATGGCCAGGATATTGGACAAAAAAGATTTCAATCTTGGCTTACAAGACGCCCTGCAACTTTCTGAACTTTCTTTCTTTTCTTTTCTACCATTTTAACTGCTGTTGTATCAATTGTTATTTACCACTGCTTTTTGTTGTGCCTTTGGGCCTTGAAAGTATCTTAAATAAATAAACAAACAAATAAATAAATAAAGAAATAAATGCACACTCAGACCTTTTTAAAAAAACAAAATGGCATCTTACACGAGAATAAATTTTTGACATTAAAAATTTGTTATAAAGACATATTCTTAAAACAATATCTACTGCAAGACTATTTTTCATATACTTTGTTATAAGCGATATTTAGTTATATCCGGGTTCATTATATCAAGGTTTGAGTGATGCAACGCCATTGACTAGCCTTTTCGGTAGACGTGAGATGATGAAAGTGAGATGGCGATTTACTCACTTGACAAGCGTCGATGGCTTCCGTTTGCCCTGGCCCGCTTCGGCCGTAGCATCTTCATCACCCCCTTCCTTGGCATCTGGCTGTCATTGGGGAGAGGACAAATAAGGCAAAGTAGAGGACAATGCCTGTATTGAATGAGTTCTTTCGCTGCACATGCTAAGCACACCCAAGTTTTCTGGTTACATGAAACGGCAGAAGGAAGAGCTTGAACAGCTCACTTTTAAAAATCAACAAACTCACAAGACTGAGCTCCTTGTCAACAGCCTCCTGCCGGCTCTTCCGTCGGGACGACACCGAACTTGACAGTGCCTGAAACACAACGCACAGATGATGATGATAAAAAATGCTTTGCTTGCAGTAGGCGTGGATGAATATTCGAGCACATTGGACATTCGAGCATATATTCGAGTATTAGACACGAAAAAATATAGATGTATGTTTGACGGCATGTATCCCACTGAAAAGGTTGTTTTACTGTAACCCGGGGCTACAGTGCAGTAACAATAGTAAAAGTACAGTAGACTTTCATTAAACAGAACCTGAAGGGACCAGAAAAATATGTTGTTTCTTTAGGAAGAGTTCTGTTCACTCGCAGATGAACTAGGCTGCAACATTCTAGTATGAAGGCAATCATATGGTAGAAGTAGTAGCAGGAGCAGTAGTAGTAGTAGTAGTAGTAGTAGTAGTAGTAGTAGTAGTAGTAGTAGTAGTAGTAGTAGTAGTAGTAGTAGTAGTAGTAGTAGTAGTAGTAGTAGTAGCACTAGCAGAACACTCAAACCTCGATATAACAAAACTGAATATGACGAAATATTGGTTATAACAAAATAAATGAGAAGTAGTCTCGCAATAAATTTAGTCTTAAGAATAAATATTTATAATCAATTTTCGGATATACCGAACTTAATTTCATGTAAGATGCAAGTTTGTTATAATGAGGCTCGAGTGCATTATCAGTAGTAGTAGTAGTAGAAAATAAAGAAGCACTTTGACCTTACCCGTGTTTGGGGAGACCCCAGTGCTGTGGCGGTGCTGCTATGCTGGAAACGAAATGTCTTGGGTGCGGAGCAGCGCGACAGATAGAGGCTGGACGCCGCCCGGTGCGGGTGCGGTGTTGTGAAGAGCTGGACCATGCCGCAGCTGTGCAGCGTTGTGTGGCCGTCCACCAGGGGCCGGCACACGTTCTTGCTTTTAATGGCTGCCTGTCCCGTAAGCTGAGATAGCATGCAACGCCAATTTTAAATCAATTTTTTTACACGAACGTGAGGCTGCACGGCATTTACATAATAAATATTTTAACTAGAGCTGTGCAAATAGCAAGCTTTTAGGTTCAAAGCAAATTCGAATATTCAAGTGAGAACACGGCACAGTGTTTGCGTTGTGTTTTCGGCGCCATATAAGCTATCAAGTCTCTGTGGTAGGATTGATGGGTAGAAACCTACGAATGTTTTCTGTAGTGACCATAAATTATCTTTCACTGTGTCCCCCCCCCATGACCAAGGTTATTTATCGCATTCCATTGTCGTGTTGTTGTGTGTACAAAGGACAAATAGGACGATGCATTAATGTCTGATTAAAGGAACATGAAGCATCTATCAGGTCAGGAGAAAGAGCAAATCTTCCTGCTCATTGCAGGGTGTGCGGGTGCTCTCTTGATTTCAAAGGTACGCAAATAATTGGTAAGGAAACCATCCAATACGAACATGAAGTGATTGAAGCGTTTAATATTTGGCAACTTGGTTCGAACAAATGCATTAGTGTACCTTCCCCATCACTACCAAAGAAAGAAATTGCTTTTTTAGAAAAATATGGGTACTGATGTCATTCTCTTCTCTGGTGAATCATGTCTTTTATCTACGATGCATGCACGATTGGCTTTGTTGGGAACTTTACGAGTGATGGTTTCATTAAACCTGTCGCAAGTTACAGAGTCTGTCGTCTGCTCTTACTGTGTACGCGTCCCTTAGCTGGCTTTTCTGTTTCTTCAAGTATGTACCAACAAGCCCAGCAACAGATTCACCTTGTAGCCGAAAGTGATGTCAATCCAGTGATGAAGGTGCTCGGAGACACGCTCGCTTTCAAGCATGGCCATGTGTTTCCGTACAAAGTCTTCAGGACTTGAGCACCAGTTGGGCACTCCGAGGTCTTCCAGGTCATCGTGGATAGACTCAAAGATGGACGGGTCAGTGAAGAACTCCGGGATGCACTCGTCTACCGTCCACTCCTGATTTTCCAAATTAGGCGGGCAAAAGAAGACCTTGGTCAGCTGTACTTAGATGTACTGGTCGTTTAGATATACACTCAAGCCCACATATAATAGTTGCACTTAAAACTAACTTTCACATAAAATGAACTATATCCGCGTGACTTTGGAAATATACATTATTTCAATGGCATAAAATTGCACTCACAACAAAAATCTCTCAGCATCCCCGATTGGTTACAATGAACGGAGTTGGCGCTTGAGTGACTTCCCGGGAAACCACTTTAGACCACTGATAAGCCATTGGCAAGGCGCCCATAGATTCTTATTGTTCAACACTGACCCTGCCTCTGCAGGCCTCTAGTTGTAGCTTTCCCCGACCGTTTTTTGTTATGCCCCTCCTCCGTCCTTCGGCCCCCTGCTACTATTGCCACATGAGGCCCCTGTTTTCACACTGTCACCGATCTTTCGAAGACATGTCGGCGAACAATAGTCTCCCCTCAGTTTTTGATCCCCGATTTTGTTACGCTATCGTTGGCGTCGCCGGCTTGAAGTGACTAAAGCCTTTGCCAACATTGATGGATATCGACTGTACTCTAGTCTACGTCTGTCTTGTCGGCATCGGTGTCGTATCGTTCTAGTGCACATGAGCTTGTGCTACCCCATCGACATTGACAAATTTGCGTTTCATTCCATGTTTAGGAACTGTTCTCGCTCACTTGGCACTTAGCTCAGCATGCCCTCTGCACGCATTCGGAAGCATAAGAACAGCTTGCACACGAAATTAATAGTGAATTCTCAGTCGGAAGGTCGTGCAAGCTCGCTGACACCACAATGCGTTTCTTTGACCTCTGCGCGTAGAGACCGCTCTCTTAAATGTTCCTACGTGGGAGTTGTGCGTTTTGTTGACCTGGCAAGTAAGCTACCCGACCTGTTTTCTTCACAAGTGTTTTGATTTTCAAAGTCGCCTTCACAACTACTTCACAAGTCTGCTCAACGCTCTTTATCGCAATATCCCGCGTCTCCACCGCTCCTCGATGCCAGCCGTGCTGGCTCGTACTCAAAACTTTCGTTTTCTGACTAGAAATGGGCCCAGAGCAGTGCCACGCATGATGGCTTTTACGGATGGCGAATAAGAGGCCTTCTGCGTATTTAAGACTTATAGGTGTTGCATTGTGGAGCGCTTGCTCATATCTGCTGACCACCCAGCAGCCAACTTGATGCATTGTGTTCCTCTATACAGCTGTGGAGATGGTGAAGGCTGCGTGGGCGTTGGTGACAGCTACATGTGTGCGAAACTGTTTTCGCGAGGCTGACTTTGTCGACGTTGAACCCGATTCCAAACCTGAAGCTTCCGCACAGGACCACTCCGGCAGCGATTTGTGGCAGCCCGTCGTCGACACCCACATGGGAGGGCGGGACATCTCTTGCGATAATTTCATTAGGGCCAATAATGATCCAGACACGGCCGAATCATGCACCGATGAGTACTTTGTGAGCAAATTGCAGGGCAAGAGTGATCTGGAAGAATTGGATTGCGAGGACGACGAAAGTTTGGAGCCAGTGCCCACAAGCAAACCTTTAGCAGTTGGCTACATTCCTAGCCTCAGGCACCTTGTATATGCCACGGGCCTCGATGAAGAGCTCGCTGTCGCTTTAAAGAATCTTGAGACCATCTTTATTGCTTCTGCTATTCGAAACACGGGCACCAACATCTTTTGAGGAAAAAAGATTTTGCTTTCACTCGCAACTTTTTTCGAAACTGTGTTTCATTTACTATGAACATCAGGATACATGATTTGATTTGAGCGGTTCAACGTCTCAAAACCACTATATGACTATGAGAGACGCTGTAGTGGAGGGCTCCTGAAGTTTCGACCACCTAGGGTTCTTTAACGTGCCCCCAAATCTGAGCACAAGGGCCTACAGTATTTTCTCCTCCATCAAAAATGCAGCCGGGATTCGATCTCGCGGAACATCAAGATACAGCGAACAGATGCTGCACCATGCTCAAGTTCATTATAAGCAGGCTTGACTATAGTTAGTTCATGGTAGCGTATGGCAGAGCACATCAAAAACAATGACAAAACGAATACATAAATATAGATATAGAAATCTTTGTCGAAACACCAGTTCTAGGTATACCCCATATTACAGAATTTTAACCTCTGCTTGCCTGAGGCGCATTTGTGCAACCCGAGTTCCAATTATGCCTAAAGCCCTTACCTAGGTCAAAGAAAAGAAATTACACCATCTCCCACTAAAGGGAACCGTGAGTAGCATGCAAAGCAGCGCATGGGTCAAACTTAAAGTTCCGTTCATTACGGGCACTTTGTCCGATGTTAATGTGTTCTTGCAAGTGAAGTACACCATGAAGCCACTGTAGTTTCTGTTGCTGTTACTCGTCCCGAACTCTTGTTGGAACACGCCACGCGGGTTCATAGCCTAGCCACGCAGGAGCACATGGGTTCATTGCACGCCTGCAGAATCTCGTTCCTCGACACTATCACGTCATCCTTACATCTCGTCACCATCATGTGAATGTAAGCGGAAGAGGCAACAGCCTCTTACACAGCCACTTACACACGCCCAAATGCGCTAGCGCATTTTCGTAGGGTTGGGCCAGCTGTTGCGCATGCGCAGTAAGGTTTGGCCATGCCCCATGCAGGATTGAACCCGATGTAAGGTGCTTCACATCTAGAAGTTCTACCTATGACATTTGCTACTGTAAAGAAAGCACAACATGTCATGTGGTTTCTTTACTCTGACGATTCACTCAATACATGCACCTTGCTTGCCTCCTCACGCCTGTACGCGAATGCAAGAAAAGTGCCAAAAACAGTTCACTTAGTCAACGAAACACAAACACACCTGCAGCCGTTGTATGGATGCCGGGTATTCGGCAGGAACCCACTTGTGCCGGACATGCTTGCAGAGGATACTCCGAGGCAGACGCCTCGCAAAGTACACGTAGTACGTGATGTCCGCAAGCAGTTCAGACAAATGATGTGGCACCTGGAAAGACAAGCACGACATCCATAGTGAAAGGGTGCAGAGGAAGGCAGTGATAACCGTGTCTCTTACAAGTTCACTGTTTCAATCTACACTTGCTTCACAGGCCCCTAATAGTGAATTCGCGACAGATCAGGGGCACAAATGGGAAAATGGAAAACAACCCCAATCCTTGACTTAGGTGTTCGTTAGTTGCCCTAGCACGTCAGACTTGGTGTGCCTCGGTGTATTTTTTCATTCAACATTTATGTTACGATGCACTGCAGAAGCAGATGTGCAAGGCCACATAGAGAAATGCGCGTGCTTGGGGTATGCTTCCCATAGGTTGCTGACCCCTTATCTGCTCCATAAGAACACTGCGAGCAGGTTCACAGACCTGAACCACTCTGTCTATGGGAAGGTAGCCCTGAGGCTGGGCCGACTGCGAGTGCATGGCCGAACCGTAGGTTGCATCTAGATGGTCGTCGCCCCTCGTTAGCCGCAGCTTGGACTTGCTCAGGTCCCGCCAGCCACCCTCCGGTTGTGACAAGTCCCGCACCCAGGGCAGCACTGGGTGGTGCTGGGGATTCACACCAGTCCGGCCACACAACTGCCAACAAACAGGCAGTCACTTGCACGGCAAACATATTAAGAACTTTTCCTGAAGTGCGATACAGTCAGACTTCATTACAACAAAGGTGCACCTAACATGAAAATAAGTTCGTTATATGTGAAAAATTTTTATAAAAGTATATTCTTCACAATTCGTATTGCAAAACTATTTTTCATTTACTTTTTCATGACCAATATTTCGTTATATCTGGACTCCTTACACCGAGGAATGAGTGTATACAAGTTTCATGCACTCCTTGCCAAACAATAAAAGCATGAACACGGAACTATATTATTACTTTTGTTAACCCGAAAGTGTTTTATGCTGGGGTCCACCAAACCTCCGCTGACGCATTTCCATCACGGATATGACATTGTAAAACATATGCTGCTAGATTGCAAAGAAAAAAAATGAGACGGAAAAGTTCTACTGCGGGGCATCGAACCAGCAACCTCACAATCCACAGCGCGTGGTTCTAGCCACTACACCACGCAGCGTACGTTGTCAAACTTGCTAACAGTAAGCCATTTATATATAAATCACTTCACTTCACAACAATCACGTACCGTATGGCAGTCCTCAGAGCTCTGTGACTTCAGTGCACCTTTGTCATCAGTAACGAGATGGCGCAACATGCTCACGTTGGGCACTCTTTAAAAGGTTGTCACCTCTCGCATTTCGTTGAGTGCTGCCTCCCAAGAGCGTAGCCTCTCCCCTGCGCGAGCTTATCAGACTCGTCATTCGGAAAAGGACAAAGGTCCCTTCGTTTCACAAACGCAAGGCAAGTTGGCTCAGTAAATACTACGCATGTAAAAGAAGTTTAAGCAACCCAAATACCTTTTATAAAGCCTGCTAACCTCTTGGAAACTACCGGTTTCAATTTTTAAAAACCCCACTTGAGGCAGAAAGCTCAGTTTGCACGTCTGGGAAAAAGAGGACTGCTCATCAGTTAATCTCAAAAGCCTGGTGTTTTTCGCTCGATGAAACTGAGATAAAATGATTAGGGCACTAGATATTGTTAAAAAAAGGCCTCATCATTCTAAACAAGCAACGGCTCAAATTTGAACGGGCTGTGCTTCTGCTATGCGGCCACAATGTTACGAGCAGGCATCTGCTTGCTGACCTGTGATAACTTCATCAAACATGAACGCAGAGGTACGGTTCTTGTTGCAAGAGGTCATAAATGATCAGAAGAAATTTTTTCTGGTGTTCGACGCACTGACCTACCAATGGGTCATGGCGAGCTCAAAAAATATGTGAGTGGCCCACTGGTGGGTCACTTTGCACAGAAAACGAGACCTTAAGAAAGTTTGCTGCTGCGAACGTGCTAAAAAAATTTTAGCGTTGTGTCCTTAAATCAATATTAAAAGGGAGGGGGAGGCATGTCCTTTTTGCATCTGACCAGTTCCAGTTCCCGTTCTTACAAGAGCCACTTCTCTCATTTACCTGGTTGAGTGCCATGAGGTAGTCAAAGTTACTAAGCTTGCCCCGGACCCACATGTCGACGAGCTTGTTGAGTGGTGGGAGGGGCTCGACCTTCTCTTCCTCTTGGACGCACACCGAGGGCGTAATGCGAGACACCCGGCGTGAGCCCGAGCTCCTCATGGCGGGCAGCTGGCCGGTCAGTGAAGACTCTACCCACGAGTCAGCTTGCAGCGCCAGCCACCAGGGCGGCGTCGCTTGCAGCCAGAAGCGGTGGTCCAGACTCAAGTCCCTGGCAAATGAAGGAAGAGCGGGCTAAGCACTCGAGCGGTCTCCAATGTTGTCAGTGAGAAAATGTGACTGTAGACACACACGTATGCGTGCGTGCACATGCATTTACACACGCACACACGGCATAGCGCAGCTAACTCCGACCAAGATTCTAAAAAAAAAAAACTTGTGCTCTCGGACAGTTCTACCTGCTGTTTCAGTGGTAGTCAAGTGTACATACACCTTGTATTTTATTGCGATAGCAATTATATGGGCACTCTCAGCTGAATTTTGCTGCTGGCATTGGCATCAACGTCGCCGTCACTCACCAAATATGTATACGTATCAATATATATGGAAACGCAAGAAAGAAAACTGATCTATAAAAAGACTCTGGCGTGCAGAATCAAACGTGGGACCTCTGAAACATGAGTGCAAGGCGTCAACCACTTAGCCATGGTGGAGCACGTCATTCAACGTTCAAACAGAAAGCTATTTATATCCACCACTTACCGCTGGTGACGGGCATCACGGGAGGAACTATCATGTTTTAAGCATTACCAGCAAGATGGTGCAATGAGCGCGCGGAGCCAAATCGTCTCGACGCTGCGGCGCGAGCTCTCATCTCCCACACGTACTTTGCCCCGCCAAGAAGAGAGGGGTGGACGCTCACTCGCGTGCCCTTATCGCGCAGTAGGGAGAATGTACGTCTTGGTTGGCGTTAGGCTTTTACTGGAATGATTCTGTTGTAGTTACTGGGCGTACAAAGGTCACTGCAATCGTTGTAAAGTCTCCCTTTGCGAAAAGGGCACGCTTTTCATACACAGCGAAGTAACAGAGAAGCTTATTCGCGTTAATCCGTACCTGCGCGTACGTTTTCGTGCATCATTTGTGAGTGAGAAACGCGGGGCATGCTTTGATCTGCTCTCCATTCTGCGCGTTAACTTCCAATTTGTTGCTATCGCATTCATGGCTTTGCCTTTGCGGCAAAGCTGCGGCATTTTTTTCATAACTGTTCCAAAATTAACTTACTTTATTGATGATATATCAGGCTTTACATCGTAAAACAATGACATGATTATGAGAGAAGTTGTATTGGAGAGCTCTGCAAATTTTGACCACCTGGCATTCTTGTCAGTGCCAGGGTCAGTGCACTGCCTGTACACTGACATCACATAGTACACAGGCCTCTACCATTTTGCCTCCACCGAAATGTAAGTGGAGTGGGCCGGATCAAACATGCGACCTTCATGTCAGCAGTCGAGCACCATAACCTCCGATCCACCGTGGCATGCTGCGCTTTCCCATTTCCTCAAATAGGTCGTCATTCATGAGGCATCTACTTATGATGCATCACAGGGCTTTCAAAGAAGCAGAGTAATGAGGATGTGCAGCAATAAATACAAAGAGAGCAACAAACAACAAAATATTGTAAAAAGAAATATCGTAAAGGCCTCATTTTCAAGCAGTACGACATAAGTGAATTTGTCACACGCCGTTCATGCAATCAGTTACGGTCCCTGATTGTCATGGTCAGTGCGTTGTTACAGTAGGTCATTATGGCAAGTCACTGAATCGTCACAGCTGGTGCTCGCGAAAGTCGGTGAACAGCAGGTGGTTGTGATGGTCAGCAAATGGTTAGGGTTGGCGATAGTAAGAGTTGGTAAAAGGTTGCAGCCAGAGATTGCGACATGACCTAGGAACGAAATTGGCTCGGTTTCTAGCAAGGGCCCGCATTACCAGATCAGCTGCGACCTTCCAGTCTGCAGCTGACCAGTGTAGCCACTGTTCAACCAAGGTGGACAATTTTTTATTCAGCCAACTTCTTCATTCTAGCCTGGATCAGTAAAATATTAACATTAAGTTGTAGTCAACCTCATATAACTCTACTGTCAAACATTTATTTTATGATGAAAACTGACTGGTTTTTCCTGAGAAAAAATAAAAGCGCTTTAAAAATGCGGAATACGAAGTAGTCACACTGCTACTCCAAGCGCTTCAAAGTGTTTTTGATTAATACACCACTGCATTTGTTCAATGTTCAGGACTTCAAGCTACTCAATAGGTGTGCATAAAGACACACCGTTGACTCATCCTTCCTCAAACACAAAGCCTTACACCGTGTGGCAATGCACAAAAACAGCCGAAGCAACACTTGGAAGCACTCGAATAGTGGAATGTGCGTTTGCTTCATATTTTGAGTTTTACACGTTTCTGTTTCTTCTAAAAAAAAAATTGGTGCTGTGCAGCATGGTGTGGCTGCAAAAGCACTGCCTGTACGACTTCGATTTCAAATGAAAGAGCGCTTTTATTTTTAAATTGAATTTCAAGATATTGCATTTGCAGAAATACGCTTTCTTCATGCCTTGTTTTGGTTTACGTTTGACGCTATTCCAGGCAATTGTATTGGCACATTTGTGGGCCTTATATGTGAAAACGTGTGTAAACATTCTCAGAAAAATTTTGAATTGTGATTATTAGAGGTGCAGAACAAAAAATTTGAAACCAGAGTACAGTGGAACATTGTGTCGTATAGGTGATTTTTTTCCTCCTAAAATATGGGCAACTAAACTGCAAGGTAAAAGCAGTTTGTAAATGGACGTGAGTCCCAGTATGTCGTGAAAAAATTTCAGACTCAAAGCTACAGTTGTTCTTTTATAGGATCAAGTAAAACTTCTATTATCATGTCATTTACAAAAAGTGGTTCTGGCTCAATAGAGAAAAATTTATTTTACTAAGGCGAAACTTTCTTTCCATAACTCACATTGCCTTGTGGCCCTGAAAAGTCAGAAAACAAAACATAGTTTTTAAAGCAAAACAGAAGCAGCTGAGTGGATATGCACAGAGGTTTTTACCTAAACACACCCGTGTACTAATTTATTTTGAATACTTCAAAATTTCAGAACTTTCAACTTCAATTCGAAGTGAATTCAAATAACGTGATATCCATTCGAACACTCAAAACGCTCGGATATCCACCTGCGAATAGAGTTAACATAAGGAACAGACAAGGTGACTCACGCGAGCGTCAATGGTCCAAGGGGCAGGCCTAGATCGTGGACGTAGCGCAACACTCGCAGCAACTGATACACCACAAAGAGCAGCCGCGAGCCGACGAGCGCGGATGCGCTGAACATGCCACAGTGCTCGACAGTGTGCTGCCGGAACTCCAGGAACAGGAGGAACTCAGATGCCGTCTCGAGGGCACAGTAAGCGGGAACGAGGTGCGGGTGCAGAGGAGCTGGCTCGGCCCCTACACGAAGAGCAAATGATGAATGAAGTGCAGGCGGGTCATTCAAAGTGGTTGACTTGAACTTTATAATTAATTTTTCAGTGACTGCCGCAAGCGGGCATATTAGTGTTGAAAAGTTGAAAGCAGTCGCGTTTCTACACAGTTACACTTGAAGGAATTCTTATAGCACGTCTGTGCTCTGAGATATCCCGCGGCAAATGCTGTCTGTGCTTTGTATGATTACGCATGCAAGGCAGCGAAGATTGACGCAATGTTCCTCCCCGATGTGATGAACTGCCACGGCTTGCTATCGCCAGCCGGTAGTAAAAGGGTAACTGTTTTCATCTATGCCTTTGCCTTTGACCCGTAGTCATATTAGGAAACGCACGCAACTGCTGCGGCCAACCTGGGAGGAGCTTCGCGCCAGTACTGATTGTTGCACATGCGTAATCATGCCAAGCACAATTAAACTTTGCTGCAGGATATCTCGGAACACAGACATGCTAAAAGGATTCCTCCAAGCATTATTGTGTAAAAACATGACCGCCTCCGACTTTTCTATACAAATATGCACGCTTGCGGCAGTCACTGAAAAGTTAATTATTAAATATTCATTAATTGATATATTATTAGCCACAATTATTGTCTCACTTTGTGTCCCGCTGTATACATAAGTTATCTGCAAAGGTGATTTTCATGTTCTCCCCAGTGCTGAATTTTAACAAAACCATAAAGGTCAACATTGAACCCAAGTGTATCAAGTGGTTTGTTACGGCAGTCACTGAAAAGTTCATTATTAAATCTTCATTAATTGAGCTATTATTAGCCACAATTATTGTCTCACTTTGTGTCCCGCTGTGTACATAAGTTATCTGCAAAGGTGATTTGCATGTTCACCCCAGTGCTGAATTTTAACAAAACCATAAAGGTCAACATTGAACACCAAGTGTATCAAGTGGTTTGTTACGGCAGTCACTGAAAAGTTTATTATTAAATCTTCATTAATTGAGCTATTATTAGCCACAATTATGTCTCACTTTGTGTCCCACTGTATACATAAGTTATCTGCAAAAGTGATTTTCATGTTCTCTCCAGTGCTGAAATTTAAGAAAACCATAAAGGTCAACATTGAACACCCAGTGTATCAAGTGGTTTGTAATACAGTTGTGCAAATTTGATACATTTATAAACAGTCCATCACAATTTATGCCTGAAGTGATTACGCAGGTTACCTCATAAAACTCTTGCACCCTAACGCTTGCAACATTGCTGGTATACAAGCAAGCCTTCATTCATACAATGATACAAGCAAGCCTTCATACAAGCAAGGTAGCAAGGTATACAAGCAAGCCTTCATACAAGCAAGGCCTTCGATGGCTTTGCATGAAGTGAATAGATGCTTGTTTTCTATGATTGAGACAAATGACAGCTGAAGTTTCTTTCACTACAATCTGTGTTTTGTGACAACATAACTTCTCAAAATGGCAAGTACATGAACTAGATGTACAAGAGGGCGTCACTTCGTTATGCCAATTGAGTTAGGTGCAACTTGTGCGGTGCGACTTATGCACAAAGTGTCAGTGTCACCTATAATCAAAAATACAGTATATGAATAAATCATTCCAAACGATTCGCGTGACACATGTGAGTAAACGGAGTTGTTCAAGGCTAGTGTAGTCACTTACCTTCCGGATTTTCATGTTGTTCCCCCCCTTCGACACATATTATTGGACAGGCATAGAGACGACTGATGATTTCCCGAACGGCACTGTTGTAATCCTGATATAAAAAAACAAAACAATGTGCCAAAACTGAGAAGAAAAAAATATTCCATGAATATCTCGACATGAACTGCTATTATCAAATTTTACATTTTCATATTTAAAAAGCTGCCCCACCTCAGCAATACCACGACCCCAAAACATGAAGTGAATAGCATTTTACACATACACACACACACACAAAAAAAAACAAAATAACATGAACAAGAAGAGAACAAAGCGCAGGGAGGCATAGACAAGACAAGCACAGACTGTGCCTGTTTGCGCTTTCTTCCCTAGTTGTCATGTTTTTTTTTTTTTTTTCAGAATGCCATTCGCAATGCGATGCCAACTTTTCCGACGCTCCATTCTTCTAAGGACATAAAGCTTTCACTGCTTTTCAAACAATTATCTTTATTAAGAAAGCTAAACAATGTATCACATGCCAAGGGTACTAATTATAGTAGAACCCACTTATTATGATATGAGTTTTAACAATTTCAGTTACAACAATAAGAAGTTGCAGCATCGTCAACCCCCATGTGTTTTCTATGGTGAAATGCATCCTTATTGATGCAGGCTTGTGCACATTTGACTTTGAGGTAAAGGTGCTGCTGACTTCTAAAGTAGTACCCAATTATAGAAGTCAAGGCAACGCATACCAGCATTTGATTAACACGTCTGTAATGAATAGCGATTCCCTCTCGCCTAGTATCTTGTCCCAACTTGCAGGAAGACATTTACCATAACACAAGATGAACAATCTGCAGTCGTAGCAGCTACGAATCCAATACACTACAACCTCGATATAACGAACCTGGATAAAAAGAAATATCTCTAATAATAAAGTAAACAAAAATTAGTCTTGCAATAGATATAGTATTGTATCTTTCTAGTCAATTTTTGGATATAACAAACTTGTTTTAAGATGCACACACCCCCATGAACACACCCCCATGCTTAGTGCGATGCCATAGCAGTTGAGATAATGTGGCAGATGTGCAAAACAGATGGACAGATCACCTTGAACGGTTTGAGCTTGACAAAGTTTTCATTCTCTTTGTCGGCGGTCTTGGAGCTGGAACTGTTCGCCTCCTTCCAGATGTTGCGATAGTTGGTCTCCGAGACGTACCGGATGAGCTCCAAGTAACCCATGTCATGTGACCGACTCCAGGGCTCTTTCAAGCGAAGAGACACATATCTGGAAAAAAAATTTTGATTAATTTTTCTATATTTTTTGTAGCTGTTTAACAATTACCGTTAAGTGCCGAGCAAGTGCCCTCCCCCCCCCCCCCCTCTATGGTGAAGAATAATTAAGCAAGATTTGGGAGGGAGGTGCTTGCTCAGTCCCGGACCAGTCCAGGACTGAGCAAGCACCGGGACCAGTCTGACCAGCCCGGGACTGATCAATCAGGTATCGCGAAAAAGGAAGGGTGGGCGCTTGCTAGGGTGGGGGACTTTCTTGCCATTCTACGGCAAGTGCTATTAAATGAGATTTGTCTTGTGATGGCTAAGAGTGCTATTCTGACTTTGACATTGCAAAGAGACACAGTGAAAAGCTGGGTCGCCATAAAAGGGTTTGATTCTCATTATTTTCTGTTAACAGCAGCTGCTCTGACGATCACACTGCTCAGCTATGTCGTGCCTACGAGTGAAAGAATGTTTGAAATCTGCCACCTGGGCTGCTAGGCAGGACGTTTAACACACCAAGGATCATAATAGTACACATATGCCAACATTCATTAAGTTGGATGGAAGGAAGGACAGGTGCAAAGGCTTTATTGAAAATCCTGAGGAGCGTGACTCAGAGTGCAGCAGGCTGCTGGCATTAATATACCGAAATTGTTGGGCTCTAACATACCGAAACCACTTCAGAAATTTCAATCACTAGGGGTCCTTTAACGTGCATGCAAATCAAAGTGCACGGGCATAACGCATTTTTGCCCACATCAAAAAATGCCTCGCCTGTGTGGAAAGTGCAGTAGAGTCCGAGAAAAAGCTAGAAAAGTACGATTTCTAGAGCTCATCGTAAACTCTCTTGGGGTTAATGCAGAAAGGTACCCACTACACCGTAATTCATTTGGCTCAAGTAGGGAAGATCCCACAAGTCGTCATTCATTATATCCAAAGAAGCAAGGTACTTGCTACCCCTCTGTAAGGCTTTACGTACAGTTTGTTGATGCATTGGGTGGTGGTGATGAAGGATTACAGCTGAGCCCCTTGTAATGGTTTGGAAGCTTTAAACTAGGGTTCAGTAATCTGGGGCCTGTGGGGCAGTATTATGTGGCCCCCTGCATAACATCACGGCATAACTTGACATCACGACTTCATGCCCTTTCCTTAGTCACTTCCTATCTGAAGGCCTACGAGGCAGTTTGGGCCAAAAAATTTAGATAGAGTTTTCGCTAGTAACCTAAGTTTCAATGCAACTTTGTGAAATGTGCGCTGAAAATAAACATGACTTGTCATCAAGTATTGCAAATCTGTCGACTTGCCAGCTTTTTGTACTTTGCCAGCAAAGCCACGACAAGACGCACCTGTTGTCCATCTTGACGATTCTGATCACGGTAATGAAGGCAAAGTCTTTGGCCATGGTTGGAGGAGTCTCGTGCACCAGAATCTCGCATTCTACGTCAGTCAGGTCATCCTGGTGCACGAACGAGCGTGGCACCGTCTTCCCCTTCACCAGAAGGTTTAGCCATTCCTTGTGCACCTAGGCATCACCGAAGTCCAATGAAAATGAAAGACAGCGGTTGACAAAAAAATTAGCACAGCTTACAGCGAGTTTTGTAAGGCTGGGTCACAGCAGTGTTGGTGGAGTGTTAGTAGACCGATGGTGGATTTGTGCAGTGCATATATTATGTATCAGTTATGCAGTGAAAATGTTGCGTACAATAGACTCTGAGTAAATGAAAATCTGTTAAACGGAACTGCTGCTTAAATAAAACTGCCTTCAGCACAATTGGTTTCATACCTGAATACTGCCCCTCTGTTCATCTCTTACAAATGGAGCTCCTGTTAAATAGAACACATTTTTCTGGGCCATTCAGGTTCCGTTTAACCAGACTGCAGTATTATGGAATTGCTAATATGTTCAGCGTAGTACCTCCCACCCATCGTTGTTATTGCATCCCCTGGTGGATAAATCTGCACATGTGTTTTGGGAGAGGAGGACACAATTAAAGAACAAAGAAAGCATGTGCTCGCTCATTAATAAAAAGTTTTTCTTAGGTTACATAACTTGCCTACTGTACTATGCATGGGTATGCTTTGTCTATCATCTTCTATAATCATTTCATGTCCATTACATGCAATCCCTTTCTTTATCTCATTTTTAGCCTATCTCTATTTTGCTTCCCCTTTTTGTCGGTTCTTTTCACTCTTTATCTTTCTTTTCATGGCTTTGTCTTTTGTTCTGTTTTTTTTCCCAGTCTTTGTATTCTTCTTTCTCTTTTTCACTTTTATCCCTTTGTGTTTCTATCTCCCTTTCCGTGTAGAGACTCTCTTGCCTTCTACCTGTTTCTCTGCTTTTTTTTCCCTCTTTTTACCTCTAGTTCACCATTACTATTTCTCAGTAAATCCCTCCATGTCCTCATTCTCCCGTCCCCCTTTCCCTCTTATAACTCACCTCCTCGCCCTCGCTTTCCTGTCCCAACATACACTCTGCTCTGCCAGCGTGCCTGGATCACGAAGTGGTTAGGACGCTCGCCTTCGAATCAAGGATACATAGCTCAAAACCTAAACCCGGCAAACACCTTTTTCGTCCCAAACTTTACTTTCTTTTTGTTTCTTTTTTTTTTGTAAATACACAGAGACAACTTTGCTATAAAGGCATGTGAGTACACAAGATGTGTCTATGCTTCATCAGCTTTGTCTTAAAAGTGTTTACACAAGTATGAAAAGATTCAAGGATGCTTGGGACTTTGTAATAATGCGAAAGTAAAAGCCTACTTGGGCCTTCTGTAGATTAGCTGCTGAAGTTTCTGCCAATGTGAGCGTAACAATGAACAGCAATAGGTAATAAGAGGCTAGTGTATCAAATGGGCACTTCAGAGCAGGTAATATGTAAATGCGTTGCAGTGTGCATCATGCCACTTCCCCGTTCATAATGCTTGTGAACGCGGATACCGGATGCGCACTTACAGTAGCTGGGAGCGGTGTGTGCATTTGTGCTGTGAATCAAGTAAACGACGATATGTCATTGTAGGTGGATGTGGAAGATATGTAGTGTGATGACTGAAGTGGGCACTGGAAGGTTTGAATCAGGTAGTGTTAAAGGACCACTAGACAACCCCAAGGTCCAAAAATCGTTATAAAGAGAAATATGTGCATTTTTACTTCATGAACACGCTGCCATAAGAATTTTGCCAATACGTGCTATATTAAGGAAGTTGCTGAAGTTCGAACATCGATTTCGGCTGGTTTAGAATTTTCGCATGGCCTTGCCACCCTTCTCCCTCACATGGAGGGGAAGGCGTAGCCTATCCTCATGGGTTCGCTCACTTCCGCAACATGACACAAGGTCAGCAAGTGACCTCTTCGGCGAACTCGATAAGCCGCAACGCACATGCGCTTGCTGCGACGACTTAATGTTTAGTGTTTACCAGGTGCCAGTGCTTCTTCCCTGTCCCGTCGCTCAATTTGCAGCTGACAATAGAGCAACACTCTTGCTCCGTGTTGCCCACATTAAGGGCGAAGCATGTGCGTGCAGGCGCTACACTGAGTGGTAGTTGAGGGAGGAATGTATGCGCCACAACTTCAAGGCCAAAACTATCACTGCAGGGCCAAGAAACAAGGGGCAGTTTCGTAGCTGTGGGTGAGAACAGGAACTGACGCTGACATTACTACAGTTTGTTGAGACCTAGTTTAGACCAATCGACGAGGTGCACGCTGCGTCAAGTCACCGATCGCCCACTTTGCATCACGGCACAAGGAAGGAAGATTTGTCAGGCGTAGGAAAGAAGCATGGGAATTGTTTTTCTAAACGGAGGCTCTGCGCAGCGAGCCGCGCTGTAATATTGAGAAAATGTGATCGCTGCGGTCTAGTCTTCAAAGTGCCGAGCTTGTTTTGGGAGTGTTAAAAGAAGTCAGAGCCTGTTGACGGACCCTTTAATAAGACCGGCAGTTGCAGAAGTCAGAAATCATTTCAACTTAAACAGAATGTGCTGTGCAGAATGCAAGTAATAGTATATGAAGCAGGTGTTCTATGAGCTCACTAAAGCTTAATAAAAAAAAAGCTGACTTGAGAGCTCACACACACATTTTAATTAATGCAATCATAGTACAGCACTGGTTCCACATGGCTTGGGGAGAAGGCAAAGTGAACGTGATTTGAAGGCCCTACAAATGTCAACACAACAGTTCATAAAAGCCGGTTGAATGTATACTATCACCGATTGAAAGTTCTTTAGAAGCCCAAGAAAAAGTTTAAGAAAAGTTCAATAAAAAAACTGACAGAAATTCTGCCACAAGGTTTGACACGACCTCCGCACTAAGTTGATCGTTAACAGCGCATTAGCAGAGTATTGCAAAGTCAGGCACAGAAGCAAAAAGTTCAAGAAAATGTTCAAGTAGGCTTTCACGTTTATATTCTTGGAAAGTGCTAAACATCTCTCAAGTCTCGCTATCTAAACACATTCGAATCTAACACAGTGTTGACATTTGAACAACGTGAAGCGTGTTCAAGTTAGCTAGGGAGCACCAGCAGTAAATAAGAGTGCTAGCTTGTTGGTTGTAAACAATGACATGAGCTATCACATGCTGCACGGTTATGTACTGCTAGATGTCCACTCCATTTCAGAGCAACACACAATATAAACCCCATATTCACACATTCACACATTTGCCATATATTGGCATATGGAACGCATGAACACAATGACATACCCATCACTGCATTCAAATTCGTATTCAGAAATACTGGTTTCTACAAGAAAAAGCAAAAAGATGTGGCGGGGAAGGGCATTGTGTTCTACGATTGGCTCACACCGACATCCCAGAGGGTTGTTGCGCAACCTTGGTACGAAGTTGTATTCAATATGTTACATGAATGTCATTAAAACATCACACGAATGCTCTATCGTTATTCAAGCACAGAAGCCAACACCATTATAGCCACGTCTCCATTACATTGAAGCTGGGCAACCGTAGTTGCGAATGTACAGATTCATATAAGAACTTTGAGCAAAATGAATGGTAATGAATATGTAATACCAACTAGACCACTTAGCCATGCAGTCAAAATGTGCCGAGTTGGTGGCGTTACCACTGCGTTGCAAAGCAGTGTCCATGACGTCAGATGTACGCTGTCAATTATTTATTCATATAGAATATGACACATATAGAATATGTAAATTTGTCAGGACCAACTTGCTTGTTCTGCAATCTCATAAAAAAACTACATAACCTATGGCAGCGACAAAATATTGAACATGCCGTGTCATTTCGATGTACTTAGGCTGGTTGACTGTCTCCAGTTAGAGCCCGGGCTTGTAATAGTGACAAATTGTGTATTATACAGTAACACACATACTTAGACAGGAGTGGCTATTCAAGCACATAAAATTCAAGCTGTTAAAACCTGATTCATAGCAAATGCAATAGAATGTAAGTTTGAAAAGTTGGCATAACAAGCCCAGCAGCGACGGATTCTGGCAGCATAAAAGAAAACTTTCTAAACCTTCGTGAAGTGGGCAAAGTGACATATAGAATAAAAAGCAGCAAGATATTGGCAAGTTCAAATGCAACTTTTGTTGATGTTAGTGTTTTGCTTCCCCAAATGCCGTTCTGCTCATTCGTTTGAGAAAATGCACACATTGTGCATTTAATATTGTGAGAACAAGAAAGTAGGCTCTATTCCAGACTTGACAAAAGCAATTATACGTGACCGTTGCTGATGAAACCGGCTGAACGACACACCCGTCGGAGCACACATCATCATTCGTTTGATTACTCGGCACTGAAGCCCGTACATCTGCGAAGTAAACAATGCATGTCCTGATAATAGTTTATTTTAAAACGAGTTGAAAAAGAGGCTTGTCTGGATCACTATTGCCTTATTCAGGTTCCTCATGGATGTTGCATTTTTAGCCATATTGTAACAATGAACTTTTCATTGGTTTTGAAAATGCCCACACCTAAAAGAGCAGAGGCTCAGAATTAAAATTAAATTTCGGAGTTTGGTGGTGCAGACAGAGACGATGCCAGGATTCCTTTGCTGTAGAGGGGCATTGACGACAAGCAAGTTCCTTCAGGGAAGCAGAGAACCTATGTGTTGCGTTTCGACTATGTCTGCTCTTTGAGGAACGAAGGGGGGGCATCGGCTCTCCCCATGCTCCCCCAGCCAATGAAGCCGCCCCTGAGTGCAAAGTTGAATTTTTTTTTGAAAGCTTAGAGTGTTTAGTAATATGCACATTGCTGACTGCGGCCCACACATATGTTAGTTTATGCACAGAGCTCTTCAGAAGATGACGATAGTTATAGCGCGAGAACATAACGACGACAAATAGACAAGAAGGACACGAGCACTAACTTCCAACCTACGCTCGTGTCCCTCTTGTCTCTTTGTTGTCGTTCTGTTCTCGCGCTATAACTATCGTCATGTCATACCAACTAGCCCAAGCTGCCACACCTCTTGAGAAGCTTTGCAACTATGTCACCGCATGCTTCTAGCACAGCTTCAAGAAAAGAACTACATTGAGCACAAACAAATAAACAGACATGAATATCAGACTGCCGTAAACCATCACGGGTGCAGTGGGAATTTTTCAACAGTGTACTCCAACCCCCCTTCTTGTATGTGTGTGTGTACATGTAAGTGTGCATGTATGTGCATACATACAAAATGCAATATTTCGGAGGAAGGGCAAGCCACTCCTTCGATAGGCACTGTGAGGTGTCAATTCGCACACACCAGCTAATGTATGCGAGCAAAACCGTACAAACAGGCCCGGCTATCTGACAACCAAAGCTCAGCTTCAGTTGCCACTTAGCTCTTTCTTGAGAGTGCCTGCACATTGGACTAAAATCGAACATGACAGCATGACATTTCTTTCAGTCTACTGTTATTGAAAACCAGCAGATAATAGAGCTAAAGAAGTTATAGTGAATGTTAGTCATGTACACTGGGGGTAGGGGGGCCGGCCTCCCTCCCCCCCCCCCATCCTTACTGGCCTACTAAGGGGGGAGGGCGCAAAGCCAGCCCCATGCTGGCTATAATGTGGAGGGCGCCGCTGTGGCTGGGGGGGGGGGGGGGGGGGGGCAAAGTCAGCTTCATACATCTACATAATGGGGAGAAGAGGGGGGCGCTGCAAACAGACCTTGCCCCCTCCCTGGAGGGGAACTTTGTGCACGCTTATGGACGCGAAGGCAGTGATGTGGACGAAACAACTTGGCGCCGGCACTGGCCGAACCTGAAACCTTCAAATAACGCACCCGATGCTGTGACTATTGACATGCGGCGGCGGTCATCCTTTCGTCCATTTTGTCGAATGCATCGGGTATTTATGGGGACGTAAACGTGGTAGTAGTGTCCAAGTGGCATACGATTAGAAAGCATCACTGTACTTACGAGGCAAGTTGCTCTATCGGCTCCGACAGTTCTTACGTGACTCGGTCGAACGCCGACAGTTTCTCTCAGGATTGCCTTGAGGTCCATCGCCTAGCTCCTGGCCAACGCTCGCATGACACTCGCAAATGAATGAGATCCAGTGGACCCACTTTCAAAGAACACAACACGGCGGCAGCTGTTTTGGTTTGTTTACGCTTCAGTGAATAAACACTTGCGGTCGCGTTTCTGTCGAGCGGCTTTTCTCACCACACGCAAGCTCTGTCGGTCGCCTCATTCAACTATCTGACGAGCGTTAAAAGCGGATGAAATAACTGTCTCCACGCATTAATTATGGAACACGTTACGGAAACATAACACAGCCGCTCCTACCGGAGAGCCATCCCTCCATCCTTGAAGATGCGAGGCGATACTCCCCCTTTTCACTGTAAAATCAATCTTTAGTTTCGTATCAGCAGCTTAAGCTATTCAATAGTTGAAATAAACGTTGTACTTGTAAATATGAAATAAATTTTCACACAATGCACGTGACATTAATAGAGCAAGTCAACTTCTAACGCAAGATTTAAAAACTTACGATGCTGCCGCAGTTGCGGAATTGTTCTTTTTGTATCGATTATGCCCGGGTCTTTTGAATAAGCTTGTTCGTGTTGGGCTCTACTTAATAAAAAAGTTCACCTGTATTACATAAACGAGCAATTTAATCGGTATTCAGCAAAAAATACAGTAGAAAAGAGCTAAGCAAAGTCCGCATTTATGTGCATCACGAGCGTATGCAAAATAAATCTGTGACGTCATACTCTGGAGTTTCGCGGTCACACAGTGCCACCTCTCGACGCAGTTTTGAGTAGTGCAAAGCCCTACATGGCGCTAATTCCTAGCACAGTTTGCTGCGCAACCAGCTGCAACTACAGCGTATGAAACAACGGTTGAGTGAAATATTATATGTAGTTGCGTATTGAACACTCAGAAAAAGAGCTACGAAGTTCTCTCCGCTAGTCGGACGCGTCACCTAACCGCCGTGAAATGCTTGCTGGTTCACTATCCTGAACGACGGCGAAAACAAGAGCAGACGCAGCAGCTCTGCGCTCTACGAGAAAAAGACCCCACTCTGCGCTACTGTTGCGTTGTGAATTGGAACGAGCGTAAATGACTTCAGTTTTACTGATTTCCGTGGCTTTCGCAAAGCAGAATGGCGAGAGTGCTAAATGCAGGCCGTTGCGAACGTGTTGGCTGCGTTCTCCACAGCCGTTCGCTTGATTAAGTGTAATATTGTTCTGAGTAGCCTTGACGGAGAACCGTGGTAACATTTATTATGAAGCTTAACAAACCCTCTGAATCTGACCGCGATGCGCGACGTACAACAGTAGACAGGTGACACCCGGGCGCGATAAACATAGCACACGCCACGACCACAGATAATCTGATGTTGTCGCCACCACGCAGCATTACACACTTAAGAAGGCTCTCAGCCCCCGCTTTAACCAGGAAATGCGAACACGTGCGTCATACAGGTAAGTCGCGAAATGATCGCGACCACAATCATTTTTTTTTTTTTTGCCGTTGGTAGTGGTGGTGGTGGTGGTGTTGCAGCAGGCGGGGTTAGCCTGGCCTGTATGGCCGGCAATTGTTCCGCCTGATCATCTCCTGAATTTGGAAAATGTCACCACGTGTCAGACAGCCCAGTGTCTCGCAGGAAGACCAACAAAATTTGTGGCACGTTCCTCCTAGTTGCCGCGGGTCCTTCAGGAAAGATGACGTCATCAACTGTCTGGTGCCTACGACAGCCTTTTCGCAAGGTGCGGATCATCGCTGCTCTTTGCACATCAAACTGTGGGCAAAGCCAAATGAAATGTTCAATATCCTCGATGTCACCACAGAAGGCACAGAACGGGAAGCGTATCTCCCAGTCTTGAATGACCAGGCCGGGGTGTATGCGGAGCCGGTTCTTATGCGGTACAACAGCGTCGCTTCTTCACCAGAAAGTCCATGAATTACACATGCTTGGTGTGGAAACTTGTAGATCGCCTTGAAATGATTGCGTATCACATGTTTGTTGTTCGGGTAAGTCTTGGGAGTTCTTACTTTTGGAAACGATGTACGTGCTTCGCATGCAAGGGCATCAGCCTTTTCATTGCCCTCAATGCCAACGTGGGATGGGATCCACTGGAACTTTATATTAAAACTCTTGCCATTTAGGTGTTTGATTAGGGCCAGAGATTGTCTGGTGAACTTTTCTTAAGGTAGGCCACGATGCAGTCTTTGTAGTGCCGATTTGGAGTCCGTCAGCACTACAACATCTCGTGCAGAGAAGGATCGCAATTTTCGCAAAGCCGCCGTGATTGCAGCGCTTTCTACCGTTGTGAACGAAACCACGCGATCCAGGCGGCCCGACCATGACACGCCAAGGCAGGGTATGCAGAAAGCCGCTGCGCAGCTATCCGTTTGTGTGCACACAGATCCGTCGGTGTACACTTGTAGGTGGCTGCGGTACATGGTGCTCAAGTGGTCCAGCGCAAGAAATTTTGCTTCCGCGGCTGGAATGGTGCGCTTCGCTGGTAGATTGGGTACGCTGAAGTTACACGCAACATCCACAAAAGACCATGGCGGGTCCATAGGGCGCCGTTTAGGCAGTTCCAAGCCTAAATATCGAAATGTGTTTAGTGCCGCGTTGAAATGTGAGCCAGTTCTTGCTCTTAGCCGCCGGAGAAGCGCCGTGCCTGCGAAGGACTCGCCCAGTCTTGACAGCTGCGTCAATAAGGCCTGAGACGCCAAAAGGCGGAGCGGAAGAGACTCGGCCTCATTGGTGACCTTCGTGTTTGAAGCCGCCTGAGGGACTCCCATCGCCAAGCGAAGACCCTTTCTGTGCACTGCCTCTAGGCGTTCGAACTGGCTTGGTGATGGTGATATCAGGGGCAGCTGATAAAGAATGCGGCTTGTTATAAGCGCATCACTCAATTTAAGCATGGGCATAGTATTGTTGCCCCAACGGACCCCAGCCATGCGACGAAGAGCGTTGATCCTTTTCACTGATGCAGTGACTGTACCATCAACCGCACGTCGCCATAATAGCTTGTTGTCGATGGTAATGCCCAGGAAACGGACACTTGTTGCACAACGAATTGAGTGGCCTCGAATATTCAGCGACAGACGTGTTGACTTCCGTCGCACTCCCGGGAAGAGCATGAAGGCCGATTTTTCCGCTGATAAAGATAGGCCAAGTGTCAACAAGTGACTCTCAATGATTGAAATAGCGCTCTGTGCTATCCGGGCCAAACGTTTGTGCTGGTACCCTGAGATCCAAATGCATATGTCATCGGCGTAGATGGATATTATAACTGCTTTCAGAGCTAAGTGCAGAGTGTCGAGAAGGCTGGCCATGGCAGCGTTAAAAAGCAAGGGAGATAGAACACTTCCTTGTGGGACGCCGAGGGAAACGCGTCTCTCTTCGCTCGTTAAATTTCCAAGCTTAACACGGACACAGTGGTCTCTGAGAAATTCATGTACGAATCGAAGAGCATTTCCCGACACACCCATGGCTTGAAGCCCGTTCACGATGCCTGCCTGAAGCACACAATCATATGCCTTGGCAACGTCCATGAAGACGGCGAGTGTCGAGAGTCCGCTAACGTGGTGGTGCTCGATGTGGCTTAATAGGTCCAAAACACTGTCCTGGGCACTCAGTCGTGGGCAAAATCCGGTCATACACGATGACCATCGTCTTCCTTGTTCAAGGTACCAGGTTAATCTTGTACATATTCATCTTTCCATCAACTTAGATACGTATGATGTAAGAGATACCGGTCGATATGACGCGAGGCTCGCAGGATCCTTTCCGGACTTTAGGACTGGCACCACCCATGCTGTCTTCCAAACAAATGGGATCTCTCCCGTGCTCCAGACATGATTAAATATGTCCAAAAGGGCACTTTTTCGTTCATATGGTAGATTTGTCAGCATTTGATTGCTGATCAAATCGGGACCCACGGCACAGCGTCTTCTTAATTTGCTAATTGCCATATCCAGCTCTCGAAAGGTGAATGGCGTATCCATCATGTGAAAAAACTGGGGTGACAGAGGAATCGCCGCTCCTGCTGATCTACCAGATGTGTACACGTCTGCGAAATCCTCTGCAAGGGTTTGCAAATCTATCCCTTGTTTCAAGGCGAGTGCTTCGAATGGCCTGTGTGTTCGGATCTTCCCAGAAAGACTATTTATTACTGCCCATATCTTTGTCAAGGGCGTAAACGTTGATAAACTCTCACAGAAAGCGGCCCATTGATTTCGTCTTAATTTTTTTGTATGGCGACGAATCGCAGCGTTTATCCTGTTATATTCGGTTTTCGCAGACGGATTTCCTTTTGTTCTCATTATTTTCCGCTCCGCCCGTCTACGTGCTGCGTAGAGGTTCTTCAATTTCAAGTCAGGAGGAGGAAAATGGTCGGGCAGTTTCAGCAACGAAGTTGCTGCTCGCTTGCTTTGCAACATATCTGCGAACAGCTCACCAGTGGATTTGTCCAACGCTTCTCTCTAGATGTCCCAGCGTGTTACATTGCAAAATTGTCGACCAGCAGTTCGAAATCCCAGGATATCGGTGAAGATGAGGAAATGGTCGCTGCCCATCCTGTCTGGAGCCATGGTCGATGATACCAGAAGGTCCGTGGAGTGAATTACAAGGTCTATTGCACTCCATGAATCTGGTGGCCTGAAAAATGTAGGTTTGCCATCGTTCGCCACACATAAGTCGGCAGCATCCGCAGCTGCTAGAAGTTCCTTGCTTCGAAAATCTACACTCTTATCTCCCCCAGAGTGGATGGTGCGCGTTAAAATCACCACAGATTATTCAAGGAGCGGGACATCGAGTGCAAAGGTCCTTTAGGAAAGTCTCCATGGAGACCTTTTTTCGTGGGCTTATGTACACCGATGCCACACTCAGTTTTCGGTTTCCCAGGCGCACTTGAACAGCAGCGACTTCCAGTGAGTTGGAACAGAGGTCTTGCACTGGTAAGGCGACGTGAGGTATTTCCCGTTTTATGTATATCATTGCGCTTCCATTTGCAAACGACGTTATGCTCGGGTTGCCGTGTCGGGTGTACCCTGGGAGCGTCCTTGCATTCGGTAGACCGGCTTCGGAGAGGGCTAGAATTGGTATTGGAATGTGGCGCAGGAAAAGGTTGAGTTCGCACAGACGTTTTAGAAGACCGGCGCAGTTCCATTGCATCATTAAGGGCACTTTTGAAGAACGAAATAGACCAGGTGGGCGCGGCATTGCCATTATTCTACTGTGTGTTTGTGGAAGCAGAGCAAAGTAACACTGACTCTACAGCCAGGACTGCTTCCAACATATCCTTCGTTGAACTCGCAGGCATCCTAGCGACGTGTGAACGTAGTGCGGTGAACAGAGC